GTTTTGGATTGAGGAGGCGGCAACGGAGAAGAAGACACAAGCCCTACAAGATATGGAAGAGAGGTTCAAGCAACAATTTATCAAGCTTGGTTATGCCAGGAAAGGCATACCTGAGCATATCCAGGAGTACTACCTCACGGATTGTAAGTTACATGAAGATACCCTACTTAAGTTCAGGAATGATGTCGAGGAGAAATTCGAGATGCGTAACCACGAAATGCAACTCAAGATCCGGGCTTGGGAGAAAACACAGCAGTTTCGGATTGAGATGATGGCTGATAAACGGGCAGCGAAGAAGACAAAGGCACTGCAAGATATGGAGGAGAGATATATTCAGGATTTTATGAACATAGTTGACAAATTAGATGTACCTGAGTACTTCCAGCAGGCCTACTTCCAGAAATTTAAGGTACCTGACGACATCCGACTGCGTTACATAAATGATATCGAGGAGGAATTCAGGATGCTTGGTGACAAAGAGGGATATAAGGTTCACATTTGGGACAGTTTCAAGAAGTTGAAGTCCCTCATCACCTGTCATCTCTTGTGCGGCCGTGCTCAGCTAAAAACACGAATATTAGGGAAAAATCTAATATCAAATAAAAAGAAGCAGTGAGGCTTCAAATTCAGACCGGCTAGCCCACTAACTTGTGAAGCTAGCCAGAAGCTCGAAGGGATCGCTTCTGATCACTGCCCCAACCGAAACGCGTGATCTAGAAAACCCTCCAAGCAATTACTAAACAGTGCCATTTATCTGGCATACATTTCCATACATCCCTATGTAATCGATTGTTAAGTACTCCCTCTATTTTAAAATATTTGACACCGTTGAATTTTTAGTACGTGTTTGACCATTCGTCTTATTCAAAAAATTTAAGTAATTATCTATTTTTTTCATATCATTTGATTCATTGTTAAATATGCTTTCATGTACACATACAGTTTTACATATTTCACAATTTTTTTTAATAAGACGAACGGTTAAACACGTGCTAAAAAGTCAACGGTGTCAAATATTATGAAACGGAGGGAGTAGCAAATAGTGCTATTTAACATATCGGTTAGTAATAAGAAGTGATCTATTTGTGTGCTTTTATTGTGAATAAAGGGATGGCAGGAATTGAATAAAGGGTATGTGTGAAATCATCTGAGATAGTAGCTTGGGTGCTGTTAAAATCTGTGATACTGTGTATGTTATGCCGAAACAAGCTCTTCGATCTTCCTTCTAGTGCTTTGCTTTTAAGTCTAGCTGTTTACAGTCTTTGTACTTAAAATTTTACTAGACTTTTGAGTGTATTTCTATATGCTGTGAGCCTGTTATAATCATGAATGCGCGGTGCTCACCGAATCCGAATCCGAATCGACGACGTACGGCGCCAGTGGCAAGGGGGAACTCCTGCTTGTTGTGGAGCATGTGGGTCATCGGTGGAGTTGCCCATGGCCGCCACCCTGCCGGAAGCCGCGGTGATGGCTGTGCGGCCGTCCGCCCGAGCACGTGGCTGCGCAGACGTCGCGGAGGCGGAAGGGGAAGCTGTCGCTCTCGACGGCATCGACACCGAACACCCGACGCAGCGACGACCACTCCGCCAACCCCCGCCGGAACAGCGCCGCCACCCGCCCTTCCCGAGGCTCGCCACCACGAACGCCAGCGCCGCGCCACCTCCGCCGTGTCAACCTACCCCGTTCAGCAGCGGCATAGGAGGCGGCGCCGGAGCGGATGGGGAGGAGCGGCATCATCGTCGGAGTCGCCGGAGGCTGTACCACGGGGCGACGCGCGTGGGTGCCTGGCCGCGGCGTCGCCGCTCCTCCCGCTTGCCAACAAGACCCGCGCGCGGCCGGCCGCCGACGAAAGCATGCGCACGCTGGAGTGGGAGACTGACACGAATTGCTGCTTTACTGTTCCTATGGTTTTGCCACTTGTATTTTCAGTTGCAAACCAAATGGACCAAAAACTTGGGATACATAAATAATCATGTACCCAATCTTTTCTTTTTGTGTGTATGAGGACCTATGCCCAGTCTATAATCCTTGAATCTATCTATTTATTATATTATTAAAGCAATAGAAAAAGAAGCCTCCATGTTCGCTCTCAGCACCTAGAAATTTTCATATTAATCGGAGAAAAAGAAAAATAAGAGTCCATGTACAAATATAATTTTAAAATAGCTGAAATCCGGAAATAAAAAAAGAATTATTGGAAGAGGAAAATAGAGTCCATACAAGAATATAATTTAGAACTAACTAAAATTCGGAATTAAAAAAAGAAAAACTAAAACTAGAGTTTAGAGTTCATATAAAAATATAATTTCGAAATAACTAAAATTCAAAATAAAAAATATTGGAAGAAGAGTTTAGAGTCCATAAATAACTTAAATACGGAATTAAAAAGAAATATTAAAAGATGAGCTAGAGTCTATATAAAAAAACCAATTAGAATTAACAGAAATTCAAAATTAAAAAAAAAGAATATTGGAAGAGAAAAATAGAGTCTGAATACAATTTAGAACTAAGTGAAATTCGGAATTAAAAAACATGAAAAAACTAGAGGTTAGAGTCCATACAGAAATATAATTTAGAAATAACTAAAATTCGAAATAGAAAAATGAATATTGCAAAGAAGAGTTAAGAGTCCATATATGATTAGGAGTACAATTTAGAAATAACTAAAATTTAAAATTAAAAAATATATATTTAAAGATAAGTTTTAGAGTTCATATAAAAATACAATAAGAAATAACAGAAAATCAGAATTAAGAAATAAAAAATTGAAAGAGTAGACAAGAGTCTGTGTAGGTATAAAATTCTAAAAGTCGAATTGTCACGCCCCAAACTAGCTCCAGACGGGAACTACCGTGAGAAGCTCCAAATTAACCGGTAAGCCAATACCAGTCCCAAAAAACCACGCTGGTATCATAGGAAGATAGAATATCACAACATCAGTGGTCTCTTAATTAAGAGTAGTTTTACAGTCATGTTGAGGCTACGGGTAGACCTCGAGCTCACAAGTGTATTACAAAAGAGAAAGCGGAAATGAAGACTGCCCCACGGCCACAAGCATGACTTGGGAACACCTCGTCAAAATTGCTTGAAGCCAGACTGCTCCTGGAAGAACCGGATTATTTATGTAGAGCAAGGGTGAGTACAGGGTATACTCAGCAAGTCATCGAAATTAAGTGTTTATTGCAAGCTTCATAGAAAGATTGTTTGTTTTTGCATACGATTTTGTTTAAAACTTTTTCAAATGTTTCTAAGAGAGTGCTTCTCAACAACGCGGACACGACAGTGCACCATGCCCGGTCGGACTAGTACAATGTATCAATCTTTAACAGATCAAGAGTTGGCCCCCAGCCAAACGATTTGGATGGCCTCCCTGGCCCAGCTGATCACATCAGCCACAGTCAAAAGCAACGTGTTCCAGCACACCATAGCAATTTCACAAGCAGTAATCGAATCAAAACTACGCTAAGGAATCACCTCACATCCACCCATGACCGAGGACCGAGGGCGGCTAATCGCGGGGAGAGACGTGGCGCCAAGGGAGGCTAGCAACGGCGAGCTGCGGCGGCCGGCGGTGGGCTAATTAACACCTAAAGGAGAGAGGGAAAAGGGAGTCGGAGCGGCGAGGGGTACCGAGAGGGGTGGCGCTGCGAAGAGGGCTGAAGGCGCGGGGTGTGATCGCCTCGGCCTCGGGTCAGGGAAGGGGAAGGAGAGGAGTGGCCGAAGTCCGTGTCAAGCGCCTCCAAGAGCATTGGCTCCTCCGGCGCACTTGACGATGGCGGACGACGGCGTGGGAGTGACGGCGGCGGATTTTGGTGCTGGAGCTCGGCTGCGAAAAGGGAAGCGGCCGAACGAGAGGAGAGGCGTGGGTTTTATAGGCGTTGTATGACGGTGGAACGGGGACGACAGTTCGTAGATAGGCGGTGGAGGCGCGCGGCACGTTGGCGCTAGGAGCCAAGAGTGATAGAGGTGACGCGAGCAGTAGTCAGGAAAAGGAAAAGGAGACGGTGAGGGAAAGCGAAATTTCTTCGCGTCTGGCGCCCGCGCGCTCCCGCGCCATCCCCACCACGCGCCCCACCACACGTGTCGTTGCAACGAATCACCCGCATATTACGGAAGCGCTTTATTAAGGAAATCCGTTTTATTTTTTGTACCACCAACAATGTTTCAATAAATGTACTTGTGATATTTCAGTATGTATGGATCAAATGTTGCAGTGAATTGAAACATCCTTTCGTTATTTGCTGAAACATTGTTTTTATATAGGGTGAAACAACGCCCGATTTTTTTTGGAAACCGTTGTTTCATACGTTGTAGCAAAATGTTTAATGAGATGATTTGGTTGTGTTTCAGTTTTTACAAGATTGAAACATCTTCGATCTACTTAGTGAAATATTTCCGATCTACTTGGTAGAACAGCGCCCGATTTTTGCCAAAAAATCGGGCGCCCGATCTCTAGTTGCATCCGAGGGAAAGCAGCTTGGTCCCTTGCCATATTGGGGAAAAGGGAGAGGGAGGAGGAGGAGGTGGAGAGCTGTGGCTGCTACTCCCGTTTTTTTGGATGGATGCGGCAGAGTGCGGGGCCGGGTAGATGATGCAAGTGATGATGGCAAAAGGGAGGGTGGCTGGCTCGGTGCCGAGCGGAGACATACGGCGGCGGCGGCGACCGGGCGGTCGGCCACGACGCTCACGCGCGGGAGTCAGCGGCGACGGCGAAAAATAAAAAAGGCACCGGCGGCAACGCGCGGCGAGAGAGAGAGAGAGAGAGAGAGCTCTCCCTTCGAGCGGGAACGTGAGGGGAATAGGCCGAAAGGGAAAAATGGGCCGAGCAAGGGAGATTCGGCCCAATGACCAAGAAGGGGTGTAATAGACTTTTACAAGGAAAATTTGATTTGGAGGGTTTATAGAGTAGGATTTGATTTCGGATTCGGAATTGGGATAGAGAGATAGAGAGTGAGATCTTGGCGCACACAGACACAACAGGACCACAACCAAAGAACGAGTTTCGAAAATTAGGGTTTTTATTGAATTGTTAAGTATTTCCTACCAACGCCACGACTGATGTGCGTTACACCAGTCTAAGTCCATATAGGAGTACAGTTTAGAAATAAGTAAAATTTCAAATAAAAAAAGAATATTTAGAGAAGACGATAGACTATTAAGTCCATATAAGAAGAGTATAATTTAGAAATAACAAAATTTCGAACTACAAAATTAGAAATTTAATAAAGTGAGGATGATTGGGAGTAGAGTATAGAGTCCATATAAAAAATACAATTTTGAAATAACTGAAAAAAATAAAAATATTTTTTAATATGTTAAAAAAATTATAGTTATCTACGCGGGCCACCATGCTATTTTTCATTATCTAAAAAAATACTGCTTCAATTTCTATACACGTGTGGACGTGTGGTGCTCATGGGCAAGCCTCAGTTTCGGCTCTTTCGGAGAGGCTCATTGTCTCCGGCTTCTTTACATTTTATCCGTGAGCTGAATCATTCCAGCTAAACCAATATTGCCACAAAGTTGGTTCTTCTTGTCACCCTCAACCTCAAGACAGGATGGACATGAATATCGTCGACCACGTCGTGAGTGCAATGGCAGCAATCAGGTAAGTCCACAAGAAGATCACTGAGCATTCCTCTTGACCAACATCAAACAGCTGAGCCATGGTTCCTGGATCGAACAGATCACACACACACAAGACACATGATCAGGTGATCAAGATCTTCCTAGAAGCATGGACAGAAGAAACTTCAGAAATCAGAATGAAACTGCATGGGATTCAGGGGCTACCGATGTTCATTGCAGGTGGCAGCGCGAACTGCATCATCAGCACGTAGCGGTACAATGGATCGTGTGGCAAGAATCCAACCCCATAGGCAGCATGGACAACCGCCATCCCGATCAAGGGTTGGATCACGTAGCGTATGCAGACGATCGTGATGATCACCGTACGCTTCAGCACCGACTTCCGTAGCCCTGCATGCACATACATTCAGAGAAGTTCAGAAAACTCACAAGATGATGCAGTTAATTTCCATATCATTAGTTCATGAGTAATTAACACCTACCTTGTGTCAGATTCCCCCCTAGGATTAGGGTGATGCAAGGAATCGTGCCATTGCTGAAAGACAAACGAACCGTGAGTAAAGGCTGAGGAAACACTTGAAATATGCTGTTTAAGGCAGACAGAAATGGAGAAACCTAACATGTAAATGCTCACTCACCCCATTAGTTGGAGGGACTCCTGGATGACTCTCAGTGGGGCGCCATTGCCGATGACAAGAGATTTCAACCATGGGACTAGGCCAACAACAAATCCAAGTATCTGAAACAACAACACAAAGACAACTTCAGTGCAATCAGTTGACACTGCCAATATGAGCAATGAGCATTGATATCAACTTGATGTGATGAAAATGGTGTAACTGGTTTTGGCAGGAACATACTGCAGATACAGTTGGTGGTGCCATCAGCTCCTCGACAACCTGGTGGACGGTTTCCTTCAGGTTTGTCCAGAATCCTCCTTTGTTAGCAATCTCTCTCTCGCAAGTCAGAAGTGGAGCTTCCTGCATTTCTGACAAATCAGTTTTCTCTGAAGATTTGCATGGAACGAACCAGACAATGGTGCACTGGACTGACCATTAATTAGTCGACTTACCATTTGGTTCTCTTCATTGTGTTCAGGAGCCAGTTTAGCTGACACCAGAAGAGCCGCCTCCTCATCAGCGTAAGCAGTTTCACCGTCTAATTTTACTTGATCATGACCTTGTGCAGGATGATGCTCTTCATCGCTGTCGGCCGGGCACTGGATGCTTTTGGACTGCATCTTGTGGTACATTTTGCCTGCCTTCTGCATGAGGCTGTATGTATGTGTCCATATGAATAAGCCACCAAGCTGCAGATACAGAGTGAACGATCAATTCTGTTATTCAACTGAATGAAAAAGGCACACGATAATTCAGTGAATGTGAGATGCAGAAATATAATTTTGCTTACAGCCATGGATAATGATGAGTAGGAGAGCCCACGAGAGCGGCAAAGGCTCCGGTCTTTTCCGAACGGGTTGCCGTCTTCGTCACAGACTGCTGGAACAATGATCAAGAGCAAGTTGCCAAGATTTCCTGCGTTTTATTTTTGTTAGTTGAAGCACTGTAAATACTACTCCCTCCGTTTCGAAATATTCGACGCCGTTGACTTTTTAGCACATATTTGACCGTTCGTCTTATTAAAAAAATTAAGTAATTATTAATTCTTTTCCTACCATTTGATTCATTGATAAATATATTTTCATGTAGGCATATAATTTTACATATTTCACAAAAGTTTTTGCATAAGACGAACGGTCAAACATGTGCTAAAAAGTCAACGGTGTCAAATATTTCGAAACGGAGGGAGTATTATGTATCTCCGGAGTATGAACAAAAGAAAGATGCAATCCGGATAGGAAACTGAACCTGCTGAACAGAAGGCAATGATCATTCCTCGGAAATGCTGTGGTGGTTTCAGTATTTTACATGCTATCCAGCCTAGAGTGCCACCAACAATGAATGTGATTCCTATATTAACTGGCATAAACCACCTGCATGATAAAAGGCTTCTGTTAGTCCAGTTGGGTTACCCTGCAAACAGAAACTGAAGCTAGATCTTATATGCCCTGCCTCTGAATGAAAAGATGACTTGTGTAACATTGTTTAGTGTTCTAAAGGTACTAGTAGTCTAGTACTATGTCATTTCAAACAGGAATTCTTTTAAAATTCAGAAGAGTCCACACTTCAAAAAATTCAGAAAAGTCTGACTGAGCTGCTTTGTAGTAACCGCATATATATATAAAGTATAAACTCACCAAGAAATGACGTCAGAAAGTGTGACCGTCTTAGCCAGGCTAGCAAACATCAGGGATGGTGTGAAGACAGTGAAAACAACCTGTTAGAAATCTCAACAGGTTTAGCCAGAGACAATACCAGATTAATTTGCATTGAACAGTGATGTGCTAATGAGAGCTCGCCTTGTTCATATCCCTTAGAGCGCTTGAGGTTAGAATTTTGCTGTAACCAGAAGCGAGAAAAGCTCCAATAACACCTATGAGTAGGACCTGAACGATTGGCATAGAAGCCACAAGAAGCAATGACAAGAAGCCCATCTTTTCTGATGTTGGATTAAACTCTCCTTTTCTGGAAATGTTTCAGATGTCTTGTGATTAGTCCTCAGGAGATGATTCAAAGTTAGAGGTTACAGTGACATGAGTAGTATCCTAAGGTCCTGAATTCAAATCTCTTATGGTGCGAATTTCAGATTGGGTTGTTTGCGGGGTTAAATTCCCTATTTCAATGGCCGTATATATCCGGTTAGATATAGAGGCCGGGTAAAAAATACCCTTCTCTAAAAAAATAATAAAAAAAAGATGATTCAAAGTTCTTCAGGGCTCGTACACCCTGCTAAGATAATCGATCAATAAAGAAATGAAACGTTTAGATTTCTTAGTCACATACATTAGTTATTTTTTTTATTTAAAAAAAGAAAAAGAAAAGGAGTATGGGAACCGTATGAGAACTTCAGGAACGCAATTGAGTACTACTAATACAGTTATTAATATTCCATTTTTATTTATATTTTTTTCTTCCATCTTCTAGCATGTGTTAGTTAATTTGAAAATGACATATCCACATTGCTTGCACTGTTCTTGGTCATCGTCTCCTACAAGAGGGTGAAAGACGTGAAGCTCGAGCACACTGAACAAGTCAATGTTGCTGGGCACAACACCTCCTTTTACGGAATGATTGCAAGGTCCCAAAAAAGAAAGAAAATGGAAACTTAAATATCAGAGAATATTGTTGTCCACTGATGAGGCATTGAACTACAATTTTTTATTCTCAGGCCAGCGATAGAACCGTATAGAGCTGGAAGTTTCTTTATACTTCGTTCATGTATATAGAAACCATTTTAGCAGGAACCTAGCTGTCAAATTAGCACTTTAGCAGATTTACAAGAACAATGACAAGTTCAAAAAAGAAAAAAGAACGCACGCATTCATGTAAACAAGAAAAAGGAAAGAATGGCTTGGTTTCAAAAAGAAAAAAAAAAGAAAAAGGAAAGAATGCTAATGCAAAGCCAGCCGTTAATTGCAGTCCTAATCTGACAGCAGTTACCAGAAACTGCATCTTCAGTACTCGTAGCTGGAAACATCATGCAGCTCAAAACAGCCAGCTCATTGCCTCAAGTTGCTCGACAGGAAGCAAAGTTTGAGAACTAATTGCAAGACTAGGCAACACCAAATCAACGAGGCAAAGCGAGGAAGAAGAAAGAAGAAGAGAAAAAAATGCACAAGAAAACATAACTAGCTAGCTTCCTCCAAAGAAGCAGGAGGGCAGACGAATCATGCTCCAGACGATCTCCATGGCAATCGGAGCTAAGCTAAAATCTAGCTTAGCTTTCTACCAGCTCCCAAAATCAAGGAGAACGCGAGACAGAGGACAAAACATGGGAAGAACTCAAAGTCAGTCAGAAAGCAGAAGCTGACCTGAATGGGCGCAGACGGTGGAGAGCTAGCTAGCTTGAGGTTGGGTAATGGAATCAATCGATCCACCTGAAATGCATTATAATTAGTTGGGAAGGAAGCCGCTTATATACGTAGGAGAGAAGAGGAGAGCTAGCTAGGAGAGAGAGCGTGTTCAAACACGCAGCCGCTGCGGCTGCTGCGAGAGAAGGGAGAAGATGAGGCCTACACCGCATCCACCCCCGGGGAGCCAGCCAACTCAGCCAGCATCCGTCCTTGTCATCTCTCTGTCCCAGTCGTCATCAGTGATCGATCGTCTTCGCCGCTGCATGTTGCAATTGCAAATGCAAATGCTGCTGTTTCCTTCCTAATTCCGCGCGCCCTGTCGCTACCCTGTACAATTTGCACGAGCCATCATTGATTGATTGATTGGCCCTTGTAATTTTCTACTCCATGCAAGCAGCCATCCTTAAGTTTTATTATTACCTCTTCTCTTATCTCTCTATAACTCTATTGACCACGCATGTTCCTATCGGTATATCCCTTTTTCTACCTTTTCCTTCCTTTTGGCACCGTGGTGACGTGGAGGTCTCTGAATGGGATACTCTACTGGCACTGCTGCTCTGATTATCCTTTTACTGTTTCATCTCATCAAGGGGGTACATTTGTCGACAGATTCATCTGATACGTAGGTCTATGCGGCGACGAGTTTAAGTCAGGACCTGATGATAATCCTGGGCGTTCAACGTAGACAAATTGGACTTTTGACTCAAAGCTCGCCTTCGATCGAGAAGAAAGAGATCAACTCAGACTGCTCTTGCAAACCACTTGTATAACTACTACTTGTCAGCCATGTGCATGTATGCACGCTAATTGCGATGTTGATAGTTTCTAGCTAGGTTAACAAAATCTACTATAATTAATCTCTATTTTTCACACGCACGCACCTGGCGGATGATCAAATGCAGCGTTGATCGATCGATCATCCATCAGCAGCAAAGAGTATTCACTCTCCATTTCTATGCGCTGCTAGGAAGACTCCTTCGAATTTACACTCAAGATTCACGCACGTTTTCACCTGGCAGATGGTCATCGATCGACAATGCCAATGTACGCCAGTACACTGCAATAATCCGAGAAACGTAAAGAGATCTTCCGGCTAGCTTCACAAGGTGATGGGTAGTCGATCCGGATTCAAGTCTCACTCCTAATTATTTGATATTAGGTCATTCCCTAATACATGTATTTACACTGCAATAATCCCTTCAATTTCAAAACTGTGCAGCTGTGCAGACAGCTGCAGCAGCCTGTGGCCATCCGAACCTGTCTCTCAGATCGCTACATTTCTGGAGGGAACGCACGAGACCACACATTGATATATCGCAGCTGCAATAATGCACCAACAAGATCCAATAATGCGTGATAGATCAGGGGTTGGTTCAACAGGACGGAATCATCAACCACATGTGTATAGTAGGAGTATATATATATGTAGGCGTTTAAAATTAGCCATTTAGGCAGAGGAAGAACCGGCCGATCGCGGTCAAGTAGGGGGGACCAACAGCATTAGCAGCATGTGACTGCCGGACTCCGGCGAGCGATCGTTGTGTAATGCTGTATCATGTATGCCTAAACGATGTTGACACGGTTGGATGGACCGGAGAGAAGCTACGGGGAGATGAACAACATGCGAATCGCAGTCAGCAATGACACTGCCCCCAAAATCCAATCATTTGCTGCATGCTCTGCCTAGTTTGAGTCAGCCATGACGTACGCCGCAATGTGTTTCAGCACCTGTGTAACTGTGTTCCCCCAATTGGATTCGTTATTGGTCCATGGGCCTCCAAGTAAGGGTGGGCATTCGGTCTAACCGAAAATTTCGGTCTCGGTCTTCGGTCTTTCGGTCATTTCTGTCTTTAAAAAGTGAAGACCGAATTTCAACACAAAAAATATCAGGACCGATAAATTCGGTCTTGATCTTTTCCGTCTCAGTCTCGGTCCTGACCGAAATTCAGCAACATTTTCATATATGCAAAGAAATAATGGAAATTTTCAACAAAAAAATCGTAAGCGCATATGAGTAAAGACTCTTATTAGATTACATGCCTAGAAGAAGCAGGGATGTGAAAATTAGAGTTTAATCCTATTGAACTTAGTAGATTGTAGGTTTCATTTAGATATTTTTTTATTAATTCGGTCTTTTTAGTCTATTCGGTTAACCAAGGTGACTAACCGAATTGACCGAACGAAATTCGGTATTTCACTATCTAGGACCGAATTTCTCGATTTCGGTTTTTTCGGTTCGGTCCTTTTCTACCCACCCCTACCTCCAAGACTGATCCGAGTTCCGGACCCTAGCAAATTTCTAGTTGATCAAGCCCGGCAGGGCAGCGTCGACTGTCAAGCAGGCTTGCAACATGCCAGCCGGTGCCGACATCAACGCCACCTTCGCATTTTTCACGAACACGCAAAAGAATTATACGTCAATATATTAAAAAAAATGATTACACACCGCAATCAGCCAGATTGGCTTATACCATAGAGAAAAAAAACTAAAGAAAAAGGAAAAGAGAACGACTGCTAAACACAACTCCAATGTGCCACCTTCGCGTCGTCCATGCTGTCCACCCTTCCCCTCGTTGTCCTTCCCACTCCCATTCGTGTCACGTTTTCTCCTCTGCCACACGCCCACACCCCCCTCCCTCTCTCCCATCCCCAAGACACTCTCCTCCTCCTCGTCACATGTCCCCGTCCGTTCCCTCTTCACCAACATCGACATCGACATCGCCGCGGCATTTGCCTGCTACCGCCCCATCGTTGATCACAAGTAGGAGCCTCCTCGCCGGAACACGGCTTGGGGATAGCTCACGGTGGATGGCACCTAGCTCATCGATTTAGGATAGCTCGTCGAGCGACACCGGTGAACGTGAGGTCACGAAGGTCGCCTCCAATCACGAAGTGGGACTGGTCGTGTGCACTCGAAGGAAGCAAATGTATACATTTGTCTCTCAGTGGCCGAAACCCGGGTCAATACTACCTTGTGATCTCGTTTACGTTAGTTTTGCAACATGAGAGATACGTTATACTTGGTTTTGTGGTTGACATTCGCGGTTGGAACTCCATCCTTCGATAAGGGATGTAAAGTGAACTTGTTTCCAATTCGAGGTCCGACGATAGCACCTAAATCTTCTGTAGCCCAGTTAGGCCCACATAATTAGGGGTGACAGCACGTGGTTTCACTCGCGTTGCAATTTGCAAGTCTACGTGGGCTGTGGTTGCCGATTCTGTGTCTCGTTCGCACTATGGGCCACTAGAGTCACCGACCGAGTCACGGCCCAACTTAGCCCAAGGTGGCAACTGGAAACAATTTACACCCTACTACTCGTACAAGAGGAGACAGAACAGCAAACCAGATAAGAACATAGACACTCAGCTCAGCTGGAACAAAGGAACAAGATAAGAACACCAACTGCGCAGCTCTACTGTTCCTATGGTTCTGCTGCCACTTGTCCCTGTCTCCTCTCCTCTCATCCTTTGCCCCCATTCCCCCCGTTCAACCACACTGTCACTTATCTCATTTGTACCTGAATATTCAGTAGTATTGTGTCTACTAGTGACACCATGACTCGTGATCTCTGAATCCTCTCGTTACCAGTATGCCCAGCCGAGTCATACCATTACTTGGCTGCTAGATCCAAGTTCCCTTTCATCTTCAACAGCACAAATGTTTGATTTTGATTTGCAGCCACACCTTGCAAAGTTTAACACGTCTAAGGTTTTTCAAGTTTGTTCAAATTAGGTATAGCTGTTTTCTTGTAGTGTATCAAATAGGTCCCAAGCATCAATAACTTGAAGAAAATGTGACAATATTTCTTATTTAGACTTGTGCAAAGTGCGATAAAATTTTAGAGCACACGAATTTAGGCAAGGGTAACGACTTTTATTAATAAATGATGACAATAAACCGAACCAAACAAACCCCAGGTCCCCAACTCTCTTCGTACCAGACGACACAAACATAACACTGACCTTTCAAAACCGCATGGGCATGTACTAGCATTGTAGCATTGCGCAGGCAGCCGTACGTCGTTGGCCGGAGACCGAGGCATCCCCATCGGAGCACGGCGGCCGCCACTACTAGCTCCCGACGCCGGCAGGACAGCAGAAAAGCTCGCACGCACCCGTCCCCATCCCCACCTGGCGTCTACCCGAATGATGTGCCGTTTTGACCGATGGAGGCAACGTGCGATCGCATGACGTGCCACCAAACTCGCTCACTCTCCCTCGAGTGTTGGCTTGACCTCTCCTGCTCGATCCGTACCTGTACCTGAGCACTTTGGCCCATCGAAAAGCCTATACCACCGTTCTGATGAAACTTATCCATCCGTCCATCGGTTTGGTTTAGGTGATCAGTACTTCACTCCTCTTGCACTTTATCCCGTCTTTAGATGCACTTTGGGCTTGTAAATCAACGTGAAATGATTTGCCTCTATCAAAGATCGCGAATCTAGATTACATAGCAGAGTGCCCTGAAGATAGAAAGAAACGTGCGAGATAGAACGCATATTGTCGCAACTTGGGTAGAGAGAGAGCGGCCCGTTCTTGATGTGAGCCCTTGCTTTGCTGTTGCTGCTGCTGGGGACGGCCGCGCACTCGTCGCCCCCCCGGCCTCTCGTCGCGTCGCGTCGCGTCCAATTACGAGAAGAGAAAAACCCCGAAAATTCTCGGCGTTTCGCACGCACGTCGCGCGGCGCGATGGCTCGGCGAGTGCGCGGGCGCGCGCGCTGGGGCCACGAGGTAGTGAGGGTTTTAGGCCGCGGCGAGCACGTGTTGGCGCCCGGTACGCGCCGTGGCGTGGCGTGGCGTGCGCCAACCTTTACGGCACAGGGAAATGTATATGGGAGGTGTTCCAATGGACCTCCACAATTGTGCCGTCTATCCTGTCCTGGATCAGCTAAAATAATGCGACCGGTAACCTCGCCTGTGTTTGGCCGGGATAGAAATTAAATCATAGAATTAACGATAGATTACATCGAGATCGTGCATTGAACCTAGACAAGTTGTTTTGAGAACTGAACTTAGACAAGTTTACAGGCAAAACTGCACAAGGTGAATACTATGTGATTATGAATTAGGCTGCGTTCGCTTCTCCAACAAGACTTGGATTAAATTTTAGATGCTCATAGCACGCTTTTCAAACTGCTAAACAGTGTGTTTCGTGCGAAAATTTTCTATATGAAAGTTGCTCTAAAATTCCAGATTAATCCATTTTTCAAGTTTGTAACAATTAAAACTCAATTAATCACACGATATTACCACCTCGTTTTACGTAAAACACTTAATTTTCATCTTTATTTTCAGAAGATTTAAACACCAGATTAGTTTGATGCAGAAAACGACACTGGTTACTGATGGATGGAGTTAATCACAGAAGATCAGGATGGATCGGAGTCAGGGTACACCATTTATTTTCTTTTTCCTCAAAGGTTGGTACGGTGGCGACGACTAACTAATTAATAGCCTATGTTATCCAGATCTTGCAGTAGTACTCCCTCCCTCCTTAAAAAAAAAAAGACAAACCGCGAATTTACGTGCCAACGTTTGACTGTTCGTCTTATATGAAATTTTTTTATAATTAGTATTTTTATTGTTGTTAGATAATAAAACATGATGAATATTTTATGCGTGACTTATCTTTTTAATTTTTTTCATAATTTTTTTAAATAAAACGGACAGTTAAACATTTGACACGAAAATTAGAGTTTGTTTTTTTGGACGGAGGGAGTACGTACGAGTACTTGTGCTTTGACATGTATCCGACGTGGCTCATGAACCCTACGCATGGCCCTGGTCGGTCTCCTCTCTCCTGCTATGCTACGTCCGCGAATACTGCTTTGTTTTTTAGCGCTTGATCATGGAATAATCACACTTTTTTCCGTAAACTGCATTGCATGCACTTTCACGCTCATCGCCACGTCGACTTTCTCCGCTACAACGTGCAGATTGGACAAAGCTAGCTACTACCACCGTCGCAATGTGCTTTGCTTTAATTCTGCCAGTAGTAATAATAAATTAAGTAAAAGGCAACATAATTTAGGACCTCGTGCCTGCATAAATCTGGATCGATCAAGTCATCAAACGCCACAGATTTAGGATAAAAAGGGACAAACGCACCAAAGCTGCTGTATCAGCACAGGAGAATTCAGCTCCAAGGCAGCAGCACACGTCTGTGACAAAAAACCAAAAAAATAATAATTCCTAGAAGAATTGGTGGACAGGACAGTGACACTTCACTTAAGAGCTCATGAATTTAATTAATCACTTAAACCAGCACAAATCACCTTCACTTCACACTATAAAAATGCACCCTCCCAGCGCCTAACTCTTGCATTGCCTTCTCCATTTTTCACCATTTTTAGGTCAGTGTATTGCTTAACTGGCCCCTCGTCGGCACAGTGGTTGGCAGTGCTCTCAGTCTCACCTTCACCTACCATGCGTCACTTGCTGCAGTCGTCGGAGCACCTGACCGCCGCGACGGCGACGGCGGCGGCGTCGGGCGGCCGGGGCGTCCACACGGACACGTTCCTCATCCTCGCCGCCGTGCTCTGCTTCCTGCTCTGCGTCGTCGGGCTGGCGCTGGTGGCGCGGTGCTCGCGGCTGTGCAACCCGTCGTCGTTCGCCGTCGAGGCGGAGGAGGCAATGCCCCCGGCGCCATGCAAGGGGCTCAAGAGGAAGGCGCTGCTGTCGCTGCCGACCGTGTCGTTCGCCGAGGCGGCGGCGGCGGAGGAGGAGGAGGAGCGGCCGGAGTGCGCCATCTGCCTCGCCGAGTTCGCGCGCGGCGACGAGGTCCGCGTGCTCCCGCCGTGCGGCCACGGCTTCCACGCCGCCTGCGTCGACGTCTGGCTCGTGTCCACCTCCACCTGCCCCTCCTGCCGCCGCGCCATCGTCGTCCTCGCGGCGCCGTCGCCTGCAGTCACCGCCGCCGCCACCGACCCCCCGCCGCCGTGCTGCGCCGCCGACGCGGCACAGGCGTCGTCACAGCCACCGCAACCCACCGGCGCCAGCGACCGCGGCGGCTGCCGGACATCGGTGCCGTAGAGCTCCAGCTCTCTCTCGCTCGCGTACGTGCATCATTCGATTGTACATACACACACACCTAGCAAAAACGTGAATAGTAGATACGTGTTCCGAGAGATTTTTTCTTGTACTACGCAGCAATGCAACTGTAGTAGATACATGTGTTCTGTAAATACATGCATGTACACATCTCTGTTAATTAACCATCATTTTCCCTTCTTTTTCGAACGATAATTAACCGTCATTTTCTTCTTCCTTAGTACTGATGCTATAGTACACAGCTAGAGTAGCAATAGTAAAGAGATATGTGACCAGTAAGCTGAGGTTGGGATGGAAAAAAGGAGAAAAAGGCATCAGATTTGTGTCGCTTTTGGTGGTCAAGTGGACGAGTGGAGCGATCATTCATGGCGGCGGGGGGAGGCCGCCGGTCACATCGTGGCCGGCATGGGGGCACTGCCTGCTGCCCGCCGCGCGGGTTGGGTTGGGATATTTTCGCACGCGTAACTGTTTGTTCGTTCGCCCTGATAGTACGGACGTCGTCGTGACCTGGTAAAAAATTGATCTGCCCCATCTGGGGAAAGAATATGCCGACTGCGTACAGCTCACGTACTTTGCCGTACAGTTTGATTGCACCATTGCCAAACAAACTCATCGTCTCTCCTCTCCTCTATACGCATATGGTTCTTCCAGCTATCTCTACAAGGTGGTGGGTTAGATGATCTGGATTGAAAGCCTTACCTCTTCTAAAGTTCTACAAAGTAGTGGGTTAGATGATCTGGGTTAGAAGCCTTACCTTTTCTAAAGTTCTAATTATTTGATATTATATTATTCTCTAATATTTATGTCTTTTTTTACGTATTTCGGATAGAAACCGTGTCATTTATATGTTAATTTTTTTATGCATTCGGGATAGAAACCGTGTCATTTATATGTTAATTTTTTTATGCATTCGGGATAGAAACCGTGTCATTTATATGCTGATTATATCTCAACAGATATAATTCAGAAGCTAGAAGCTGAAAAATTCAGAATTTTCAGATTCTCAACAGATGCTTGACTGTTTCTTAACGTCTTGAGATCTCTCGAACAGAACCGAAGCACGAATAAACGAGTACTAAACATGTCCTGGTTCGTTGGTTTGTCATTATGATGGCACAGTGACATGTTGCTACTGAAATCAGGAGGTGCCGGCAGGCGTGGCCACCTTTTTTTCATCTTCACTTTGATTGCCACCTTTCTTTTCATCTTTCACTTCGATTGCAGTTCTTTCAAGCTTATCAATCCACGCGGAAGAGAAATTCGGGCTTCACTCTAATCTCTGAATAGACGGCCACGATCAGGCTCATGATTTAAGCAGGAGTGATTAGAGTTTGATGTGAGAGGTTTGATGCCCTTTTTTTGATGTTTGCAGAGAGATGCTTTAGCCGTTCAGCTGTGTTTGGGGTTTAGCTGCTTCTGGCGGCCGGCCGGCAATTCTACTCTTTCCTCTTTCTTCGCCAAACGCGGCCAAAAACCAACAAATGCGTGTGAATCGACGGCCGTGTTGCTTGAAACGTACACTCAACTCCATCTATCTTCAGTTAGATAATAGTAAGTGCCAATGCACAGACATAGAACTTCCAAAAAACTGCCTTGTTTACACACATATATGCGACAAAATGCAGATATTTTTTGCCCGGTGATCGTCTTCATTCGAGATCACAGACTCACAGTTATCTGTAAAAGTTGGCTACCATTGTAGATTTCTCGCTGTAATTCGTATATACGATCTCAAGTTACTTTCAAGTTTGGCTGAATCCGGAACAGAAGTTCTAGAGCGACTTTGATCATCTTTCAGAATAAGAGGTTTGCTCTGGTCCATCAGATAGTACCTTGCGGTACTGGTACCGCACGGTACCGAAATCATCCCTGTCGTTCGCTCGCAAGGGGCATGATGGGAACATGTGGAAACACACCGCTCCTGCACCGCGTGTACAACCAATCCTCTCGAGCGTTTTCCTTTCTCTCTTCCCCGAAGCGCAGCATCGTGCGGTGTGACTCCGCTGATTCATCCCGTGGAGATGCACCGTCGCCATCGTTGTTGCCCTGCTCGTCGACGGCGCAGCAGCCGGGGGACGGGGAGAAGAGGAGGCCCCGTCAACCTGTACGCGAAGGGGTCCGGCTTTCCTCGACGCTCTCAAGCCATCTGGTCCTCGGTGCCGCCGCGCTTCTCGTCATCGACTGTTGAGATTAATCCTTGTGTGCTAGATTAGTGTTTGTTTTATTTGGTTAGTTACACATCCATCGTGTGATCATGCATGTTTCGGTCTGATTGGAGGCTATAATTTCCTTTCCTTGTAATCGCATATTTAAGCAATACAAGAATTGGGAAAAAGCTGCCTAGTTAGCAGCACCAAACAAGATGGTGTTCATTCCTATGTTCACGGGAGTTTTGTGTGTGTGTTCTTGCCGGCGACGTGAGTTTTGTGTGTGTGTTCACCGTGAGCCCTTCGCCTTGACGGCCTTGCCGTCAGCACCCTTGACGCCAGAGGTGTTCTCAACGGCGGACGCGGCGCCGACTTTTTCAATGGACGCTCCGACATCAGTCGCTGCCGCTTCCGCCTTGGAGACGAGCTCCTCCTCGGCGGCGCCGAGCTTGTCGTTCTCGACGCGGTCATCCGGGGCCGTCAGCTGCACACTTCTCTTCTCCACGCTGGCGGTCGCCGTGGGGAAAAATTCACCGGTGCGGAGATGGAGATGGAGAGAGAGGCGGCGTCGGACGAAACGATCGAAGTGGATAAGACCGAATCAGCCATGCGAAAATACAGAAATACCCTTCCACCTCCACATCCTAATACAGTGCCACCACAAGGACGAGTTGGTACCTCGCGGTACCCAGCGATGACAGCCGTTGGATCCTATCTACTCAACGGTGACGATTTGGTACCGCTTTGGTCTGCTGTACGGTAAAAAAACTCTCAGAATAAACTTTGCCTTTGTCAATAGTGTCGGCCGAGCAGCGAAAAAGTAGCAGGAACTCCAGATTTTGTACGTCTTGGCGAGATCGAATCTCTTAAGTTAAAAACCACGTCCCGTTTTCTTGAACGAGTGACTGACACGTCCTTGACGTAGCAACACCTCCGTGAAGACGTCGTTTTTTATGACTCTGCTTTGGGGTGATGTTCTAGGTCCGGCGACGATCACACATAGCGGTGGTCTGTTTTAGTGGCAGATTATTAAAATTTTGATAGTTTGGGCAAATCTATATAATTCAATTATCATTTGTGTGAGTATTTGCTTTAAAAATTTATGTAAGTACGTTTGCTGCTGTGTTGTTGTTTCATACGCACTATTGGTGGCTAAGAAAAGTACTCCCTTGTTCCCAAATTGATCATCATATAAATTTATACACCAAAATCAAGAATAATTTAAACCACGTCAATCAAAACACCATGCACACATTCTACCACAATGGATACATCGATTAAAACACCATGCCAATTACACCTTAGCATGCACACATTCTCACATGCTGCATTAATTATATTCTAATGAAATCAGTGTCCATGCGGTCATATCATGATCAATTTGAGAAATTTTGGGCGTGTTTGGCTGTCGTGTACAGCGTTGCCCTGCAGCCTGCACCCAGTCCTCTTGCTGCAGCAACAAGCTATAACGTGGCTGTGAAACAGCGCTGTACAATATAGCCGAACAGGCCCTTTGTATTCTATTATGTGAAGATCAATTTAGAAAGTAGGGAGTAATTAGTAAGGTAATTAGGCATTAATTTATTGGTGAATCGTTGCATGCGCTTGGTGGAGCCCAGCTCATTGCTAGCTCATGGTAGTCGGGCCTTAGCTTTGGTGTTAGGCCCCGTTCTTAATGACATGTTTTATGTGATTGGTACGTGATTTCTAGATGTGCACTGCGGTATACAAGCCAACATCCACAGTCTTCTTTAGATGATGATAGTATTTCTTGTACAGTAACTTTTTTTCTCCCACTCTTAACAATGTTTTGGACGACATTTTCTTTGGTCATCCCAAAAAAGCAGCGAAAAAGACAGCAACATCTTTATGGGCTTATGGCCCATCACTACGGCCTGGCCCAGCATAGCTCACGATGGAACGAGCGGCCGGCCTGGGCCATCTGCTGTTCATGGCCCAACTAGAGCCCACGAAACGACGGCCCAAGAAAATCTCCTCTCCACGACCACGACACTGACAGGTGGACCACGCTACTAGGGTTTAAGGCAAGCGCTGCCGCGTTGACAAGTCAACGTGGCCCCGAGAGAGAGGGGGAAAGGGGAAGGCCCGGGGCCTCGCTACGTGGTCCATTTCCGGTCCAGTCTCCCACAACGCCGGAATCGAACCTTCTTCTTCCTCTTCTTCTTCTTCTTCTCTCCTCGGCCTCGGCGCGGTTCGGCTTCGTCGTCTTCCCCTTCCCCTCCTTCGCGGGCGGCCGATCCGTCCGTCGGAATGCCGGAAATGGGCGCGCGTGGGGGCGAGGCGGGGGCGGCGAGGGTGGCCAATGGTGGTGGAGGAGGAGGAACGGGAGGGATGAGGCTGTTCTCGCCCGAGTACTACGCGCTGTGCACCGGCGGCGGGATGCTGGCGGCGGGCGCCACCCACCTCGCCATCACCCCGCTCGACGTCCTCAAGGTCAACATGCAGGTATGCTATTATTGCAGGAGAGCGGTGTGGCTGTGGTTGCCTGCTTTGCTCGATTGCAGAGGAGCGAGTTCTTTTTTTTTGTGTTGCAATTTAGCACATTCTAGCTAGTGAGTTTAAGGATTAAACTGCAGCTGATATTGTTCATATTAAATTAGCAATGTCAAATGCTCAGTTGTATACCATATCAAATGGAAGGTTTGGAATCTTTCATTTCATATGGTTTGAATACATAATCATTACTAATTCATAAATGATCCACAGGGCACCTTCGGTTTTATAATAGTTACTACTTCCCTTTAATTGTTTTGGCAGGTGAATCCCATGAAGTACAATAGCATATTTTCGGGACTGAACATTCTTGTAAAAGAAGAGGGAGCTTCATCTCTTTGGAGGGGTTGGGCAGGGAAATTCTTTGGCTATGGTTTCCAAGGTGGCTGCAAGTTTGGTCTTTATGAGTATTTCAAGAAGAAGTACTCTGATGTGCTAGTGGACAGAAATAAGAGCACCATTTACTTTATTAGCAGTGCCTCTGCTCAAATCATAGCTGATGTTGCCCTCTGCCCCTTTGAATCGGTGAAAGTCCGTGTGCAGACACAACCTATGTTTGCAAAAGGCTTGATTGATGGCTTCCCAAGGGTGTATGCCACTGAAGGCTTGTCCGGGTAAGCTTCAAGTAAGATACTACATATTCTTAGCTTTGCTTGTTGGTTGGTGCCCTATTGTATATCTGAGATACCACTGCAATTCCTCTTACCTCTAGCTTATTTGTTTATTGCAGGTTTTACAAGGGCCTTTTACCACTTTGGGGACGGAATCTTCCATGTATGTAGTACCTCCGTCTGTATGATATGCTTGAAATGCTTCTGGATCATTTGTAGTAATGTGCGACATAGTTAAATGAGCTCATTTCGCAACTCTTAAATAATTTTGATTAAGTTATGATCTAAGCGTGTTCTTTTGCGAAAATGTTTTCACTTATGTGGTACAAAAATAGGTACAACTGCACAAGTCACATCGCTGACAACAAAACTCTAGGTGTGAAGTACTTAATTGTAAGGGGCAAGAACTAAGCTGTATCTGTATGCGTAATTCTGATTTGTTATTGTCTTGTGGGGATCATATTTCTTTCTGCTCAGTCAACTCTGAGCTTTTAAATCTGCACATATGGCAACAAGCAACATCTATCTGCCTATTTCAGAAGTTCCTTTTATCCTGTATTTGATGTTTGGAAACATTTGCGCAATTTCGCCTTAAGTGTGTCAGTTCATTAGTGGATCTTTTGGTTTCTAAAGTATAAATGTTTTTTCTGTTCAGGTATATCTTATCACCATTTGTTCTATTCGTGCAGTTTCTATGCTAATGTTTTCAACATTTGAGCATACTGTGGACATCCTATATCGGAATGTCATTCAGAAGAAAAAGGAGGATTGTTCAACAATGCAGCAGCTTGGGGCTACTTGTCTGGCTGGCTACATATCTGGTGCAGTTGGTACTGTTGTTTCCAATCCTGCAGATAACATTGTCTCATCTCTATACAACAAAAAGGCTAAAAATATCATAGATGTAAGGATATGATTTTGTGTCTCCAGCTTATAATAATAATTCAAACTCTCACCATCCCAATGATCTAATATTTGCATCCTACTCTTGCAGGCTGTGAAAAGTATTGGGTTTCGTGGTTTGTTCACAAGAAGCCTACCTGTTCGAATCACTCTTGTTGGGCCTGTCATAACCATGCAATGGTTCTTCTATGATACAATTAAGATATTGACTGGATTGTAAGTATGCAGTGTAATTTCTCAATGATATCCTATTTTGTTTATTTATTTAACAAATATGGTTTAAAATCTTAACCAAGCTTATCTGCGGTTCTCCACGCTGGGTTTTCGATTGCATTTATGCTGATATTTTTCTTAGGGTACATCAATCTTTATTGCATAATATGTGACTGTAGTATATTTCTTAATCATCTAGTAGAGAGGAGAACATGCATAGGTAAAATAAAATCATGGATTGGCTATGTATAACCAATACAAAGTGTGTTTGTATGCAGAAGTGATTGTAATGCAATAAGATCATAGGCAAATGTTTTTTTTTTCACGACATATGAACGTGTCTCCCCATTGTGTTTAGTTATGCATTTGTAGTGGATTTATGGTGACAAAGAAAGCCATGTTCTCTTTCTGCAAGTGGCATTTCAATGCTAATGTCTTCAATGGTGTTTCAAATATACACTGATGCTAAAATTGTTCTGAAGGTGTTATATGTGATGTCCTTTTCCTGTTGACAATCACACAAATTCACTCCTTAAATTTGTCGTTTGTACAACTGATACTTGTGTGGTACTCTCCTGCCCTTTAGGGTGGTGTTCTGATTCTATGGTAGTGTTTTAGCTAATGTCCATTAAAAATTTGACATGGCGCCCTGGCATCTTGTATCGGTGTAGAATCCTGATAGGTTTCTTCTGATGAGTCCCAATCTGTTTATTTCAGGCCAACGAGTGGAGGGCTTCCTCGTGAACTGGAAGAAGTTTAACATATGACCTGACCAGTTTTACAAGCGTTTTTTGTTAGTACATTTTCGTTTAATCACAGAGAAGTATCGGCGCATGATTCTGACCGACTATTGGAAAGACTACAATTGATAGTTTCAGGAAGCAACCAACTGAGCCAAATACACTGCATACTATATGTACGGCAAATCTGGCATTATAACTGTATGCCCTACACCTTAAAGCAATCAACATAAGCTCCAGTAGATCAGCACTTCTCAAGGAACACTAGTGTTTGCGGATGTTCTGTAGTAGCTCTATTTTGAAGATTGTTGTATGACAAAATGTGCTCATGTACACACATGATCCTCCACTGTGCATATTATTGGCAAGGATGAAAGCTAAGATCTTATTTTATCTGTGTTGTTATTGTAGCTAACTTATGAAATGGCCTTGCACAGTAGTTGTGTTCAGCTGCAGTGGCAACAATAGCTTCCATAATCCTTACTCGTATGACTCATAAGTCATAAGTAACCTTGTTCAAAATTTTTGTACATTTTGAACTAAGCTTTGTGAACTTACAGAAACAGTATTATGCCTCTTTCAGTACATGACATGAATACTTACAACACAATAAACAGTGTTGGAATCTAATTCTTAGACACTCACATTTCCTCATTACAATACAATCACAATGCAGGAACCAAGTATAAATTACAATCTTGAGCTTTCAAAATTCAGAAGAATATAAAGAGAACCGGGCTTGAATATGTTCTTTTTTTTTCAGCATCAGAGAAGCACAGAGGCAGCAATGCAGCATCTACTTGAGAGGGATCTTCACGTCAGGGTTGCGCAACGGCTTGAGCCACATGTCGGCCATCACCCTCGACGACATGCTCCAGAGCACGTCATGGCCGGATTTCCCCGCCGCCGCCGCCGTCCTCCCCTTCCTGCCGGCCTTGCCGAGCCCGTAGGCGACGAGCCAGTGCATCGCCGTCAGCCGCTGCTTCTCGCCGTCCCAGACGTTACGCCGGTCGGCCGACTTCAGCCGGAGGCCGCCGACGTGCATGTTCGCCACCTTGAACTTCGGCTCGTCGTCGTCGTCGTTGCCGGCGATTCTGACGGCCTGGATGATCACGATCGACGGCGCGCCGACCGCCTCGTACCGGCGCAGGGGATCCCTTAGCTGGGCGACGAGCAGCATGGTCACCGTGTCGGCGCCGACGCAGGCGAGCGCCCAATCCTCCGGTGGCACGGCGGCGTCGAGGAGGTGGCCGCCGCCCCGCTTGTCGCTGGCCGGTGACACGTCGAACGGCGACTGCTCGTCGGCCATGTCGGCCTGCACCTTGAGCGCCTTGATGGCCATGGCCTCGATCTTCTGCAGCGAGAACGCCAGGATCTCGTCGACGGTCACCGGCGTCTCGTGGGCGTTCCAGATGCCGGTGTCGATCCTCTCCTGCCGCCCGTCGCTCATCGCCGACGACATCGTCCGAAGCAGCGACACGGTCTGCGCCGCGCTGGAGCTCGCGCCGAGCGCCGCGCTCCGCGCGCTGATGATCGCCGTCGCCATGCCCTCGAAGGCGATCTGCTCCGCCGTCTTGCCGACCACCTCGTCCGTCCCGACGAGCGCCGCCAGCTTCTCGAACAGGGCCTCGCAGCCGCCGGCGCACAGCTGCTGGAACAGCTCGGCGCCGCCGCCGGGGAGCCTCTGGTCGCGGAGGATGACCGGCTTGGACAGCTGCATGGCGAGCTTGGGGAGCTCCTTCCTCTCCACGGGGATGTCGAACGGGTTGGTCGCCGCCAGGTAGCCGCCGTCCCTGGTCTGCACGATGGGGCCGAGCCCCTTGCCGAGGTCGGAGATGTAGCACGCCGCCGACGCGTCGGCGGCGCCGCCGGTGTCCCGCTTCGCGCCGGACTTGAGCGATGACACCGACTTGGCGAGGGTGGCCTTGCCGTCTCCTTGCTCCAGCAGCTGCAAGAACTCCCTGGTCACCTCCTCCTCGTCGGTGTCCAGCGCCGCCGCGTCGCCGTCCCGCGTATCCTCCGTCTTGCCGGCGGCCGGCGCGTCGCCGAGCATCATTGACTCGAGAGCCTTGATCTGGTTGGTGATCGCCTCCAGCTCGTTGATGCGCCACGCGTGCGCGCTGTCGTGCACCACCTCCTTCACGACCTCGTCGCCGGCGGCCGACGTGGGCGCCTCCTCCGCCGCCGCCTTCTCCTCCTTGGCTTCTTCTTCCGCCGCGCCTTTCGCTTCAACGACGTTCTCTTCTTGCCCTTCCACTCCTTTGTCCACTACGTCGAACTCCGGGAACTCCGAGTCATCGACCTTCTCCTCCGGCTCCGGCGGCTCTGGCTCCTTCTGCTCTTGCTTGGCCTCTGCCAGCGATGGCAAACTGGGCTCGTCGAGCTTGAAGTCGTCAATGCCTCGCAAGTCCGGCGACGGCGAGCCCTTTGTCGGCGTCAGCTTCGGCTCCGACCGCGACACCTTCGGGCTCGTGATGCTGAAGGATAGCTTGCTCTGCTTCCGTGCAAACAAGGAAGAAGACGACGACGACGAGTTAATCTTGGTTGCTGCTCCGGTCTGGTTGAACAGCCCGACGCCGCCGTCGTCCATGATCTGGAACGACAGTTTGACGACGAGCTCGCCGCCCTTCGCCTTCCCGGCGAGCGGCAACGCCATGTCCCATTGCCGGACACGCTCCCCTTGCTGGCTCTTGTCCGTGGACTCCTTCACGAGGAGGCTCAGGTCGACGGCGCTCCGGCCAAAGTCGAGCTCGGGGGCTTCCACGGCCACCGCCGACAGGAGGAACGGCCGGGGCTCGAACCTGAGCGGCTTGCCGGTGCCGGCGCCGCCGCTGCAGTAGAGGTGGCAGCGCACGAAGAGCGTCTCCTCGAAGTCGGCGGCGCCCTGCTGCACGCGCGACGGCATGGTCTGCATGGCGCCGTCGCGCGTCTCCTTCTTGCGCACGGCGACGGCGAGGCGCAGCCCGTTCATGGACGGCGGCAGGCCCTGCGCCGCCACCACCTCGACGGAGAAGAGGCAGCCGAGCCGGTTCATGCCGATGTGCGACAGCGCGCGGATCGGCTTCCAGCCCCATATCCCCTTCTTCTCTCCCGCCACCGCCGCCGCCTCGCCGCCCGGGGTCGTCACCGCCGCGAAGCTCTGGCTCTTGGACGGCGCGCGGCGTGCCCCCTTGTCGCCATCGTCGTCGCCGTCGTCGTCGTCGTCGTCGTCGACGATCGCGTTCTTGTCCTGCTTAGGCCTCGAGCGGAACGGCGACAGGGACAGCCGCCGCGACCGCGGGCGCGACTCGGCCCGGACGACATCGGCGCCGCCGCCATTGACCTCGGAGGCCGAGCGAGGCAGCGCGAGCGACGCGGTCCGGCGGTTGGTGTGCGCCTGGTACAGCGTGTGGCTGAGCGCGTCGAGCTCCTGGAGGATCTGGTTACTGCTCTTGCCGTCGTCCGCCATGGCTGCTTCTGCTGCTGCTCCGACCTCGCCGGCAACGACTCACCACTACAATTACTAGTACTAGTAGCTAGCAAGCTAAAGAAAGAAGCAGATAAGAGGAGGAGGTGGCGAGGGCGAAGTGTATGGCGAGGGAAGGGAGGCCGCTGATGGCGCCATGTCGCCATGAATGGCGACAGTTTTGGCGGGATTGGGATTGAGGAGGGGAGGAGACGAACGATTTGTGAGGTTTCTCTCTTCTTGAATTCTGTGGTGTTCTTGCGGCCGTTGGTTTGGCGCCAAGAAGGTCTTCTCCAGCTGCTCTCTTGAACTCTTGGTATGGATTAATCCAAACGGATAGTTGGATTTTCTATGTTGCATTACAGCGAGCAAATATTTCAGAAATAATTAGTGGCTGTTATGTAACAATCGACGTGGCTCGCCAGATGAACAATATGCAGCAGGAGCAAGACAAAATAATCATGTCATCCAGTGACAAGTTATCAGACTCCAATCAACATCATACACAAAATTGATGCATTTCCAGATAAAAATGTTGTGGTTGCTAGCTACAAACAGCTGCACTCTGCAGGCGCAACTTTGAGAATCGAAACTGAAAAATAACAAACTGAAGACTCAAGAATTGATGTACAAAATGGCCACCACAAGTTATCAGATTTATTTACCATCTCATGAATGTGTGCTTATTGCTTGTTTTGTCTACAAATGTTGATACATGGTCAAGAAATACTCATGTGAAGGTACATGTAGGAGGCTATTGTTTGGAACTCTCCTGCTCTTCTTGGTTGCTTTCACCACTTGTTCCTGCAAATCCCCGCCTTTCATCGGCAGAGGCGGTGATGACGGGCATCCAGATATCAGCAGTGGTACTCAAAAGGGATTTCACCTCTGGATCCGAGGCCATGGCAGAAGATATCATCTTGTCAACATTATCAAGCCTCGCTGATAGTTTGTCCAGCTCTGCTGCGATCTCTAACTAAAGATAGCGTTGAACGAAAACAAATGAGATGAGAAAATGTAAATAAATTCGCGGAAAGGGGATTAAACAGAGGTTGTTGCAGTTACCTCATCAAGCTGCTTAGGTGTCTGCTCTGGTACCTTGGTAACTTCTAGTCCTAGTGCTTCGATCTTAGCACGCAATTCTACTTCTTCCTGGTTGCTCATTGACTCCACCTGCATTTGAATAATCAAATACTAGTTACTTTCTCAATGATCATAGTCAAGCATCAAAAGACAATTGTCGTCTTATCCAAATCACAAAAAGATATGATGTTGAATAGTAAGAAATCAGAAATATCCTGAGGAACTGCGAGAAATGAATGTAAAGTAACAACCACATGCAATCCTGCATATAATGAGGATCCAAACTTCCAATGCTATAATCAATGAACTATACAGATTCAGATGCCCCAATAATGACAAAACATTACATGCTATGCAAAAATGTAGACACGCCTACAAACAGGACAGTCAGTGATGGGGGTACCAAGGTCCAATAGACTACAATACCTTGCAGATACAATGTTAAGTAGAACCCTCATGGAGAGGGCTAAAATGAACTAATCCTGTATGGCATTTCACTTGTCACCGAGAAGTAAGTGTTCAGTTAAGTGATCATGTCTATGAATGTTTTCATGGTTCCACACTCAGATTACCATGCAGTTTATAAGAATAAGACTACACTCATGAAAAAAAAAAGTTTGTAGTACTGATTCAGCATTTTGTATATTGTTCCTATCACTCATAGGGTAAACTGTTGAGTTTCAGATACCGGTGAATGGTCACTAGTTGTTTCAAGTGAGGTTATTGGCCCTAATATACATGATCATGCCGCTGATTCTGTGGTTCTATGGGAAATACAGCAAAAAGAAAAGGGATTCTATTGTTGTTGTTTTGTCTTGTCATAGCTTGAAAAATATGAATATATGAAAATAAAAGAAAAAGAGTTTCACACCTCCAGGTTGCAATGGGTGTAGTTGATAGAGTTCAGAGTTTTGAAACAGGGGCTGATATAGATCAGCTTGATTTAGATAGGAAATTTTGTTTGATTGCTAGAACGAGAAGGAATCAATCCCAGCCAATCACCAGTAGATTGATAGTTGGCATTGACCTTCAATCACCCAATGACCCAAATCAATAGCCCATGTTTCACTCTTTCAGATTCGTAAACATTACACAGCAGGGCGCGCAGTGCATAGTAACATAAAGCAAGGAATCCACCAGAAAGAGATTAACTACATCAACTCTGAGCCTATGCACTATGCTGCTATTTTGCTTCTCTCCCAGCCATGTCGTTGAGGTCGAATCCCAGGCCATAGGCCATGTTGCATCTATCCCCAAAACAAATTAACTAGGTTTACATAAATAATGGTATCAACCGAGATTGATATGTGATACTAGATCCGCAAAAGTAACAACATCCGCACGAAGCGAAGATCCATGTCGGCGAAATCATGAACCACCCCTAATCCAAAAACAAGAAATCGACAACAGATCGAGAGGGCGGCGGCGCTTGTACCTGCTGGAGCAGGTCGGAGAGGAGCTGGAACAGCTGCGTGTCCGGCTTCGCCTCCTCCGCCATCAAAATTTCCTTCTCTTTCGATTCCTCTTCCCCGCCGAAGCTGCTCGTTCTCTGTTCTTGCGTGCAGCAGGTTGGGCTCGAGATTTGCCTGGCTCTTGGCTTCCCCTGATTAGCCTACACGAGAGAGAGAAAAAAAAACATAAAAAAAGGGCGTGAGGTGTCACCGATCAGGACCCGTTTTGGGGTGATCCGCTTGGGAATTTTTTTAGTTTTTAGATTTTTTTTTAATATTTACAGAAATAATCTATCGACCAAAAAAAATTGCAGAAATAGCCCCTGCCGCCCTAATGGTGGGCGGCAAGCTGACGTGGCAGACGGTGGGTCGACCGCGCCGTCTGCCGCCGTCGGCCAAAATTGCGATTAGGCACTTGCCGCCCATACAGAGGGCGGCAAGGGGCTAATTGCAATTTTGGCCGCCCATAAAGAGCTTGCGGCCGTACTTTTTCATCTGGATCCCTTGCCGCCTTCACCCAGATAAAAAAAGTACGGCCAAAAGATTTTTCTATGTTATGTTAATAATAAATAAAGAAGTATTTATTGGTAAAACTTGTTAATATTGTTATAAAAATGTATTGAAGTTGGTTGTTGTGCAATTTCATATGTTAAGTGAGGTATTATTTTTGTACCTTATTCGACGTATTAGTACTCGGATAATTTATATAGGCCTATCGCAGTCTGGGTCGTAGAAACATTATATGGACTTAAACAAGGAGAATTATGTAACATGAAGAAATAGTAGTACAATTTGAACATGATATGACTATTTGCATTGCGGTTACATAGATGATATTAGATTCGAACTAGGAGGGAGGTAGTGCAATAGTTGAACACAACGACGATGTAGTAATGGGACAAGGAAGCATGACAGTAGAAATTTCAATATGCCAAGTTGTCCAATAATAGCTAACCCCTACGTGAGTGTCGGTGACATGGGGCCGGGGGTATCGTGACTAGAGGCTTGGGTAGCCGCGGTCACCCACGTGGCCTGACCTCCTCGGGGGGGTCGGGCCCGAAGGTGACGTGGCCACCCCTCCCTCTGTCTCCCCGAGGGGTCGGGCCGCTCCCGTTTCGGCCCCGAGGGCTGGGGTGCCCCGACCCCCTGTGGTTTTGGCGCCACGTGTGTGGGTTAGGTGAGCACAGCGGGGCTCACCTAACCGCATTTATAGCAGGTTGGACGAAGTGCACCACGCCGCATTTAATGCGGCGCAGCGCATGCTTATCCGATCCGTGACCGGTCGCGGTGTGTGACCGGTCACAGACCGGTCAGATCGCGGGTTAGGTGGCAATAGGCGGCCTGTCACACGCCTCGCCCCGTCCCGTCGGAATGATGAGAGCTTCCTGGCTCTCGTCCCTAGCCGGAGCCGGCGTGCTAACTCCTGGAGTTGGTATGTCAGTCCCGGTCAGATCCATTCCAGGCTTCAACGCAAGTATGGCAAGGAAGTCGCTGGCCATTAAATGAAGGTTGAAATGGGCGTCCACCGGAAAAGCGGGCGAGTGGGGCAGGAGGCGTGTGCTCTGCTTGTCAGAGGTCACTTCCGGCTATAGACTAGCCCTCATTGTAAAAAGCATGTTTCCCTTCTTAGGCAGCGAGAGGCCCATGTGGTGACCCCTAACCAGATAAAAAGGAGGCCCAGGCCTAGGGGAGAGGGGGATTGGGACTCTGGCGAATGGTTTCTAGAGCCTGAACTCTCTCTCGCTCTCCGCCTCTCTGTATTCCTTCACGCACAGATCCACCAGAACACAGGAGTAGGGTGTTACGCTTCTCAGTGGCCCGAACCTGTCTACGTCGCCCGTGTCTTGTGCATTTCCTCTCTCGCTGACGTTCCTCAGATCGAGGGCGAAGAACCTCACTTAGCGCCCCCGGCCGAACCGGCAAAGGGGGGCCTGCGCGGTCTCCCGGTGAGGAGCCCCACGCTCCGTCAGTGAGGATCCCTCTCCTCTCTCAAACCGCACTTTAGTAACCCTGTATTGCTCTGGTAGTTCAAGCTACACAACACGGCTAGGTGGAGTTAGAACCCTTCTGGTGTCTATCCATTCTCTGTATTGACATCTCCTTGGTGGTTCCTGGGAGGAAAGAATAGATGTAAAGCAAGCAAAGTTAATAAATGTTGTGAGAAAATAAGCATCTTATTATCAAATCATATTACTCTTTCATGCAATAAACATCTACAACATAATATCTTATTGTGTAAGCCAATGCAACGGTAATGTATTGATTCCAAACTAGCAGATCTACGTAGTTACCGATATTTACAATACGCACTTCTAGATTAGTACAACTAAAACCCTAAAAATATAATGCATTTATTCAAACAAATTTTTAAAGAATACACACTATTTAACTCAATAGTCACATATAGGATCTATGAATATTACCTGAAATTGGCGTCTGAATCCGGCAGGGCTTCGCCCCTTCTTCTCTTCTCCTCCCCTCTCTTCTTTTTTTTTCACTGGAATTGAGGAGAGAAGAATGAGGGCTGGGGGCTGGGCAGCAGGCCCTTTATAGGCAGCGAGGCCTGCCGCCCGGCCAGAGGGCGGCAAGGGGCCGCCTGCAAAATAGCCGGCCCCGACTGGCTTTTTTGCATTCGGGCCCCTTGCCGCCCCACCAGAGGGCGGCAAGGGTTTTCCTGCAAAAAACCCTCCCTCCGTCACCGCCCGTTCCTCCCCCGTTTGCCACGTCAGCTTGCCGCCCCAGAGGTGGGCGGCAGGGTCTATTTTTGTAATTTTTTTGGGCGATAGATTATTTCTGTAAATATTTTTTTAAAAAAATCTAAAACCGAAAAAAATTCATCCGCTCGGATCCAAGGCCCAACTTCACTAATGGGCCAGCTGTTCGCAGCTTTGTTGCCTTTCTTCCGCTTTGGGCCGTGACCGCGCTGCTTGCGGCCCAGCGTGAAGGCGTACATACAGATTTTTTTTAATTTTTATTTACTAAAATATTTAGAAAGTAATTGTTTTTCAAAAAGTATTGCAGATCTACCCCTAATGGCCGTTGTTGGGAGGATTGTATATTTGTTTATGACATTGCACGCGTTATAACAGTCGTGCAGCCTAACTCTAGTAGAATGGTAAGGAGGTTGTCTACAAAATAGTCAGTTCTCCTTCACGTAGCCGTTAGCATACGTGCAATGGTTACGTGCCATGTCATAAGTAAAATATTCTCTAAGATGACATTCTTTAAGAGGAGTGTATATATATACATGTAATACTTTGAAAATATTGTTTTTTAAAATATTTGAATAGATAAAATAAAAAAAATTACGTACACACACAGAGACAGGGTACTGCATCCGCGAGCACCGGTGGACGTGGGGCGCGTGCACCGAGCGAGTCGGTGGTGGTGGCGGCGGCCTGCGCGGGGTGAGAGACCGGGACGACGAGCGGAAGCTACCGTGGCGTGGCTCATCGGTGGGAGGGGGGCGTCCAAGGATTCGTTGCTTTGACCGGTGACAAACGCGTGTGCTTGAATCGTTAATATGTTGTGCTTTTATTTTTGTTGGTTTTGGGTCAAAAAGAGAGCCAAGTCATGTGCACCTACGTGTTATGCTTCCTCTTATTTTCGTGTTTCTATTTCGGTGAGATATGATGGAATTTGGTATATTAATTGTATCGCAAGTTTCTAAACACACCTAGATGTTCTTTTCTTTTCCTCCTTGTTGTCGGTAAGAGCAAAGGTAACATCTTACGGACAAAACAGAGCTGATAGTAGCAGAAATAAAAGGAGAGGACATGAAGCTTTTCAAAAGATATTTGTAGAAACGCCGTAGGTTTTTTTAAAGGGCTATGGACATTGATTTTAAGTTCCTTTTTCTTTGTTAAAGTATGTCAAATGACACCCTGTATAAACTATTAGCTTGTTTAAGAAGCTTTGTTTTACATGCGTCTCGTAATCTAAGCTATAGCCATAGGTGGTGTGTACACGCATATGTGATGTTTTTTTAGATTGTGTGAAAAATACATGCCATGCACGTAAATCACACGTTTGTGAGTGTGTATCTATTAATATACGCTCAATGGTAAAAATCCATGCCCTTGTTGAATTCTTACTAAAGCGCAACCACACGTGTAGTATTAATTGATAATAGGCTGTGTTAGGAGGTTGAGGTTGGGAACTCAACCTCCTCAGCGTAAAATAGAGCAATCCATTAGCACATGATCAATTAATAATTAGCTAAAATAAACTTGAAAACTGATTAGTATCATTTTTAAAAAAAATAACTTCCCTATAGAACTTTTTTTCATAAAAAAGCGCCATGTAAGCAGTTTGGGAAATGCGCATGTGAAAAACGAGGAAGTAAGTTAAGAATTGATACATCCGAATATAACTTTACATATCTTCGGAAAACATTCTTCTTTTATTCGTTATTGGTATAACTCTGAAAGAAAACAATTATTGTAGTTGGAGGCACTTACTCCCTATATGAAGCAAAATTTATGCAAGTTTTTAGTAGGATATGACCGACATTTCTACATAAATCTAGCACCTGCAAAAATCAGTAAACCTTTTATGTTAACATTAATATTAATAAACATCCCGATTGAGTCATGCTAGCGAAATTAATTTCTGGTGGGATTTATCCAAGATAAACCCTATTATTAGTTCTAATATCATTAGTTTCGTAGTAACACATACTCCTACTATGTTACTAACAAATGAGCATTGCAATTCATCTCACAGTAGACATTTTTTTATGGACGAGAAGAAAGTAAGAAAAAACAGAAAACCGCCAGTTCGCATCCAGATCACAACCAGAGGCGTCCAATGGCGGTACAATCCGTGCTGTCCATCCGAGACACGCAACCGGCGCCAGGAGATCTCCACCGTCCGTATCCGAAACCGCCAATCCAGCCGTCCATCCCTTACCCACCTCCCCAATAAATACCCTCGTACCCCTTCCCACCCCACACCTTCTCTCCTCGCTCTCTCTCTCTCTTCCTCTCTCGCTTCGCTTTTCTCCCCCAAATCGGATCGAACAAAATTCGTAAATTAATCTCATAAAAACACACACGAAGCGAACGGATTCGAAGAGAGCTTAACACGAGACGGCTTCGATCGATCCCGTTTTGGGGAGCTAATCGTGTGGTTTTTGTTGGATTGTTTTTTTTGGGTGTTAATCTAGGGTTAGGGTTTCGGATCTGGACGATTAGTCCCCAAATCCATCCATGAATGACCCCATGATGCGGCCACCGGCGCAGCAGCCGCCGCTGCAGTACCAGATGTGGCCGCCGCCGCCGCCGCCGGTGATGGAGTTGCCGGTGGTGTTCGTCGGGGTGAAGCCGGTGAGGCCGGCGTGGAAGCGGGTGGCGAGGCAGCCGGGGTGGAAGCAGCGGAAGGCGGCGGCGTCGGCGGCGGCGGTGGGGGCGAGGTGGGGCGGTGCGGCGGCGCCCCGCAACACGACGTCGTACCTGATCCGGGCCAAGCGGGCGGGGGGCGTGGCGTCGCTGGTGTCGCCGTGCCCCGTCACGCCGGCCGTGCTGCCGACGCCGCAGCTGTCGCCGGCGCGCGAGGTGGTGGTGGAGATGGCCAAGGAGAAGTGGGGCGTCGACGGGTACGGCTCCATGAAGGGCCTCATCCGCCTCCGCTCCCAGGCCGCCGACGCCGGTGGCCTCCCCGGCGAGGACTCCGGATCCGGCGAGAGCGACGTGGAGGAGCACGTCGAGGTGGAGCGCCGCCTCGACCACGACCTCAGCCGCTTCGAGATGGTGCAGCTCCCCGTCGCGGCCGGCGACTGCGAGGACGACGAAGACGACGACGACGGCGACGAGGCCCGCACCGCGCGGCTGGAGGAGGAGAACCTGACCCTGCGCGAGCGGCTGTTCCTGATGGAGCGCGACATGGACGACCTCCGCCGCCGCCTCCTCGCCGTGGAAACCCTCTGCCGCGACCGCCACCGCGACGGCTGCGTGGTGGACGCTGCCGGCGTCGTCGCCGAGGAGACGGTGCTCTCCGAGAGCGTCGCCGGCGCCGACCTCGCCGGAGTCGGAGACGACGACGGTGACACGGCGGCGGACGCCATGAAAGCGTGAAGCAGACAAGGGCTTGTACTACTCAACTGTACATAGGTTTCCGGGTTTCCCCTGTGCAGATGTTGATGTGAAGAGTAGGCAGAAGCAGCTTTAGCTTAGAAATTACTCTTCTTCTTTGCATCCTTCCTGTGGTTTAATCTTGATTTTTGTTATTACTTGTTTAGCAGCAGCTTGATCATCTCTTTGTAGTACTAGTTCGGTTCCATTTCTTCTTGTAGAATCAAATCAGCCAATGGATGATGATGATGATGAAATTGGGTAGGCAGGCAAGAACACAAGATGTGGGTGTTCTTCTTCTGCTCCTGTAGATCCCTCATCAACTACTCTCCTAGTCTCCTAGATAGATAGACTATTATCTTAGAGTATGATGTTAGTACCAAAAGATATTCAGTAACCTGCTCGGTGTATGCTATGAATTTCAAATCCAAAGTGTTTGTTTAGTTTGTTCATTGCTGTTCTGTGGGCACCTAAGAAAATGTTTTAGTTGGTGATAGGTAGGAGATGAGCAAAACCGGTGACAGAAGCCAATCAAAAGAATCCCTCCTCTTTGTTCCTCGGCGTTCTCGCGTTTGTGTGTTTGGTACTTGTTGAATTGAATTGAGAAATCGAAATCTCTCTTGCGTGGAAGAGAGACCGACTCCTGTACTACAACTACAAGTGATGGTGTTTAATGCCGTTCGGTTGGTCAGGCCCTGTCCCGGATAGCTCCATTTCTGTGCCGAATTGTGCCGCGCAGACGTGCAGCTGCACTGCTGCAGGGTTGGCAGCTTGCGAGATGGGAAGCATTTGGCATTTCGCGTTGCTGGGTTTGGGCTGTGGGAGACTCCGAGGAGAAGAGAAACTTTTTCGGAAAGCTTAAAATTATGTGAAGCAGATAAAGAGAAATTAAGATTACGTGAAGCAGCTAAAGAGAAATTAGATGGTGAAAATTTAGAGAAGCTAATAAAAACTTTTAGCTTCTAGTTTATTGTTTATATTCTACAACTATAGATTTTGAATCTGAGTGAATATTTGAATTGTTTGAGAAAGTTCATGGCAGCTGGACATTGTAGAAGAAGATATAGTTACCAGAAGCTACTCCAAACATACCATAAACTCCATGGCTAGTAGCTAGCCTTCGTTGCTTAGCTCTATAGAGAGGAGGAGAATATAGCATCTGGGAAAGCGTGGTTTTGAGGAAGATGCTGAAAGCTCTGACCGATCTAGGACCCTTCCTTGCTACTGTAGTATGATCTCTTTTGTGTGCTATCGGAATTTCTCTCTTTATTTTTTCATTTAAAGGAAAAACCTTTGAATATTCCTCTCCTCTGTCTCTTTAAGCAGCTCTGCTGCCCCCTTTGTGTTTAGCCACGAAGATTCTTGATTTCTTTCTCACATCTCGAGACCCTGCAAGCAAGAACACACCCGAACGAACCGAACACCCGTGGTGACACGGTCCCATCCCATGGCGGCAAAACGCATTCGGTGAGGCCTTGGGTTTTGGCCCGAAATGAGTTGACCCAACCGCATAGGAAAAGGGTAGTAGGATGGAAGTTATAAAGTGTAACCAAATGCTATACTAAATCTTACCACAGAAACAGAGCCACTGCTAAACGATGCTGTTTTTTTTAAAAAAAAATTATATGAAAATCGCTTTAAAAATTCATATTGATTTATTTTCAGAATTTTTTAATTAATACTTAATTGATCCTGCAATAATGAGTTGTTCCGTTTTACGTACAAGAGGATTCATTCCCAACCCACTCCCAACCAACACAACCTAAGTATGGTTTCCAATCGTTTTAAATTTTTTAGTTATATATAAAATTTGAATGTCTCAATTTCTATCAACACACGTTCATTGTCAAATAGTTAAATTGATAAATATGAAGGAAAAAAAAGTTCTTGCCAACTTAAAATCGTTCCTGTACGAATGATATCATTTCGGACTCATCTACGAGCGCTGAGCGCATGAGTGCGACCGCACTGGGGCTTCAACTTTCAAGCTCGCGTAATCGCGCTGGTTGAACCAACGGATCCGACTAGCGGCTACTCCAGCCGCAGCCCCACTTATTACAGGCGTACACAGCCACCTTCTCCAGTTGATTTGATTTTGATTAATTCACTTGTCGATTCCGGGGAGCGTGACGTAGCAAATTGACAAAACCAGTGGGCTACACCACCATGGTTATGCATTTTCGGATATAAAGTTTTTTCTTTTTCCCCTTATCCCTCTTGATAGCTGCATAGAACATAATGATGGTGGTAATAACTCTGTGAGCAAAACATTCTGAATGTCTCGCTGCAGGCAAGGCTTGTTTGTGGATGCAATCTTCAGAAGGGTTAAATCATGAAGAGTTATGGATGCGGTAAAAGTAGCGATAGGTTAACATGTGTCCAGAAGGACCACAGAATGCTGTTGTTAATGGAAAAAAAAGTTGACCTTATATATTTTTCCCCCTTGAGCGAGTACGCAGACAAGACGGTTGAATGATACTAGTATACTATAATTGAGAACATGAATTCAATACGAGTACATGGAATCTGAAAAAGAATGCACTGCTGTGTTAGACTTCCTTTTCTTTTGTAGATCACAAACATCACCATTTTATAGTGTTTGTTTGGTCAAACACAAGTGCAGAACTGCAAGTTCAATGCCGCGCACATCCCATTTACAGTGTCCAGCTTGCTAATTTTTCATGGTGCAAAAAGTCTTATTAATACCTGAGTAAAATTCGATAACTTGCCGCAATCTGCAGTTTTTTTTCTACCAAATACAAATGCTAGGACGGTAGGCAAGCCTACAAGGTAATGTTATTATTTTGCTGTATTATGTGGTGTTGGTTTATATCCCATAAATATGGGAAAACACATTCTTTGTTGTACACTCAACGCTTACAAGTTGATGAGAAGGGCATGGATTGATAGACTGGCAAGCCACGCCACAGAAACACCCTGATGGCTCCAAAGAGTTAGCTTAGAGAAGCAGGAAAATAAAGGTCAAGTTGTATATGGGGAACTAAACGTACCTGCAGATCTTGCAAGGTTACATTAGTTCTGTAGAGTCAGGCGCGATTTGTGCGCCTTCCAACTTGGAGAGCGAGTTCAGTGTCTATCTTAAGAGATATATCAAGTGCCTTTACAGAATGTGTTAATGCTCCACTGAAAAGAAAATCAAGAAATTGTTGAAATAAATGATTTGGAAGTTCAAGATATCAGGTTGTTCTTCTACAGTAAAACAGCAAACAAAAACAAAGAGCTGGCAATTAAAGTCGTATTACAAAATTGCTCTGAAAAGCAAACATATCTCAACTCAAACAGAAGGCAGTGCACATGATATCAGTTGACAAATGGAAATAATTAGTAGCAGTTAATAGAAACAAGATGCCGATACCTTGAAATATAGGTAACCCCCGTTTCTCCAATTTTCTTCACTGTGTCAATAGTCACATTTCCAGATGCCTGAAGCAACAGTCACATTTCATTGTAATTCGTCAGTTAAACAAGGGAATTCACTATGCAATAAGCCCTGCAGTCTACCGTTACATCATATTTACCCTAAATTCCCCAAGTTAATAATGAGTATAAATAAGCAATATAGAATAATAACAGCAGTTCAAGACATCATCAGATTATAAGGATCAATAAAAGTAAATTGTCACTTCCCCCACCCATGTTATGTAAATAACACTGCAGGAAATGTATGCTTTGCAAAGTTAAACCTGCCACACCTCAGTCTCAAATCTACCATTTATCAACTCCACGGCATCCTTGAGCATTGATACATCAATATCACCGTTACCAAGAGGGACAACCATATTATCCAACATTATACGAGTTAAAGAGGTATTGTTCTCAGCAGCATACTCCAATAAATCTTTTACTTCCTGAAGTGTTCTTGTCTCAACCTGATTCATAAAATGTAATCACTGTCAACATATGCACATTCTCATTTTAGCTTTTTTTTTTTAAACAAGAACGTAAGCACATTTCTAACTAAAGAGCCTGGAGAGAAAAATGTAAAGCTAAAACAGAATCACATGCAAACATAAGTGCATCGTTTAGATGTGATATATGTAATCACTAGATGATACCTCAACAGGAAGTGCAAGCTTTTCCTTCGCCAAGAATCGATCAACAAATTTCATTGCATTTGTTATGCCCCCAGCAACAGAAATATGATTATCCTTTATCATAACCATATCAAATAAGCCAATTCTGTGATTCTTTCCACCACCAATTAGTACCTATGCTTGTACAAGCACGATTAAAGTTGCAACAGAAGGAATGAAAAATAAGCCACAAGTGTTAAAGTGGCAAAAAAAAAAAGAGAGACAGGTATCTTACTGCCCACTTGTCAACGAGGCGTAAACCTGGAGCTGTTTTCCTTGTTTCCAGTATGCATGCTGGATGAGCAGCGTCGGCCATGGCCTGAATGTAATAAAAAAGTATGTTGCATGAAATTCATTCTCACATAACACACAACAGGGTATAATTATATTAATTTTTAGAACATAGATTAAAACCCAGCTTTTACATCCAAATCATATGTACACAGCCCACCAGGTTTAATCATACTTGATCTGGGAAAAGCAAGACATCAAAGTGGTTTACTGAAAAATCAGATCGGGAGAATCAGCCTTGGCTGATTATCATCAAATCTGGAAAGTGGTATGCATGTACCTATCAGGAAAATATGTAAGGAGCAACTAGAGTGGCTGTTTGAATAGTGAAACATGTCCAAAGTCCATAAACAGTTGCCTATGTTTCACTTCATCTGCGAAAAAGACGAACATCTTAGCTATCAACTAAGGTCACCAATCACCTTTGTCATTGTAGCAATTCCACTCATTCTTTGCATGAAATTGAGCACAACTCTTTCAGCAACAATAATGTTGCGAGCACAACCTAAATACAAATGATGAAAATGTGAAAAGTGTGTTAGACCTACCAGGTTAACACAATTCAAGAACTTAGGCACTACCAAATACAATAAGTTGTTTTAGGCAGAATACCATATACTCTCCCAAATTGCAATCCCTTATGGACATAATTTCCATCACTTTCAAACCATTCAACCTGTAAAATGGCCCCCAAAATGGTATTATCAATGCCATATATGAAATGTGCAGAATCATGCCCTGCCAAACAGCAAAATGAAACTATGAAGCTGATATACCTTCAATGATGGATCAACTTGCTTAAATATCATATCTGCTAGGCTTATTCCAGCGACAACACCATCCTCCTTTGCAATAAAGGTGGCTTCAGCTTTCACGTCAGAAGGTATGGTTGCCAAGCAAGATACATCCCCTGAAGGTGTAAATATGATGCCAAGAGTGTCAGACTCATACTGAAAGATGAGAACTGCAAATAAGTTCAAAGCACAGCAATAGTTCAATGTCAAAGATAGAAGAACTTAAGTAGCATTACCATACTAGATTGTTACTAGTACTATTTAGGAGACTACAGAGGGCTAAAGCAGAGCAGCCCACCTGAATATGTTCCTTTAGCTCCAATAGAGTTAATCATATTTGTAGGAATCTCCAATGATGATAAACTTATTTTGCTAATACAACCGCAGTGTCTACGTTCATGACTATGCTAGTAACTGTTAAAGAACTGAAGAGAAAAAACAACAGATATAAATGTACCCCAAACAAATTGATTGCATATATGGGATTGCAATTTACAGACCACCGCGAAACTTAGGCCCTCTTTGTTTAAGCTTAGGCTTATTAGTTTAGACTTTTAAGTCAGCTTATTGGCTTTTATGGTTTATAAGCTGGTGGATTTAATGTGCTAAATTTAGTGGTGGAGTCATACATCTATCTCAAATAGGTCAAAAAAAACTTCTCCAACCTAGTTTTTGGTTTAATAATGTTAGAGTGGCTTATAACTTTAGAAAAGTCAAATGAATAAGCCGCTTGTTTGTTTAGGCTTAGACTTTTCAGCTTATAAGTTGGCTTATAAGCCTAAACAAAGAGAGCCTTAACAAAGTGATCTTACAGACCAGAAATGAATACCAAAAAACAAATGTTAGTACTTAATTGTGCCTACACTACACTACACCACTACAGGAACAGGATTTGCTTGTGGTGTCACGGCATACACGACTGCTATCTACGTTGCGTACCTCGGTCGCCGGCGTCCTCGGATAGGGCGAGGTTGATGACGGCCTTGAGGTCGTAGGTGGGGTGGGCCGGCGGCGCCACGGGCACCCGCGCCTCGGCGGACATGGAGGCGGCGCGGGGGAGGCGGAGGCGGAGGCGGTTGGAGAACGGCGATGAGGAGGAGTATGAGGAGGGGAAGGAGACGAGGCCTCGGAGGCGTGGGGCTAGCTGCAGAACGTTGGGATTGGGCGGCGCGGCGGCGGCGGCGGCGGCGGGCATCGCAAACGCAGTAGCCGCCGGCGTCTGGGGATCAGCGCGACAAAAGAAGGGTGTGGGGAGCGAAAGAGGAAAGAAGCCGCCGCGCGTATTGTGGATTTTTTTTTTTGGTGGGGCCGATGGCTAGCTTCGCTCTCAACGAGTGAAAAGTGAAATCCCCTCATTTTTATTTTTATGTCACCTAAGTGGTTATTAAAACGTTTGGAAATAAAATGATAAGGTAGATAAATATAAAGTATATCCGACAAGGAATTCCGTTAATAACCGACCGTTTTGATTCTTTAGAACAACTCGATGAATTTAGTAGATCCTTTTAGGAGGCCCTCAATGACCATAGATCGAACCTATCCTATTTTTACAGTGCGATGGCTGGCTGTTCACGGACTAGCTGTACCTACTGTTTTTTTCTTGGGATCAATATCAGCAATGCAGTTCATCCAACGATAAACCAAATTCCAACTATAGAACTATGACACAATCAAACCCGAATGAACAAAATGTTGAATTGAATCGTACCAGTCTATACTGGGGTTTATTACTCATTTTTGTACTTGCTGTTTTATTTTCCAATTACTTCTTCAATTGAGAGAAAGAAAGAGAGTAGTAAGAATTCTCTTATCCCCATTTGGAAGGATACCATCCTTATAACTATCCATGACTGTTTTTGTCTCTAGCATGACCACTTGATAAAATGTGGAGGAAAGTAGGGGAAATGGCCGATACTACTGGAAGAATTCCTCTTTGGCTGATAGGTACTGTAACCGGTATTGCTGTGATTGGTTTAATAGGTGTTTTCTTTTACGGTTCATATTCTGGATTGGGTTCATCTCTATAGTAATTGGCACTCCACACTCCACAGCATGCAACTTAAAATTTAACTTCCCGTGGTTTAGTTTTGTTCATTTTGTTATAACTTATAGAACTCAGAATTTTACCTCGCATATTCGTGGAGTGATATTTCTTATATTACTGTTTATTATTATTTGTTAAAAAAATATTATTTACATGATATGTAAGATTACGAGTGATTTTGTTCTCAAAGGATGAATCGTCATCTCCCTCACTAAGCCGTAAAAATGAGGCGGTGTGATATGTCGTGTTTGGTTTGTGCAGGCAACGTTAATTAATTGGGACTGTGACTGTCTACTCCTCATTTGATAGAAAACTTCTACTAATATCTTACAAATTTTTAACCATTGGACTGATTTGAGAGAAATAAAAAAACTGAATAAAAGTAATATTAGTACAGAGTTTTTTTGGCAGCGCTATCACATAGGAAAAAAAATAGTATTTGGGTAGTATTTGGGGAATCTGTTAAGATTATCATGCCATTTTTCTTACATAATTTCATTCATTTTTTTCATATGTGATTGCGCTACCAAAAATTGTGTATTTGTGTGGTTTTAGGGCTCTAAGATTTTCATTTTTTTTAATTTGTATCACTAAAATAATAGGGAGGTATATGCCCCTCCAAGGATGGAGGAATACCTCATATGAAAAAAATCTTAGAGCCCTAAAAGTACACAAATACATAATTTTTGGCAACGCAATCACATAGGAAAAAAATGAATGAAATTACGTAAGAAAAATGACACCATAATTTTAGCAAATTCCCCAAAAGTAATATTAGTACATAGTATAGTTTTTCTTTAGAAAAGGGTATTTTTTACCCGGCATCTACATCCAACCCGATATATACGGCCTTTTTAGATTATGAATTTTTGCTCATATGAAGATTTGAACTATCTTGGGTGTGCTAGTTAAGTCACTACAACGTCTATGTGACATGTCCTTCCACTGTACAAAGAATAACAAACTGGGTGAACAACATATGCTAAAGTGGGAGGGTGTGCGGGTGTACAATTGTAGAGGAGGTGATTGTACTCGTATTGTCGGTGGCTACATAGGAGGTGACTGTACTCGTATTGTAGGTGTCTACAGAGGGTACAGTTAATCTGATTGTGATTGGACCCATATTGTCGGGGTATAAGTTTGTACTGGGTTTCTTAAAACAATAAACTGGGAGTGGCCACGACACCCCAGCCTGGTTGAAGACGTCCTGCGCCTTGGCGAGGACGTCCTGCGCCGCCGCGCGCTTCCGGTAATGGCTCCAGGCGTAGTACGCCATGATCAGGGCGCCGATGAGCGCCCACACGAGCAGCATGATCCTGCCGGCGTTCTCGGAGCTGGGCAGCACGAGGAAGTCGACGAGCGGGAAGCCGACGCCGAGCGCCAGGCAGGCGGCGACGCAGAGCAGGATCACCCACACCGACGACCCCAGGTCCACCCTCCACCGAGCCTCGGTCGCCTTGTCCATCAGGTCGCGCGCCCACCCGTCCGCCATCCCGTACGCCCACCCGTCCGCCATCCCGTACGCCATCAGCTTCCGGTGCTCCTCCTTGTACCGCCTCTCCGCCGCTAGGTCGCTCATGGCCGCTCTTCTTCTTCTTCTTCTTCGTTTTTTCTTTCTCTGATTCTCTGCGTCGTCGTTTGCTTTTTATTCAGCGAAAACCCAAATCCGGTCGGCCTGATAATTAGTTTCGGATCCGGAGATAATTCCGTTACTGATTAGCCTCTTAAGTAACGAACCGATCGGTTCAAATTAAGGATTATCTTTGACCATAATGCGTGCGTCCGCACGGGAGGACCGCCTTTTGATTGATTAATTGATTTCACCATGCATCTTGAATAACCATCACTCATAACAAAAAGGTGGTATATATCAATCAACAATATAAATTATGTATAAAAAAACCCAAAAAACAATACAGAAACAAAATCCAGATACGATGCAGATACAATACAGATCCGAATCGGATCGGTACAACGACGAAATAAAATCCGGATACGATGCAGGATTCCAGCCAGCCAGACCGGCACTTGCTGGTGGTTTCGTGCCGTGATTTTTCTTCTTTTTCTAAAAAGAAAGAGCGCATCAAACCGGTCGGCCATGATGAACACGGCGGCGCCACCGAAAAACGCGGCCAGCAGCAACGACGACGTCTGGAAGTACTTGCACGTCGGATGGCTGCCGCAAGGCCCGCAAAGCCACTTCCTCAAGAGGAGAGACTGGTGCGCGGCGCGCCACAACGAGATGGTGGCGTCGGGCGCCGTGACGAGCGCGGCGGCGACGGCGGCGCTGCTGGCCTTGCTGGAGGCGGCGGCGCCGCTGGGCTTGCTGGACGACAGCAAGCTCGAGAGGGCGTACATGGAGAAGTACCTGCCGCTGGTGGCGTCGGGCATGTCGGAAGACGACGCGGACGCGCTGGTACGCGACATGATCGACGCTGAATTCGTCCTCAGGTTCACGTCGCCGGCGTGGGGGCGGCGGCCGCCGCCGTCTTCGTCCTCCTCGTCGTTCTACCACATCTCGTCTGCGACTGCAGCACCAGCGACAGGGTCGTGATGTGTGTCGCCGTGGCCTTCCTCGTGCTGATAATGGCGTACAAGGCCTTGTACCATCTCCGGGAGCGCGCGAGGGCACACGACGCCCTCGCCAAGTCACTGGCCATCTTCCGGGAGGTGACGTCGCGGCCACCGTTGCCAATGCCACCTGTTTGATGAAAGCCCCGGCACCTGAAGTCACCTCCTCTAATTTTTTTATATTAGTTTTTTTTTCTAATGCCACCCGTTTAGTTAGGTACGTTTTTTACACTCGACTATAACATGCGGAACAGCTAAATTTCCGTCGACAGAAATCAGAGAGCAAAACTTACTAATTTTCCACTTTTAGATTAGATTAGATCTGAGATGACGTCAGTTGGAGAGAGAAAAAGTAGCAACGCATAGCGATACCATTTTTTCCTAGGTTACAATGTAATTATTTTTTTATATTACAATTGCATGTGATAATATTTTTCTAAGTTACAATGTAATTATATTTTATTTATATATTACTATTACGTGTGGTAATATAATTATGAGTGAAGATGTAGTTATATTACTAATATATTATAGTTGAATTTGTAAGTTTTCTAATTCTTTAGTCTCTCTGGTTTTTAGCTATGCCGTAAAATTTAGGCAAAATTGGTTATAGCATCAAAAGTTCACTTTAATAGCATCTAAAGTTCACCTCCCTCCCATTTTAACACTTCCATTAATTCTTGATCGTTTTCTGTCCGCTTTGATTGTTATTGACCTAGCCACGCACGCGATATAATGTTTCTACCCCTTCACAAGTCCAAGTTAAATGTTTCCGTGATTTTTTTTCACCATATATAACTCAATGTTTCACCAGTGGTCAATTGCAACATTTGACCGATCGATTTTTTTTTAAGATCGGCTGCCCGATTCAAAGATTCTTTCGGTAATCGCATGTTGTTTTAGTTAGGAAAAAAATTAGGTTTGATTATCATATCGGATATACAGACACATATTTCAAGTATTAAACGTAGTATAATAACAAAAAAATATAGATTCCGCCAGAAAACTGCGAGATGAATTTATTAAACCCAATTAATTCGTCATTAGCAAATGTTTACTGTAGCACTACATTATCAAATCATGGCGCAATTAGGCTTAAAAGATTTGTCTCGCAATTTACACGTAAACTGTGTCATTGATTTTGTTTTGGGAACTAAAGAAGTCCTTTCTTAGTGTAAGTACAATAGCAGGCTATGAGCCAGCTATAAACATATTTTAAAGAGATAAAAAAAAGAGAGAAAAGCAGCGGGCTACATATCTGTAGCCAGCTGCAGTATGGACTCCAAGACATAATGTGTGTATGACAGGTGGGACCAAGTATTAATAGTATAGTAAGCAACTATTATATGAATTGGCTATAATATTGGTTATAGATGATTTGGAGCCAGTAGTAGACTGTCCTTTTAAACTTGCTCTTAAAAAAAACCATTGATAAACCTGCCACGTCAGGCCGACCATAGTTTTCTCCGTGTCGACCCCATTGGCGGCGACGCGATGCGTGTCGACCGACCGACCTACCTCACCCCCCGGGGCCCCCACCTCGCCGACCTGACCCGGGCCCGGACGGACGCCGTCCTCGCCATTCCATCTCTCCTCCTCTCCTCCGCTCCGCCCACCAACCCTCCCCTCCTCTCGCCTACTACTAAAATCCACCATCGCCATGCTCCTCGTCAGATCCCACCACCTCCTCCTCCACCGCCACCACCACGCCGCCCGCCTCTCCCCGCGCCTCCACCGCCTCCTCCTCCGCCACCCGCCGCCGCTCCCCCGCGCCGCCTCCGCGGCCAGTAGGCTCCGCCCGCCACGCATGTCGTCGGCCTCCTCCTCCAACGCCAGCTCCCCCGCCCCCTCGCCGCCTCCCCCCGTGGTGAGCCCCCGCGCGCTCTATCTCGTGTCCGCGCTGCAGTCATCGGGCTGAGGGAGTGAGATTGGGATTGCTTGGGCGGGTGCCGCACCCAGAATTTTGCTGCTGTGCGTGGTCACCTAGGGCGTTGACTCTAATCCAGTGACCTAATTACCTTTACCAATTGCCTAGCGAGGAGCGCTTACTGAGCCTCTATAATCGCATCCTCTGCAAACAATTTGTAGAATTGCAGTGTTCTCTGATTGAATCATGCATCTACCTTGTGCAATTCTTTTTATAAAGCAACCAGGAATACTGATGACTTTATTTAGATTGAACATTTTACGGTACGGGTGCACAGTAGTGGGAAGCAACAAAGAGTGCAATTGATCAGCTAACCAATCCACTCGGAAATCCTATTCCTGTGCCAGCTCTAATTAGCTGTGTATAAGGTCAAAACGATGTTGGCACTGTGCCTTCTGCACTATTGGTGTTGGAAATTGGCCTTTTGTGCTTAGCCTGGCTCTTTGCTTGGTTATTCAGCTAGTGTTTTATCATAATAAATGTAACACTGGATGGCATCGTTGTATCGATTTCCAGTTATTGTACTGATTTAAGTGTTAAGTTGTCATGTTGTTACATACACATTTGATCTCACCTAAGTTTCCCTTCTACAGGTGCCCAAGTCAAAGATACGCTTTTGCCCATCTTGTGGAAGCCCGACGAAACTGGCTATTCCAGATGGAGATGAAAAGATGAGGGCTGTCTGCTCTTCTTGTGGAAGAGTTCACTATGAGAACCCCAAAATGGTACGAACTGTAGAACGAAATTTAGGACCAAAGACCATCTTCGAAGATGCATATGCATTTAGACTTGAGAATTTAGCCACTGTAACTTGCTTGATTCAAATAGAGTTCCAGCTCCTTCGGAGTTCTTCTGTGCATATCTGCTCTGTTTTTTTTACTACACACATATATCTTTGTTGAAGGCGTATATATGTTTAATAGTATGACTTGGCTTTCGTCTTCCATTTTGCCATTAACCTATGTCATATTGATAGGTTGTTGGCTGTCTTGTGGAACATGATAACAAAGTACTCCTTTGCAGAAGAAAGATCGAACCAGCTTATGGCCTTTGGTAAGCTACTTTTATCAACTCCATGCATTTTCTTAAACGGTTCTACTTTACTGGTGTTGTGATACTACTATACTAGAGAACTAGCAGTCTTACCATGCTCCAATTTTACTGTACAAGCTTTATTTTGAGTATGAATATAATAATCAAAATCAATTTAGTACATGCACGCTGTATCCAATTCAGTTTAAAACTGTACAGTTCTTTACATTATAGTGTTAGTTTTTGTTTCACTCTTGCCAATCCAGTTTAAATACACTTCTTTTTTATGTTTAGCACATCGACTGGTGACTGATATGATTCTAGTATGTAAAACGGTGTTCCTTTTTCCTATTTTTCTAATGCAACAATGTTGAGATTGCTTTTGTCTCTTCCCAGTCATTTGTAAAGCATAGGCAGTCATTCCCAGTCAATTTTGGTGCTTGTTGTTTGGTCCATAATCCTAATCAAGGTTGCATCAACAGGACTCTTCCTGCTGGTTATTTGGAGGTTGGAGAGTCTGCAGCGGAAGGAGCCTCCCGGGAAACATTGGAGGAAGCTTGTGCAGATGTAGAGATACTTTCACCTTTTGCTCAGTTGGATATTCCACTGATTGGCCAAGTGAGTGAAATTAGCATTGTCAGAGTCTCCATGATAGCTCAATACTCTACTAAGTTGATCTTGTTTGTTATGATGACATGCAGTAGAGTTACATTATTTTCCGAGCAAGATTGAAGACCCCCAACTTCTCACCTGGACCTGAATCGCTAGAATGTGCACTTTTTGCCTTGGATGACATACCATTTGATTCTCTAGCATTTTCTTCGATCATTGTCACCTTGAGGATGGTAAACCCGCCTTCCCATACTCAAATCTTTCTGTTCATTCTTCATTTTTTTTTGTCTTCTTCTGATTTTGGCACCACAAGCTCATGAGATGAATTTTGGTTGTTGCAGTATCTTGAAGATGTCAAGTCCGGAAATATCAAATTCCACTACTGCACTATAAACAAAAGGTACGACCACTACCCACTTGTCATTACCATGTCTGACAATCCTGATGGCTATTGCAACTTGCAAGTTTGCTAAACTCAGAATCTTGCTTTAGTTGATTTACCTGCCATCTCTTCAAGCATGCAATAATTTAGTTGTAGTCTCGTAGCCAACTGGCCATTATGTTATGAACTGCTATCAGATCATTTCTGTTTTTTTTTTGTGTGTGTGTGTGTGTTAGTAATTAGCAGAAAATGGATTATCTTGCATGCTTGGAGTTCTACAACGGAAGCAATCTCATGGCATCTCGATTGTACCTAAAATCCAACTTGTGTTACTATGTTTCAGGATAGGAACTGGTGCTTCAGATCTTCGCAGTTTTGATATTGACAACCACTTGGCTGTGTGAACTTGAGAAGTCTGGTGACTAATCATGTTGCATGATGAGATTAATTTCGGGATATACAGCAGTCATAATCAACACAGCGATCGCATCGGTCATGGATTTGGAACTGTTGTCTGAGTGTCGAATCTCTGTTCAAGCCTTGCATGGCATCTCGCCACACTGGAATAGATTCTAGGCGCTGGAATTGTAAATGTTCGGTTTCTTGAAGTGTTTATTTTAGCCTTCTAGAGATGTTGCTTTTTTTTTCTTTTTCAATTTTTGTGGAAGGACCAGAGGTTGTAACGTGGCATATGCTGGGAATTTCACAGCTTGGATTGAGTGATCCTGCGCGATGTGGATGGTTTATTCCAGTTGCAAAGCGAGTATTTCCTGCAACATGTTACTATACTCTCTTGCCATTCTGCCTGCTGCTCGACCGCTCAGATGACCGTTCGTTCTGAGCGTCTCTCGGTTTCACTCCATATTTCCATTCCGTGGGTGCCCAAGAATGAAATGAAATATCAAATCATCAAACTGATGCAGAATTGTGCGTTCTGTGCCCTTCTGAATCATTATGCGTTCTGTGCCCTTCTGAATCTCACGGAAGTATCATTCACAAAGTATCAAGATATTTATGTAGAATTATGCAATCTCATATCCTTCTGAATCACACAGAACTACGGATGGACTAGGCATGTAGCATCAGGCAGAGGAAAGCACGAGCAGCTGCCAGCCTGCTCAGGCGACAAGGAAACCATGGTCGCTGGCAGACTGACTAGTATGGTTAGATTGCGATTGCGAATTTCAGCTCAACCGCGCAATAGGCCGTGTCGTAATGTGCGACTCGTCGCACATCGACTGCCAAGCTGACGAAGTGGCAATCAGTAGTAAACTCTGAATAGAATTACCAGTAAACTACGAGCTCCCAGCTACAGTGCATGCAAAACTATGGTATTACGAGATCATTTAAGTAAATGAAATACAACGCCCTTGGCACACCAAAAAACAGAAGTACGGATGTGCCAAGATGATTACAATTATTCTGTAATGGGATCATCGAGCCCTGGCTGCCGAATGCACACGACAATTACAAAACGCTCAGCTAAATATATCTGGAAGGTTTCCGTGAGCAGCCTCAAAGATCCTCCGGACCGTTGATGTCCTGAAAGTTATCCAATGGACACTTTGTCAGGTCGAGCATCACAATTCACAAAGGGGAGCTAAGCAGTTGCGAAAGTCAGGTTTATTTAAGAGGTATGGGTATGTTACCTTGTTCTCAAGCACGGCTCCATCTGGGATCTCCAACTTCCCTGACTTGGCGGTGATGGTCACCTTACCCTGTAGATGGCAATGGCGATGAGTTAGCATCACGAAGGCACTTGTCAACAACAGAGGTATCAACTCTCCAATAGGTTTGAGCAAATAGAGACCAAACATGCTTTCCAGATAAGAGAGATTAAAATGATCAAACAACAATGTGGTGCAGCATCTTTTTATTAGCGTCACAGTATCTCAAGAAGTGTCATCAAATCACTAGAGTAGGTTTACCTTGAGTGTAACTCCAGAGCCGAACCAGACATCACCAGAGACCTTCAAGGTGTCAAGCTCGACAATGCTGGGGATTGACTTAAACCGGGCCAGGAAATTGGCAACCTATAGTCATCCAGAACAGGAAAGTTATGATCACAACTCAGCTTTCACTAGTCACTGCTTTCCTGATTTGCTTTTCTTTTCTAGTTAATGCTGCCTTAAAAGTTTCGAATACAAACTGATTTACCTTCTTGAACTCAGGTCCAAGCTCAATCGAAGGGTTTGATGGGTTTGTTCTGGCTGGGTTGCGGATGACAAAGCCATCGACCAAGGTGTACAAATCAGACTGGAGGACGAAAATGAGCTTAGCACAGCTGAATCATGACATCAAATCAACAAAAGCATGGTGAGGAATTTAGATATACCTGTACAAGCAACAAATCAGATGTAGCCTTGACTGGCAGAAATCTCGAGCGGGGAACATTAATGCCAATTGCTTTTTCAAAGAACTAGATAAAGCAAAGGTGTTAGAGCACAGCATTTAAATGATACAAAAATGGAGCAGCAACCCATCATGTTTCTAGAAGAGTTAAATACCCGAATGGCTGCTCCAGCTGCAGTTTCGAGTTGCAGAACTTTCACACCATCAACTTCCTGTGAATACCAACTGCTTTGGTAAATGCCAATGGACAGAATAGAACGGGGCAGATACACGCAGAACCATAGATGGCATACCTTAGGGTTAGGAATGATTTCCATCTTAAGTGCTTCAGCTTCTACCAGCCTCTTGATGGCCTTCAAGTTCACCCACCTGTTACCAGAAGCTGTTAGCAAGCGAGAAATTCCTAATCAAAGACAGATAGACAGACAGCATAACTTCCTTACAGGTTGTTGGTATTGAAGATCTTGAACTTCTCAATTGACTTGAATTCATTCACCTGGGAAAAAAGAAGACAAGAAAAATAATCATCAGCACTTGCCGCTCATTAATCCAAATAAAACGATATAGTGGAGGGTACATACATGCTCATCAGGGACTTGAGCAATCTCCAACAGCTGCACACAAAAAAAATACATGATACCATTCAAAGCTTAGTGATATATATGACTGGAATTAACAGGAACAGACACTAACTGAAAATAATAGGAACAAGATAATAGAGTGGTTTGTTTCAATTTTAACATTGCATTTTGCTAGTTACATAGTAATTTCTGGATACAATTCTTAGCAGACAATTAAATTATGACACCAAGTTGAGAACAAACAAGTACCTGAACTCTCCCTTCGTAAGAGATGAGGGTACCACCTTTAACATCAGCCAATGTTTTAGGAGTAACCTGGAATAAATACAGGAGTTAATTTTCATGTTGTGCATATTCAATAACAATAGTATAGTAACTATTGCTGCATACCTCCATACAGTACTCGTTCTGGTTATGGATCAGGTGGTTTAAGATCTCTGTGATGGTTAAGGATTCAAACTCTGATGGAAGATGAAGTGCATTAATAAGTGATAAAAACATGGGAAAAAACATGTGATTTTGGTCTTCATATTAGGATACTGATGTCAACAATAGCACCCAAGTTGTCCGAGTTCGCGACAAAGACATACTCCTTGCCCTGAGAAGAATGGGAAAATAGGTAAGCACACGAGTATCAATATGCAATAAAGAACTCACATATTTTTAGTCATAGTATTGCATTCATTTTTTATGATTGTTAGCCCCAAAAGGTGATGTCATAGTTTGGTTACTATTTCTTTGGAAAACATGTTTTTATTCCTCTAATTTTCTCAAGCAACAAGATTAATGCAGTTTCACCAAACGTGAAATGGCAAAGAAGCTGTCCGTGTGATGAATAAGCATAAGCACACATCACACAGCTCAGTGTCTGTATCTTTGGAGTGTGGTGCATGACTATGTGCGCATGTTTACAACCAATTTGAATCAAGTAGTGATGCTAACAACAATGCCAACATGAAAGGTCAAAGCACTTTAGCTAACCTGTGCCAACAAGGTATCAAGTTTTCCACTGTTATTCAAGGAGGGGAACACATCACCATGGCCTGGGGGATACCTGCACATTCAAAAACTGGTTATTCAGATTTAGGGAGGTTTGATCTGCTACTATAAGTGGTTATAGTCAAATGTATAAACCAAAGCCATTTTGGAATAATCTGAGAATACTAACCAGCCATCCTTGCCAGTCTTCCCCTTGCTTGGAAGTGGCAAGAAGTCTTCAGTAACAATGCGAGGATATTGGCTCTGCATGAAACACGATTATGTTAATTAACAATCACCATGGTGCAAAAATGCGACAAATCAGAAACATAGCACAGAAGCAGCTCTATACCTGGTTGAAAGTGTGAATTTCAATGTTGGAGTTGGAGTACTTCTCAACAATCTTCAGAAAAAATAAAAAGCCGTTAGCATGCAAGTTGGCCCAAATACTAAAATCCTAGTACATCTAAAAAAAATTGAAGAGAAATAACAACCTTCTGTGTGTCATCATGAGTGTTGAATGAGTTCATTAGAAGCAAAGGGACATTGCATCCATACTTCTTGTTCAGGGACTGCACAGAGGTAAAACTTGTAAGGCATGTGTTATATAACATATGATTTCCATTTGTCAACAAAAACTCGTCAGTTAAAATAAGTGTACCTCAATTTGAATCACAATAAGGTCTAGAAACGTAAAGCCATTGCGGACTTCAATGACAGACCTGAGGGGCACAGTGAGATATGTTAACCGCTTGCAAACAGTAAAAAACTCAAAGTAGAGCAGAAAATATAAGATTCAAATCATCCCAATGCGGTAAGTTGCAACATATGTACTAGATTCATGTGCAACAGGGTGCAAGCTCACAGAAGTTCAGTAACAGCAAACTGGGGCAAACAAAATCACACAGCAATGACATCATCAATAGCCTTAATGCTTGTTGCTATCAGCTCCTTTAAAAATTAATATGCCATAGATGACTCAATAGATCAGTCCACACAGCAAGCAGATAATGCATATCCTTGTAAGCTATATGGTGCCCTGAACTACGATGGTAATTGTGGATCTAAAACAAAGAAAAGAGAGAACCATAAGACATAACAGACTGATCAGAGAAACAATTTCACTGAATTGCATGTTTGTATCAACATATTGAGGATGTTGGCATGTTGCAATGAGAATGAGCATGCCTAGCAAATATAAATTTGCTCCATTATTAGTGCCTGTACATTAAACGCAGAGGACTCTATACACTATTTTTTGGAGCTGCAACACAGAAAAGCAAGAGCTCTTGAAAGCAACAACAAGAATTTTACAATATTGAGTCCTTCCATATCGTTAACATTGAGAACTCCACTAAGAGACATAGACAGAAGAGCATACATATAATATAATAACATGTAGAATTTAAAAAGGGGCAAGTGGCATTAAAACCAACACATAATTCACACTTTCCCACGATCTGATCAAACACACTGAACAACTTTGAAATGGTTTTGGCAAATTGGTGCATATGCGTGAGCAAGCCTTATAGTTACCAAATTAACAAAGTACAATATCAACATCACTCAAAGCAGGCAACCATACTATAGTATCATTGTAAACGCCACAAGCAGGAGAAAATCTAGTTTGCTTTGTAAGACTTAGTTTATACTGGCTATGAATAGCATGACGGCCATATACGATCTAATCAATCCAACTGGAAGTTCTAAACAGGATGGGATGGAATTGTGCTCACTTGGGACCAGTGCAGCCCATGGTCGTCCCGAGGCCTCCATTGAGCTTGAGCACGACGAGTTTGTCGAGCAGCTTCTTCGTCTCGTTGAGATCTGCACCACATCCACACATCACCACATGATCCAGTGTTCACACACAGTCACTGAACCTCGGATCGGTTCGGAAAAAACCACCACACGAGCATCTCAGATCACCCAATTCACAACGAGACGCTAGTACCTTCGGGAGCAGCCGAGAGCGTGTCGTAGGGAACCACCACCTCGTCGGTCGGGGTCTGGATCTTACTCCACTCGATCTGCTCCGCCTCGCCGCTGCAAAAACCACCACCACCATCACCATCAAAACCCACCGCGGAAGCAGCAAATCAATCGAAGCAAACACTACGGGATCTCACCTGAGGTAGCGCGAAACGAGGCTGATGAACCCGGACTTCTCGTTCTCGCTGCAACAAAAACAACAGCAAAAAAAACACACACACAGAAAAAATCAGCACAAAAAAAATGGGGACGAAACGATCGCGCGGGTAGATCCAGTGGAAGTGGAGTGGGATGAACTCGCACCTGATCTGGTCGAGCTTGTCGGTGGCGGCGCGGAGGCCCTCGAGCTTCACGTCGGCGGTGACCGCCATCCGGCTCGGCGATGCGATTCGAGAGGCTTCGAAAGGACGGGAGGAGATATGTCAGATGAGAGGAGAGGAGTGCGAGCGTTGTGTGTGTGCGAGGAAAATGCAAGCGCGGGTTTCTTATAGGGCGCCGCGGGATTCCGTCCCGTCGCCCACACGCCGTGACGGAATGTTCCGGGATGTGCCGCGGCCGTGACGGCGTTAGGGTGGATCCCGGACACGTGGCGGGCGGGGGACGGTGACGGCCGTTACCGTCGCCGTCTAACTTTTGGCTGCGGGCGCCGGCACCGTCGGCGTCGTGATCGCAGACGGACGGAACGGCGCAAGCTGTTGCAAGTCTGTTGCTGACAGCGTGTCATTGGGCTGCGTGCCTCGTGTGGCCGTCTGTGTAATTAACTCTCTTTCTGTTTCTAATCATGATTATAAGCTGGTTGTTTTTGAAGAAAAAGCAAGTAAAGTCGAATTCAGATTGGTGTATTGTGGTTGGATTTGTGATCTGAATCTGGGTCCTGGAATTGAAACATTAGGCGTTAATTTGGAAATACTGTCAATGTCTTACGACATCTCATGAGAATTAAAAAGTTCGTTAAGGTATTTCAGAGAGAAGGACAGCACGCCACTCTCAAATCGGTCTCCCCGAATTCAACGAAACCACACAGTTCGATCAGGAGGCAACAGAGCTGGTCATCTCTTGTTCTCTGAACTCTGAAGATGCAGTGGTTTGTTTCTCCGAAGCATCTTCCTGCTTGCTCCTCGGTTCGGTGATCCCTGCATAACTGATCGCTTAATTTTTGAGAAGTTTCTGTATTTTCATTGTGTTTGTTGCTACTGATCTTTCGCCATTAAGAATTAATTTCGATTTTACGATGCTTTTCAGGTTTGCATTGCAAGCAAGTACTGTACCCCGGTTGAGCTGCTTTGAAGTTCAGACATGGCATCCTCGCCTCGCTTGCTCAGCTGTCAATTTGCACTTAAATTATTGCATAATGGTTGCACAAAGCACATGTTATCAGTCTGTCGGTGCATCTGATCTGAAAGCTATGTTTAGTCGCAAGAGGAAAAAATACTAATCTGACAGCACAAGATGAACCAAGAAGTTGGCGGAGTTTAGGCGTTGATTATTGTTCACAATCTCATGTGGAGAATCATGTCTGATTGATGCAAACAATCAACTAAAGTGAAAGATTATTCAGACAAGTGTACTCACCTATAGACATTATCGTGGCAATTCCATTCCCAATATTCCAAGCATTTGAGCACAATGCCCTCTTCTTCCTTGATCCCAGCTGATGACAAGAACAAGATTGCTGCCCTTCTCTCCTGTGATACTTGGTTGAATTTGTTCTTGTTCCGGGTGAGAGATGGGCCATGTGGCCCATGTCATTGCTAAACATGACCGGCAAACTCATGGAACCCATATTGGTGCAGTTCATCTTTGCTATATTCTTTGATACGAAATCTCGCACTGTCTCGTGCGGTTCATTTCAAAGAAAAAAATTGTTGTGGGTGTCCTTTTCATTTCCTTTTAAGTATCAATATTGGCATTTCTTGTCACAAATGCCATTCTTTTGTCAATGTTGACAAGACTGGGAAATGCAATCTTTAGCATGCTTATACACAAACACAGAGGCAAGAGCAACGTGTGGCCGTGTGGATTGACTATTTTTGACCAGGATGTGACAAATTACCGATGCATGGCCGAAAGATCGGAGTCTCCTTTTCTGTGATGCTACCATGATCATTACATGTGAGTTTGTTGATACACCAGTACAGCTGAGCACAAGTGTCATGTTCAAAATTGGAAGGAATTAATCGTGCATTTCTTTTGTGCAATGGAGAGTCATATTATCTTAGGTTTCAAAAAAAGTGATATTATCTTGGTCACCTTTTATGTTGGATCCATGATGGTTGAATGAAGTAGGTAGCTATCTTACCAACACTTCGAATAAATTCTCTTTGGATAGAAAAAACAATGGACGATGTCGAGTGATACCGATGGATATTTCTTTGAAGGCTACACGTTGCATGCCAAAGAGTGTCGTAGGAATTTTGTAGTGAAATTGGCGTGAGGGCGATGTTTGATTCACTTATACACATGTTTGTATGCATGTTAACAGAACTGATGTACTCCCTTTGTCTCATTTTTATAGTGACTTATGAATGCTATTTTGAAGAAATTAAGTAACATGGTGATATTAAAATGAGGGAGGCTTGTGATTGGTTTGGATAGAAAAGTAGCTATATCATCTGACAAAATCTAAATGATATAAGTAGCTATAATATGGGATGGAGGTAGGAAAAATGGATATGCAATTTAGACAAAAAGGACTACTTTGCAAAATGGGATACCAATGTGTATATCATGTAGTTAAACTCCTAAAAAATATATATGTAATTTAGAAAAAAAAACACTTTGCAAAACCACCATAGTGGATTATATGAATATGAATGGAATAAAATTTGGGAGGTTGGATGGATGTTTTTAAAGTTTTGGGTGCTACATGAACTTTTAATCAAGTTCAAGGGTATAATTACCGTTTCAAATAGATGAATGATTATATGATAATTATTTAAGGGTACAAACAAATCAAACACTGTGAAGTCTACATCGGAGTTATAATAGCTTTCTATTAAATACATACATGGTTTTGTTTTTTTTTTAAAAAAAAGATACCACATTTAGAACTTACTCCCTCCGTCTCACAGAAAACAAACCTATAACTGAGTGTGATATATCATAGTAAAACAAATCTAGACAGAAACTTATCAAGATTCGTTTTTTTGGACCAGGGACATATCCAGATTTCTCACGAGACCCGGGCTAGCACATGGCATTTTGGCCCAAGTTTGAGAATTTGTTGGGCCTGATAATGTTTCTTTCCTGGGCCACGTGGCCTGAGGCCTAAGTCCGTCCCTGTGTGGGACGAAGGGAGTACTCCATAGGAAGCATGTGCATTAAGGCCCTGTTCGAGATAAAAGTTTTAGTTTTTCATGGCACGTATTTTAAACTGCTAAACGGTGTGTTTCGTGCAAAAATTTTCTATATGAAAATTATTCTAAAATATCAGATTAATCCATTTTTTTTTAATTTTGTAATAATTAAAATTCAGTTAATCACAAGTTATTATCACATCATTTCAAACATAGCCTAATTCTCCAACATTCTATTCCTTGTAAAAGGAAGCGGTTTGCACTAGACCACCTGATGTGAACCATCCTTTGCCTAGGAATAAGGTCACGTTTTTTTTTTCTTATGGGTTATCGTAGATATGCTTCCCAGGCTCTTAAACATTATATTTTGTTGACCTCATCGGTTCGTCATGCTTGGTTAACCCTGTTTAAATCTGATGAAAATAGATATTAAGTGATGCCACACAAACGAGAAAACCATTAGCACAGGGTTAGTTAAGTTTTATTTTTTTTAACTTAAAAATATGTTCATTTGATATTTTAAAGCAATTTATATGTAGAAAGTTTTTACACGGAATACAACGTTAGCATTTCGAAAGTCATGCTAACGAAAACCAAGTTAAAATCCATATCTTAATCAAGTTAGAATATTTAAACTACATATGCAAAGTCTGTATCTTAGTGCATCAGCACGTACCAACTGGACTAGCCTCGCATTTATAATTTTTATTTTTTAAAAAATCAACGTACTTTATAATTTGTGCTATTTAATCCCTGCATTTTCCATACATGAAATACCATACAAAAATATAATTACCGCTATCTCCGACTATAGTCGTTTGAGAAGGGTCCTAACCATTTGCTCCCATGTATAATTTAGCCGCTATAACTTCATTTAACCCGCTATAGTTGTTTGGGAAGGTCAACTACTAAATATCTTATCTCGTTATTTAAAACACCGATTATAAGTAGGAGTGACAATGATACACCTAGGGCCTGTTCATTTTGATGCTATTTTAAACCTTATCAAATTTTGGTAAAGTTGCCAAAAAAGTTGCTACATTTATTTTGTAGCTAATTTTTGACAACTATATAAGAAATCATACTAAAATTTTGACATAGTGTAGATGTCGGGCATGAAAGTGAACAGGCCCCTAGCGTAGATGTCGGGTGGGATGGTTTCAGGAAAAGAAACATGATGAGTAGAGCTACGCTCATTTGGCATATGCAAATTATTCTTTCGTGCCGTCCTTTTACAATTTTATACGTGTCTTATTACCTGTAACCTTTTGTCAGAGAAGAGAACACGATTGTTTACAGTCACAAATGCATTGTGAAGCTTTTGCAAGTCTTCAGAAATTTAATTTGGTTGACTTACATAGTTAAATAGGAGTACCTAACATGGCCAGCTTAATTCATCTCACAAATAATTTTGGCTCAAAGCCTTTTACGCCTTCAAACTACAGAAACGTATTTTACTAACCTCATGGCACCCAACTATGGGCCCACTTGTCATAGATAGAACCCATCCGAAATTTCTAGACCGCGCGCAGACCCGCCACCCAAAAACCCGGGGCCCACCTGCCATCCACCCAACACGAGCCCACTCCCCGCTCGAATTCCCGCACCCCCGCCACATCCTCACAAAAGAAACACACCTCCCGCTCACCACCACGCCACGTCACCGATCCGCGCAACCCCCACCTCCCCCACTCCCCGCCGTCCATCTCCCATCCAACGGCGGAAAACCAGCAGCACGCGGATCGTGCCCCCCATCGCTTCCCCTAAACCCACGCCTCTATAAAGCCCCGCCCCCACACGCCTCCTCCTCCCCACCTCATCACCACCGCCGCCAACCACTCCTCACCAAGTCAAAGTTTCTTCCTCGCGACCGGCGGCGAGCGGCGGCGGCGGCGATGTCTGGGAGAGGCAAGGGCGGCAAGGGGCTCGGGAAGGGCGGCGCGAAGAGGCACAGGAAGGTGCTGCGCGACAACATCCAGGGGATCACGAAGCCGGCGATCCGGAGGCTGGCGAGGAGGGGCGGCGTGAAGCGCATCTCCGGGCTGATCTACGAGGAGACCCGCGGCGTGCTCAAGATCTTCCTCGAGAACGTCATCCGCGACGCCGTCACCTACACGGAGCACGCCCGCCGCAAGACCGTCACCGCCATGGACGTCGTCTACGCGCTCAAGCGCCAGGGCCGCACCCTCTACGGATTCGGCGGCTAGGCGAGGCGATGCGAGGCCACGCGATTGGATAGGGATTCGATTAGTGCCATGTTCTTCAGTTCGTCGTAGTAGCCTAGCCTCTTCTCCTGTAGCTGTTGTTTCATCTCGTCTCCTGTTCCTTCATTAATTAGGGATGTATGAACTACTGGTTCGTTCGTTCGAATGGAATAGGAAATCTGCAGTGATTTACCCTCTAAATTCAGTTGCAATCTCTTGCCGTGCTATGTGAACGTTTTGCAACCTGCATTGTTCTAGTTGGTGACACTGGTTGACCTGTATTGCCCAATTTGTTTTGAGCGATTTTGAAATTTCAAGAGCACGAGCAGTTTCTGATTTGCTCCCTATTTGGATTTTCACGGTCCGATTTTCAGTATTGGCTACCTGATTCGAACCATCGGCCATCGCGAGCACTGAATTTGTGATTTCCCGCTGCGATTTGGGGGGCGGAACCGCGGAAATGCCCATATTCATGTAGGAATCTCCTGAGGTGATGAGGTATCTTGCAATGTGGTTGACGCGGGGTCCAAATTCAGTGCGCGCGATCGGAAATTTGGAACCATCCCGAGCGCTAAATTTATGATTTCCCGCTTGGGTTTTGGAGTTTGAATTTTGGAACACCTAAACTCAGTTTCAGATTATTTGAAGGTGGTTTAAAATTTAATTTCGAAAGAGGACCCATTATTTTCAAAATTATTCAAAGGGGAAGAGGAAGAGACCGCGGGTCAGCGAGTCGGTTTCCAAATTCCAACCCACCGACTCGTCGCCACAGAGCGCAGATGAAGGGGAAGGAGACAAGTCGAAAGCACGGATCTCTCGCCATGGGAGCGGAGGGAAGGGAGAGCAGCCGCGTCGGCGACGATCCCGCTCATCGTCCGGCCGGCGCCGGTGGCGCAGCCCGCTCGCACAGGTACGCGCCCGAAACCTATCCCCACCTCGCCATTTCGTCGAGCACCTGGGAGGCATGGGCTTCTTCCCCCATTGCCGCCGCCGCTGCGCATCCACCAAATGCACCGCTTCTGATGAACATTCGTGGTTGCCTCAGGTATTCGCCTCTGGGATGAGACTACGGGAGAGAAGCGTGTGATCGTGCTGCGGCGCCTGGAGGAGGAGGAGGCATTGGGCGTGGCCGCGACGAGCTGCAATCCTTGGGCTGCTCGAGTCCGAGTCCTCACCCTTGGGCCGGAATTCGTGCGGCTGGTCCCTCCGGTATTGATCTGCTTTGCCTTGCTTTGTGACTTTCTCACGCTAGATTTGGGTCTTTTTCTAAAGCTTGATATGATTACCCTTTAATTCGTGACTGGAATTGATGTATGCTCTACTGATTGGACTCTAATCCCTGAAAGCACACACTAATTTTGAGGAAATTACTGCAACTTTAAATTAGTTGGGATAAAAACTTGAAGCAGCTGATTTTCTTTGGTTGAATGCAACATCAGAAATGCTGCATTCGCGAAAAAAAAAACATCAGAAATGCTAAGTGGGCATCTTCAAACATATATGATTAAAACACTGTAGTACTGGGCTGGAGTCCGAAAGGTTAGGCTTATATATCTGGGTTTAGTTACCCATACTTATTGCAGTCTCTGGCTCGAGAATAGAGTTGGGGTAGTCGCAATATTAGTTAGTCCAAAGTGAAAAGATTTTTGGGTAAAAGGTGATCTAAATTAAACTCTGAGAATAAAAGATCGCCCAAACAGATACTTACAGCCTGCAACTAGAAAACTGTATCGCGTCAAAAAAAAAAAAACTAGAAAACTACATGGAAATTGTATCAGGCTTAGGCTGAATAGGTCCTAGCAGCTGTTAGATGTGAGCATGGTTGCCACATTCTTATACTAATTTGTGCAACTTAAGAACCTTGAAACATAAACATTATTACATTGATGGAATTTGCCATTAATAATACCGTAAAATTTTGTTAGCCGGAATATCAAAATCAATTGATTTTTCAAAACTGAACCATCCTTAACTTTCTTTTATTAGTGATATATGGTGATTGCTTAATCCATATTGGTCACATTGCACATATATCCATAGAATACATGGTGGATATATAAAATTGGATTTCTCCTTTTGTATCATTTCATTAGATGATAGGTACATGTTAATTGAAGATTGAAGTACAAAGTAGCACAATTTTAGATATATTATACAGTACTAAAGGAACAAAAGTATAAACCTAATTTAAGAACCAGCATCCAAACTTAAAGTGGTCCTCCTATGCAAAGTGAGAAGTGTCCTTATCAAACATATACAGAAGATACACGCAGTATAACTAATACCGAAATATCTGGTTAGATGAAGTTAACAAGCTGTTTTCTCTCAGTTTTCTAGTTCACTTTAGTTTGTTGGTGCACCATAGATCCTCTGCTATGAATTGCATCCATGAATTGTCTTTATCATTCTCATTTGCTCCCGAGGATTGTCCAGCATCCCCGAAATCTGTAACTTCTTCATTTCCTTTAGCCTGTGATGAACTGCACTCCCCTTTCTTGTCAAATTCACCCAACACCACATTCTTCTTGAAAATCCGACATAGCGCATAGGAGTCCTGTAACTAAAATGATGAAAATGAATAAATGATCTAAATTACTTTATTTCCTTTTGCACAGGTTGGACTTTTCTACATTGGAATCATGGGGAGATTTCAAGTTCAACAATGTGGATGAAAAATTATTTCAGCGCACTAGTGAACCGAAGTAAGGTGCTTCTTTAATTTTCTGTTTACTGATAATATACAGCTGTAATCTTACAAAGTTAATGGATTATATGCTTCTACATTCTACGCTTGTTGTTTGCTAATTTACATGTGCATATTTTCAATTTGGATTGAATGTTCATTATCAGTACTAAACAAATTTAGAGTAAAATTCTTGAGGATTCAACTTCAAGTTCGGCAGGGAACAGTATAAAAATTGCAACTTGAATTTATGCTGCTATTGATTTCTCTTAGACCATCAATCATAGGGCTTGTTTAGATTGTAACCAAAATAAACCTTACCAAATTTTGGCAATGGCAAGATGACAATATTGCCAAAATTTTCTTATGTATTTACCAAATTTAGCAACAAACTAAACGTAGACATTTTTTTTGGTAACTTTACCAAAAAATGGTATGGTTGAAAATAGCATCAATCTGAACAACCCCATAACTTTTGAGCAGTTTTTATTAAGGTAGTTGCTGAATTGCTATTTCAAGATTCCACTTGTTTGAAATCGGACTATGTTTCAGTCACCAATGGTTTTGGTTGAACTCTATGTTTACTTAATATAAATGTCAACAGTTCAACTAATGCAGAGTCTTCGAACACGACTAATGTAAATTTAAGAGTGGACATACAATATGTATCACTATGTGCACTTTGATCTAATTTACAATAAACATGGGATCAGTCCTCATGTTCAGTTATGGTTTTCACTAGTGAGTAAAGTTGGAGGTTGACGGGGAGAATAAAGTGTAAAGCCACCGACACTACACAGGGCCACACTGAAGGATGTCTAAGCTTTAAGGTAGCATCAACATGCAACTGACCTAGATTTTTATACTCTGCATCATGAAACGATGACGCACCTAACCCCTGTACAATCATGTTGTAGGATTTCACATCATCGCGACATGAACCAAGAATTGGATGTTAAATTTGTCTTATCAAGAGCACCTAGAAAAGTGAACCATGTGTGACCCATTAGAGAACTGAGAAAACCTTCTAATGTACTTTGTAAAGTAGCTATGGTCCATGGAAGCAAGGAATACTTTATGGCTATCACTGATGGATATGGGGGAAAAGAAGAGAGAAGAGCCCTAACTTTTCATGCACTCCATGCATAAAGAACGTAGGTTCCCTGAACTAGCAAATATGCCCTAGTTGTTTCTTCTGTATGTTTCTATTGCCAATTTTGTTTTAGCAGGCACATATCTCAAATATTGCATATTATGAAATATGATCACTATTGCATAACATAAATACATACAAATCCTGCTAACTGAGAAGATTGGCTATGCTTGATACTCTGAAATGCAGCCTCAGCTAACCAAGTATAGCAGATACAACTCAAAATGATTTAACTGAGACTAACAGCTGGTGAGGAGGATGGATGAATAACCTGAATCCCCATGGCGTTCTCGCATTCGCTTTCCTCGATGCGGTACTCATGCATCACCCAACTGGTTCTAATCCCCTGAGGAGCTCGACCTTTGTAGTAGACTAGTGTCTTCTTCATACCAATTGACCTGTTCTGGTAGTTGATCCGCCGATCTTTCCCCGTCGATTTCCAGTATCCTGCTCTGGTTGCACGGTTTGTGCGGCATCCATTGGGATACTTTCTATCCCTTGGCCCAAAGAAGTACCACTCGGAGTCTTTACTAGGCAGGAAGGATTTCTCTTTCAAAACAAGAAGACAAATAAAACATCTCGAGCCGAATCAGGATTCAGGAGTGATGATGAGAAGTGAGAACATGGATGAGCAATTAAGTTTTCGGATTACCTTCCAATTCCCAGGGCTCACATTTGTAGAGGTCTACTTCTGGGATTATGTCGAGGTCGATGCTGAGGCCATGGACCTTCCTCTTGAGGTAGTAGTTCACAAGCTCCTCATCAGTTGGATGAAATCTAAAGCCTGGAGGGAGACCAACCGGCGCCATGGCCTCCCAGTTCGCCTCCTCCTTTCTTGCTGATCTTTCTCTTTGTCTTTATCCTTTGTCTTTCCCTTCCGCTTCCGGCGACTGTGCTCTTTAGCTCCTCCGTGAAATGATTCAAAGCCTGCCCTACAAGTAGCTGTGTTTCTCTTTTAAAGATTCTCACACAAGCTCTGGAACGTCTTACAGCACCGCAGGATCTTCTTTTTCTTCTCTTTTAAACGAAATGGGCTTTTGTTATGTTTTTTTCTTCTGGATAACACGCTTTTATGATCCTCAATGCTGGTAGATTGTGTGAGGCTGTATTAATGAGAAAGTTGTCACGGCTTCGATCGACGGCCAGCTTGGGCCTTCTGTTAGATTGCATTCTTTTGCACACTGAACTTGTTTTTGTGTCTCACAAGCTTAATCCCTTTGAAGTGTCATAGAGAAGAAGAGGGTTAAAGGCCGTGCTGGGGAGCTATGGCCACATGTCTCTGTGGCTTGGGATTGGCATTGTAAAATAGAAAGTTAGGAAGATAAAAAGAAAAAAGGTTCATCATGCATTCACGAGGCCTTCTAGTGTCAATGATCTTGCATTGCTAGCTATTTAGTCATCTAGATCAGACAAAGCTTTCAACTTTGGATTCTGATAAAAGATCAATTGAGAATTATGAATCATCTACATCTTTAGTATTTCATATATGTTTCCAGATGCATAAGCTTCACTATATTCTGTTGAAAGGTACTTCTGATATCGGAAGCAATGGTCTAAATCCTCCCTTTGTTAGATGAAGTACACGATCAAAAGATCACAATCTCAATACAAGAAGTATGTTGTGTGCACTGCAGCCACATTAGGGGATAACTATGCTCTTGAACCCTAACTTCCTCTTTTTCTTTCCAAAACTTCTCCAGCACTAAAATGATAATGAGACTTGTAAAGAGCCTGCAAGTAGTCTTATCTAATTCTACAGGGAAAGACAGGCATCTCCTTCAGATGCATGTGGTCTAAAGCAGATTTTGTTGCTAAATGTAGATTTGCAAATTACTTTGTAGTTGATATTCCCATGGAAACGGTGATGGTTCAAAGGCTCTGCTAAGTACGTACGATTGACCTGCTGGGCGGTCTGAAGAATTCAGAAGCAACACGCTTGCAGTAAGATTCACAATGAAGACATCAATAAGGTAAAATGCTGAACTTTAGTTTTAACTTGTCTGGTACTAGTGAGATCTGACTCTAGTAAAGAGGATGCAACATTGCATTTCTTTTGCTGAAATATACATAAAAGCGTTCTTCACCATGTGATGAAAGGAAATGCTGTTGCAGCACTTCCAGTAATTTTGTGAAAAATGCAGCCCTAGACTTCCAAGTTCAGAAGGGCACAAAGCTGCTTTGAGCTTATATTTATTGACTTAGGATGGATTCTGAAATGTGAACTTCTGATTGACATTCCAGGGCTACTGCTAAGTGCCAACTGCAAGTGGTGGCTTCTGATCTTGCTTGTGGAACTAGTTTTCCTTCAAAACCTTTGTGAATATAATAATTTACGCTTCTTGGTTGGTGTCATTGTTTGCATTACTATGTAATGTAAACTAATTTATTTGGGCCACACCTACCTTTTATATAGTTCTCTGCATACAATATTATTAAATATCAATCTTGTTTCAGCATTTGCAGAAATGTTTGAAATAACAATTTGATTTCTTTTTCAGATACACATTTGATGAAATTTGGAAATATGAACCAGTTTTTCTTCTGAGAATTTTGCAAAATCAGAATGATTTTGGCTATTAATTCTCCACTTTGACTTTTCACTAAAGCTGTGCACTGCCACTTGTATCTCCATGACCAACCTATTGCATGATGAATATGCATTATGCAGCCATATTGTATTTTTTTGAACGAAAGGCAGCCATATTGTATTTGGTCTGAATATATCTATCTATCTATCTATCAACTAGTTATATATGCATGGATCTCGTGAGGAAACTCTCCCTTGAGATACAACTAACGAAGATGCCTTTATTTTCAGTGTCTTATATATGCATATACTAAGACAATCATATCCAGGACAGACGCTAGAGTTGGAGTGGATCAATGCAGATTAAGCTGGCATCTGGTACAACAGGTATACTTTTGTTCAGTTTTCATTGATGTATATAGGCACAAAACAACTATGCAATGGCATAGCTTCACTCTTTTCTCACAAAAAAGGAAGAAGAAGAAGAAAAAGGCTCCACTTAAGAAGCAAGATATTGCACTTGAAGCTCAAGAAGAAAACGCACAAATTTAGAAATAAAAGAAAGAGAGACATCAAAATGCTGGCTGTTCCTATATATATGATCATAACTATAATCCTCCTTATGAACTAAACTCCAGGAAGGACTCCAACAACCTTCAGGCATCAGTCCTCCAACTCCAGCAATACGCTGTGTGTTGAAAACCAAAAGGATAGCTTATTTTTTTGCTTAATCTTACACCTTCAAGACTCCATATACTTATTAATAATAAGCCAGCAGCACAAAAAAAAAGAACGAAAAAATAATTATCAGGAGAGCATGATGATCCAGCACATGAGCAGAAGCTTGCCCTGGCTTCTCATCAGCCGGCGAGGGCCACGCAGGAGGTGCTCTCCTCGGCGCCGCCGTCGGCGGTGCTGGAGCACCAGGCGTCGTCGGAGATGAACTGCATCCAGGAGTCGTCCTTGTCGGGGTCGTCCTCGGCGTCGGCGTCGGCCCCACCGAAGGTTGATCCGACGGGGACGTCCGGCGGCGACGGCGTCTCGTACTGCTCCTGGCTGCCGCCGCCGCCGCTGGCGAGCAGCTGCTGGCAGGCGCCCTCCAGCAGCGCCATGCTGCACTGCCCCTGCAGCTCCTCCACCTCGGTGCAGATCGCGTTCTTCTTGAAGACCCGGCATAACGCGTAAGTGTCCTGATCATGAGCAACAAATTATATTAAGCTCCATTAACATATGAATTCTCAGTCTTTCCGAAAGTTAATTTAAGCACACCGCCACACTGATGCATGATTATATCTGTACCTATATATCTAGCTTTCTGAGAAATTATGATGTAGATTCATGTGCAATCTTTTGGCAATCAATTGGTCCATTTGGTTTGAGCAAATCAAGCATAAGGTTAATTCTTTAACACACTAGTGTCATAATGGTGTTCTATTAGTTAGGAAAGAGAGATAAGTTAATAAGAGAGAATTAAAGAAGACGGCCAGCCGGGTAGGAAGGGGAGGATGCGAGTATGATGATGGATTCAGCGTGGAATAAAGTGGAAAGCAGGCGACACCGACATGCATGGCCTTGAGAGGGAAGAGGCTGGAGATCGAGAAGAAGCTCTTGGCTTTGCTTTGTCTCTGCGCTTTAATGTCTCATGATCAATGCACTGCCCTATTCAGATCAGTGTCTGCTCATCTCAGTATTAAAGGGAGGATTAGTTGTAACTCACCAAAGAACGCAGCATTACTAGTGCTCCTTAGACCTGGCCTGGCTTTGTGTTTTTCACAGGCCAGTAAGCTAGACTACAGATTTGTCTCATGCATTTGGAGTAGATCATAAAGCAAAGGGATACATGTCACATAACTAGTAGTAGTAATACACTATTACATCACTTGGAAGTTAGTACTTCTACTGCAGAACAGATGCAAAAAAGTTAAATTTTACTCCCTCCCAGAAATTTTCTTTGTCAAGGGCGAAAGAAAGGGATCAAATTCTCAAAGCCCTAGCTACTATACCCAACCTAGCTTATTATAGCTGACCAATTAGCAGTTTTCCAAGCAATTAATCTAGTAGTAGCTGTCTAGCTAGGATCGTTGCCCTATATCACAGTATGATCATGACCGTGACTGATCATTGATCATGATGAGTGAAATAGTCATCAAAGAGATATAAGTCAATTTAGCAAATATATTTACATGGTAGATCGATCTATATACACATGTAGTAGCTAAAAACTAAGATGATAGAATATAGATAGATAGATAGATATATACCTTGATGGGCATGGTGTCCTCGCAGTCCTTGTCGTCGAGGCGGTACTCGTGCATGACCCAGTCGGTGCGGACGCCCTGCGGCGCGCGGCCGCGGTAGTAGACCAGCGTCTTCTTCATCCCGATGGCGCGCCCCCCGTGCTGGTGCACCACCCGCCGGTCTTTCCCCGTCGACTTCCAGTACCCCGCCCTCGTCGCCCTGTTCGTCCTGAACCCGTTCGGATACTTCCGATCCCGAGGCCCGAAGAAATACCACTCCGGATCCCTACTCGGCAAGAACGATTTCTCTGCAAATAATTCCATCCATATCATCATCATCATCATCATCATCGACATCTCATGTCATCGATCATATTAATCAGCATGTGTTCAATTGTTCATCATCAGGATTGATTATATATATATATATATATATATATATATATATATATATATATATGCAGGCATGCATGATCACTTACCAGCGAGCTCCCATGGCTCGCACTTGTAGAGGTCGACTTCAGGGATGATGTCGAGCTCGATCTTGAGACCGTGGATCTTCCTCTTGAGGTAGTAGTTCACCAACTCCTCGTCCGTCGGGTGGAACCGGAACCCCGGAGGGAGCCCCACCGGCGCCATCAACGTCGATGTCGGTGGCCGCCGATATGACGACGGCGGCCTCTCCGGCTGCTGGCCGGCCTCCTCCTCCTCCTCCGGCGCCGGCAGCTTTGCCCAAAGACACCTTGCTTCTTCTGCGCTGCTGCTGAGGCCTTTCCCAGCTGCTGCTGCCACCACCCTTATAAGTAGGTTTTTCAAGGCAGCTAATGCTGGGGTAGGAGGCACAGTAGTAGGGACACCGGTCGACATAGTCATCCCTCCCACAAGATTTTGGTCGATCGGATGGCCACCTTTGGCTCCTCTTTTGCAGATTCCCTGATCACCCTCACAAGAAGCTTGAACCTTTTCCATCTCTCTCTCTCACTCACTACTAGTCTACTACTACTCTAGCTAGCTTCTCTCTCTCTCCAACCCCTTGTTTGATCAAAATATGTGTCTACGACTACCTCTGATCGACTATAGTGAACCAATGGGGGTTAAATATACTGGCCTCCCTGGCTATGTATAGATACTATGTAATCTAGATCTTATCTTGGGTTTATGAGCTATCAATGGCTCTATCTCTAAGAGTTAAAAGCACTTCTACCAATGTGCTATGCTTGCGCGGTTTTTGCGGATATATGGAGGTTGTACGAGATATCTATAAAGTGTAACGCATATATCCCATGGATATCAAAATTTAGATATCATTTATGATCACCATTATTTTGTATCTTGATATAGATGTACATATAGCTTGAAGATTTTATACCGATTAAATATTAGTGTCACATTTTTTGTACGTATGTTGTAGAAACTGTGGATGGTTTGACGCTTAAAATAGGACATTGGAGTGTTTCATTGCCCAATATACGAAGCATAACACATGCATATATGTTGATTTTCAAATTTGGATATGATTTATGCTCTAGTATTAACTGAAACACATTTATTTTTTATATACTAGAAAAATGCCCGTGCGTTGCAACGGGTGAAGGCTATTTTAATCTTATTGTTGTTCACTGAAATTCACCGTGAGAATACACTTAGCTATATATTTTTCTAGAAAATCATATCAAGTTAGCATGCGAGTCTTTTTTAAAGAGATTTCTTATATGACTCCTTTTGTATTTTCAAAAGCAAACAAACTTAAAACCCGACTCAAATACGGATATGTATTTCCAAAAGCAAACGAACTTAAAAACCGACTCATATACAGATGACGTACCAAAGTATCGGTAAAAACACCTTCACTATTTATAATAGCAGAGATATACAACTATGATTGTGTGCAGAAAATGTAAAAGGTAAGTAGTGATGAATTTGATAAGGATTGAGCAATTCATTTTTTTTTCTTTTGGAGAGTTGAAGATGAATCATACCAATTATCAATAAGAAAACTTTTGAGTGTCAATAAAATAAAATTCTTCTGATCTAAGTTTGACTATTAATTTCTATATGGTAGTATTTTTTGAAAAAAAACTGAAAATCTAAACATATGATTTTTCATATATCTGGCTAGCTTAAATAATCAAAAGTTTTAAATATGTCTTTTTATGGGAATGTTGACTTAATATGCAAGTACAAAGTTAGCCAGGATAGTTAGTTGATAAAGAAGCGGGGGCTTGCAAAGAATATAGTAAGTTGGTAAAATTATGTACGTTCATCAGGGCTGCTTAGCTTGGTGGGCTGCTCGTGTGACATGGTGTCTGGCCCAGGTGGCCCAGTTGGATGTTTGCATACACCTGCATGACTGCATCTGGAGATGGATTGAACCAAGAGAGCGCCACACCAACGCACCCTGCGAGTCGAGTCCGTTGGAGACTAACCACATGAGACTAACCGCGTGACATTGAAAAGAAAATCGGATAGGGAGAAGAAAGCGACGTACGAAACTATTAGGCAAAAACATCTTAAACTTTTATAATAGGTAAAGATATAGTGAAATAAATAAACCATATTTTTCAAAAAATATCAATCTTTGTTAATTTTTTGACAAAAAAAAATCTTGGTTAATTATGCTACATTGTTTAACTCATTGGTATTTCACAATCACCACCAAGCATGCATATATAGTATCGTAATGATACCAGAAGGTTGCATAGAAGTATTTGATATTGGACTGCTAGCTTCTTCCATGTTTGCTAAGCGTTTGTAAAATTTATGCACTGCATGACAAAAAGCAAAAGAGAAACTAAAGAAAGAAAGGAAATAGTAAAGAACAGTGGGGAAAAAAATATCTTTAGATGTGTCTTGAGGGAGAAGAGGATACAGAAGAGCTTTGCTGTCATAGTCCTTGCTTTGGTGTGCGCCATGCATATATGCATCAGCTTTTCCTTTTACTCCATAAGTTTTCTTCACCTTTCAATCGACCGTGCCATGTACAAATGCCAGTGATGATCGATCAGAGAAAGGAGATTATGCCCACAGAAAACGAAAATGCACAGGTTTGATCTATTTAGAAAGAACGAATCAACCGTGTCTTCAATCAACGAAGCACATCCTGGACGAGATGGTGAGCTGTGTGAGGTAGATCGACTTAGCAACTAGTGTAGTTACAAATTTCCTGTGTACAAATCTCCAGTGGAACACCCATTACTTGAGGTCATATTAGACTTGACAAAAAAAATTCAGCTACACCGCGTACTTTTTCTACATATTAGTCTTTTTCACAAAATATTTTACAAATAGAACCTTCATAAAACTTATTTTAAAAAATAGACCATAATTCGGCACCAAGATTATTAACGCGGAAGTTAAATGTCTCGGCACTGAAACTGAATGGAGCAAGAGGTGGGTGCTTGCTGCTGACCCTCTTCCACTTACGAACAACTTTCCTCTCTCTGACGCCTCCCTACCCAATCATAATCCAATTGATTTGCTATTAAAAAAAATAACAAATCAACATATAAGGATTCATTTCCTGCATTTTATTTTTATTGTTAGTAGGACGAGGTGTGGTTCCTCCCTTCTCTCCCACACTATACGTTGATTTGGTGTCAAATAAAAGCGAAAAAACTCGATAAAGTCACATCTTCTAGTTTATTTATCCCTCCCATTTTTTTTAAAAAAAAACTTTTAAAACTTAGAATCTAGGATGAGGGTGTGGGAGGTCGAGTGTTAAACGTTAGTGCCATCGAGACTACAAGGTGTTGAGATGTCTAACGTTGGCACCAAAGACATACTCTCATCATATCATAAAAAACAGATATAGAATAGGATGTGACACATCCTAATACTATGAATCTAGGCACTATTCGTTCAGATTCGTAGTACAATGGTATGCCGCATTATGTTTTAGGTTTTCTTATAGGATAGAGGGAGTACCTAACAAATTAAAGTACAAACGCAGACAAGTGCTAACACGGGCACACACTTACCCTCTACCCTTATGAAGCTATGAATTTTGCCTTATCTATGATAAACAAGTAAAATAGAGGAATTCAACTGACATATCTTGACATTAACGAAGTAGCCACATTCATCTTGTTGTTGATTGGTACGTCGTCTATCATTAAAAAAAATTAACCGTAAATATGAGGCAGCGCGACCCGGCGGTGGTGCGCGGCTGGGGGCGGCGACGGTGGCCCGGCGACGCGATGCGGCTAGGGGCGGCGGCGGCGACCCGGCGGCTGGGAGCGGCACCTGGCAAGGCAGCGGCGGCTCCGGCGGTGCCCCGCCCGGATCCGGCGTCCCCGCAGCCAGATCCGACTCCCGGATGGCCAGGGTCGTTATGGCCGGCGTCGCCGGCGACGGGAGGACGGCGCGTGCGGAAGGACGGCGCATGTGCGACGGGAGGACGCCGGCGTCGAGGTCGATGCGTGCGGCGCCGTGCAGCAGGCCGACGCGGCAGTGGCTGGCGCCGGCAATGCTTGCCGCCGGACCTCGTGGATGACCGCCGGTGGGGGCTGCTGCCAGATGGATGGCTGCGTTGTGGGGGACCCGACTGGGACGCCGGCTTGCATGGCGGCAGCGGGGTCGTTGCGTGTCGCCTGTGTGGCGGCGCTGCAGGTGTTGGCCGGTGGAGATGCCGCCGGATCTGGGGTCGAGCTCGGATTCAGCCGCACAGCACTGCCATCACGACCGGCGATGACGAGGGGACGCCATGTGGGTGCCTTCTCATCTCCTTGGAGCTCCTCCCCTTCTTGACCGCCTGGTCGTGGGGAGCTCCTTTGCGAGACAGTGAAGGCGGTGGCAAGGTTGCCCCAGGTTGTTATCGATAGTGATGGGCGGTGGCGGGCACTCTCTTTGGAGGTGACGGCATGGGAGGAAGGCTAGCTGGTCGCCGAAGTGCAGCGGTGGTTTGGTCGTGCTCGTTCCAACGTGTAGCTGTGGGGGTCGCGCTGGCAGCAGGTTAGGTCGCTTGGAGTCCAGCCGACGGAGGGGTGTCGTTGCTGTAGAGGCCACGTGTTGACATTGCCTGGGAGTCGGTGAGGTAGCGGCAAGAGGGGCATTGGCAGGTGCTAGGCGAAAGCCGGCCCAATTCTTGGGCGGCAACGGCGACGTCTTTGGGCGTTGCAACCCTCTTGAGGGCGTTGTTGAGGTGCCTCCCTCCCCCTCTTCAAGGATCCTCTAGGTGAAAACCTCATCCTTTCGGGATGGGCGATGGCGGCGTTTTGAATGTCGTGACCTTCTTGAAGGCATCGTTTTGGAGGTGGTCGTGTGTTCCTCTCGGTGTGGTGGTGTGTAGGCACGTGGCAGGGTATGTTTTCTCTTGTCCGGTTCCCCTGTCCCCTGCTGCTTTTGCCTTTGGTTGTAAATGTCTGTTTTACTCCTCTTAATGTAAAAATACGCTTCTAGCGTATTCCTGAAAAAAAATACGAGGCACACGTGTAAATCAGAACTTTGAACCTGAAGTAGGAAGGTTCTACTGTAAAAATTGTAACAAGTTAACCTACGCTCACCTCGTGGTCTATTATTTTAAAACCAAGAAAGAAACGACTAAAAGGATGTCTTTAAGAGTTTAGACAACGAGACCCTGTTAGAACAGGGACAAGAAGTCAAAACAAAATTGAATTGGTCCTTCGTGAACGAAAACATGAAGTTTTTTTTTTTGAGAATTGAAAACATGAAGTTTGAGAGGAAATTATCACAATTGAGTCCTGAAAACAAATTCCCCGTTCAGCAGCCAATGTCAAATGCCAGCTCGTATGGACATCTTCAGCGATCAAGTACCGCCGTAGGCGGCGCCACACAAATGCACGCAAGGGAATTAACTAATTAATTAAGCTACTCCGTATTACGCACCGTAGCAACAACGAAATTAAGTTGAAAAACAGGTCACTACTATCCTCCATATATATATATTTTAGATAATATTACATTAATGTACTATCCCCTATATGCTGGGGATGTGATGCTTATCACATACTCCATCTGTTTTATATTATAAATCGTTTGATTTTTTTTCTAAGTTAAACTTATAAAAAATATAATACTATTTTCAACACAAAACAAACATATTATCAAAATATATTCAATGTTAGATTTAATAAAACTAATTTAATATTTCATATGTTGCTAAATTTTTATATAAACTTGATCAAATTTAATAATGTTTGACTAGAAAAAGGTCAAATGACTTATAATATGTAACGGGAGCAGGGTTTAATCTGTTGGTTTGACCGATCGTATCGGGGTTGGGCGATATACCGAAATTTCGGTCCAAAATTTTGAGCAAAAATTTAAACAAATACTACCGAAATTCATGAAAAATTAAAAGAATTAAAAGTTTCGACTGAAATAATATCATATCTGAGGATCCGAAATGACTGAATTTTAGAAATTTCAGTCCGAAACTTTCAACCCTGAACGGGAGTATATATCTGACCAGAAAATGAAGTGGTTACCAAGTTTTCTACGTTAGCAAGAACACTGTGTGAACTGTCAATTCTTCAAGCCGGACGAAGCCAAAAATCCTATAAATGAGATCAGATCTGCAGTTCTGCATCGCCGTGCGAGGAATGATTTGGCAGTCATCTGTAATTTGCAGACAGAAATGGAGCTTTCCATCGATCAAAATTTAATCTGACGGTGCGTTTGGTTTCCTTGCACACGGCACCCATTTGCCTATAAATTGCGTGCTCCCCTCCTCGTGTTGCTCATAACGCAGATCAGCCAAGAACGAGTTCATCTTCTTCTTCGTGTTGTTGTAGCATTTGATTCGAGATATGGCGGCGACTGACATGTCTCCCAAGGCCGGCAAGCCGCTCGTCGAGAATGACGCTGGCTCATACCTGGCGTGGTCCGGCAAGGACCAGCCGGCCGTCGCCGGCGAGAAGCTCGGGTGCGGCCTACTCGTCCTGAAGCCCCTCGGCTTCGCGCTGCCGCACTACGCCGACTCCGGCAAGTTCGGCTACGTTCTTGGCGGCAGCGCGGTGGTCGGGGTTCTTCCGGCAGGGGTGGACGCCAGGGAGAGGGTGGTGCGGCTCGAGGCCGGCGACGTGATCGCCATGCGCGCCGGGGAGGTCACGTGGTGGTACAACGACACGGACGGTGAGGATGTCACCATCGTGTTCATGGGCGACACCGCCGGCGCCGTCAGCCCAGGCGACATCTCGTACTTCGTCCTCGCCGGCCCGATGGGCGTCCTGGGAGGCCTCGACGCCGGCCTCCTCGCCAAGGCGTCGGGGCTGACGTCGCCGGAGCAGGCGGCCACCGCCTTCCGCAGCCAGCCCGCCGCGCTGCTCACCAGGCTAAACGGCAAGCTGCACGGCGTCCGCCCACGCGAGCACGACAGGCACGGGCTCGTCGTGAACGCGGCGCGCGTGCCGGCGGACAGCAACACCGGCGGCGCCGCCGCCGGGACGAAGACGGTCACCGCGGCGCACCTGCCAGTGCTGGCGCAGCTCGGGTTCAGCGTCGGGCTCACGCGTCTCGACGCGGGCGCTGCGGTTCGCGGGCCCTGGGTGCTCCGCGACGCCGCGGCGCAGGCGGTGTACGTCGCCAGGGGGAGCGGGCGCGTCCAGGTCGCCGGCGCCGGCGGCGCGTCGACGCTGCTCGACGCGGAGGTCGCGGCGGGGAGCCTGCTCGTCGTGCCCCGGTACGGCGTGTCGCTCGCGGCCGCGGACGACGCCGGCGGCATGGAGCTGGTGTCGCTGATCAAAAGCCCCAGGTAACAAGACGAGCAGCGGCAGGCAATCGTGACGTCATACGTGAGCGCATGAGTTTTCACTTGGGATTTCGTTGTGTCATGCAGGCCGGCGACGGAGCACTTCACCGGGAAGGGATCGGTGATCGGCGGCCTGACGGCGGAGATCGTGCAGGCGGCGCTCAACGTGTCGCCGGAATTTGTGGAACAGCTCAGGACCAAGTACTGAACGCCGGATTTGATGAATCCGGTACTGTACGTCCATGTGTCCTCTCGTCTCTATACGTTTCCTGTTTTCAGCACGCGACGAAGTTAATTAGGCAGTGGCTACTGCTCCGGTGTTCAGTCTTGACACGTGAATAGTCTCTAAACGAAATAATTAATCGAAACCATACTGTAATTAGCTGAAGCTGAAACTACTTGTATGCAATATTATTATAAAGTACATTACGCAGCGTGGTGTAATGGTCCATTGTACTATCTATACGCAACTAAAACAATGTGTCTATAGAGTGTCTGGACAATGAATAGGGTGTAGAAAAGAGGATCGGAAAATCAACAGTTCTTCCCCCTCTGCCATACCACCTTGAAGACAACGATTCATCTTCTTGCGTACTGCACACTATCAAAAAGAATCTGAAAGGAGGTCCAGTGTTAGATCGGGCTAAACCAAGTCCTCTAAAGTCGTTAGTTGTCCTCGTCTCTTGGAAAGCCATGGTACGAGCGTAATGCAAGAATCTTCGGGCGTATCGGAGCTGTATGCGCCCAGCCGCAACTATCATCATAAAGATAAAAGGAATAAGCTGCAACAGGCAAAGGCGGGGACGAGTCCCTTGCAGAGTTTATATTTTTAGAGACAGAGGTTAAATATGTTTGAACAACTTTTTCTGCTCTATCAATATATATACGCGGCAAAGTTTGTGCCCTCTTTTCAAAAAAAAAAGAAAGAAAACAATGTGCCGATTACCCTATAGTCAAAGAAAACAATGTGCCGATTACCCTATAGTCAAAGAAAACAATGTGCCGATTACCCTATAGTCTCCGTTGTATTGTAAGATTGGCAGTCTTTGTTTAAGATAAAATTGGCGCTCTTTGTTTAAATGTTACTCCCTTATTTCTAAGATATAAGGACTTTTCGAGTAGAATACAAGTATTAAGAAGAAAGGTAAAAATTAAATGGCAAATGGTTGTAATCAGTTAAAATGATGTGGTAGATAGAGAAATTAAATAGGAAACGATTGTGGATGATTAACGGTGAAAATATAGCTAGTATACTTTATTTTAAGACAAATTTTAAATGTTAATACTAGCTAGTATATTTTAGGATGGATAAGCAAACATTATTTACTTTCTTTACGCCAAATATATTTGACCGAAACCCAAGCGTGGGATCTGGATCAGCTGCAATTATAGTATTGACTGCAACTTAATCAGTTGTAGATACTGCATTGGATCAAATCTAAACGATATATAGATTAGCTTGGTACTGTAGCAAAAGTGTTTGTAGCATAAAATGTTGTTCGAGTTTTGTAGCGATGAATCTGTGCTACTGATCATCGAAATGAGCGACTGAAAATACATGCAATCATATATACTCCCTCTGTCCTAAAAAAAAAGTAAACTCTAGATTTCGTGTCCAACTTTGACTGTCCGTCTTATATGATTTTTTTTATAATTTGTATTTTTATTGCTGTTAGATGATAAAACATGATTAATATTTTATGTGTGACTTGTCTTTTTAATTTTTTATAATTTTTTTAAATAAGACGGACGGTCAAATGTTCGACACGGAAACCAGGGTTTGTATTTTTTTTTGAGACGAGGGAGTATGGTGCAGCCGTACGTAGCTATGACTGCACAAGCCGGATCTCCAATCCACAAGCCTGTGCACGTTGATGTCCCCGCACGCAACAAGCACCGTACATCGATCATCCCCGGAGTGGCTAACGGTCGAAGTACGCGGACGTGTCACGCGTGCGTGGTGGGGCCTGATCGGCGAAGATGTCGTCGGTCGTTCGCCTGCTCGATCGATCGATCGGTCGCGTTCTTGCAGATAGCTAGCTCTGATATGATTTGCTTGTACGTCTTCCCTGTGGTTAGGCAAGGGTTACTACTTTGCTTCAGTTCAGCTTCTGTAGCCACGCGAATCACGATCGTCTTAAAATAAGTTTTACCGTACCCCATCCAACAGGTCTGTATTGTAGCTAAAGTGAATGTTCAAATTCTAAAAATAAGTTTTTTAAATGGTTTAATTTCAAATTAAAAATTTTAAAAGTTCAAAATAATAGGAAAAAAACTCTGCACACGGACACGGGAAATAACGGCCACGACGACTATAGCCTTGTTTAGTTGGAAACAATTTTTAGGTTTAATTGTCACATCAGATATACAGACACGTATTTTTAAGTATTAAATGTAGTCTAATAATAAAATAAATTATAGATTCCGCTAGGAAACTACGAGATGAATTTATTAAGCCTAATTAATCCGTCATTAACAAATGTTTACTATAGCAACACATTATCAAATTATGGTGCAATTAGCGATATATCTCGCAATTCACACGTAAACTGTGTAATTGGTTTTTTCTTTATCTACATTTAATATTTTATACATGTGTCAACATTCGATGTAATAGGTAAAAAGTTTTTGTTTTGCGAACTAGACAAGGCCTATCTATAAATTGCGAGCTCCCCTCCTCGCGCTGGTCATAATAACGCGGATCAGCTAAGAGCGATTTCTTCTTCTTCTTCTTCTTCTTCTTCTTCTTCTTCTTCTTGCTTGTTGTTGTAGCATTTGATTTTAGATATGGCGGCACTTCCCAAGGCCGGCAAGCCGCTCGTCGAGAATGACGCCGGCTCATACCTCGCGTGGTCCGGCAAGAACCAGCCGGCCCTCGCCGGCGAGAAGCTCGGCTGCGGCCTGCTCGTCCTGAAGCCCCTCGGCTTCGCGCTGCCGCACTACGCCGACTCCGGCAAGTTCGGCTACGTTCTTGGCGGCAGCGCGGTGGTCGGGGTTCTTCCGGTGGGGTTGGACGCCAGGGAGAGGGTGGTGCGGCTCGAGGCCGGCGACGTGATCGCCATGCGCGCCGGGGAGGTCACGTGGTGGTACAACGACGCGGACGGTGAGGATGTCACCATCGTGTTCATGGGCGACACCGCCCGCGCCGCCAGCCCCGGCGACATCTCGTACTTCGTCCTCGCCGGCCCGATGGGCGTCCTTGGAGGCCTCGACGCCGGCCTCCTCGCCACGGCGTCGGGGCTGACGTCGCCGGAGCAGGCGGCCACCGCCTTCCGCAGCCAGCCCGCCGTGCTGCTCACCAGGCTGAGCCGCAAGCTGCAAGACGTCCGCCCACGCGAGCACGACAGGCACGGGATCGTCGTGAACGCCGCGCGCATGCCGGCGGACAGCAGCACCGGCGGTGCCGCCGCCGGGACGAAGATTGTCACCGCGGCGCACCTGCCGGTGCTGGGGCAGCTCGGGTTCAGCGTCGGGCTCACGCCTCTCGACGCGGGCGCCGCGGTGCGCGGGCCCTGGGTGCTCCGCGACGCCGCGGCGCAGGCGGTGTACGTCGCCCGTGGAAGCGGGCGCGTCCAGGTCGCCGGCGCCGGCGGCGCGTCGACGCTGCTCGACGCGGAGGCCGCGGCGGGCAGCCTGCTCGTCGTGCCGCGGTACGCGGTGGCGCTCGTGGGCGTGGACGCCGGCGGCATGGAGCTGGTGTCGCTGATCAAAAGCCCCAGGTAAGTAGACGATCATGGAGCATGTGCATGCATTCTGTGTCGGCGTCGTACGTGAGCGGATGGGTTTTTCACTTGGACTTTGTTGTGTCATGCAGGCCGGCGATGAAGCAGTTCACCGGGAAGGGATCGGTGATCGGCGGCCTGACGCCGGAGATCGTGCAGGCGGCGCTCAACGTGTCGCCGGAGTTGGTCGAGCAGCTCAGGATGACCAAGTGAGCGAAGCCAACTCCGGATTTGATCTCTCCGGCGATGGGGTGTGGTGATGCCCACAGTAGAACACTGCGCGTGTCTTTGTCTTTCAGTCTTCACCTTGCGAGAAGTCATGGCAGGATTAAGTGTTGATCAGTCTCAGCATGCGAATAATGTCACCAAGTACAATAATAATCGGAACTAGCAGTGCAATAATTAAAGCTGAAAATGGATGGATCGATGAAATTTTACTTTTAAATTTCACGACGTGTTTTATATGTTTGGTCTATTGTACTACCCAACAGAAAATTGTGTTCACATACATATCTACTCCCTTCATCATAAAATAAATCAATATGTTAACATGAGCACGCTCATAGCGTGATCACTTTTGTGAGTTTGGCCAGGGGACAAGTCACGTTCGAGTCTTAATTTGTAACAAAAACACGCGGGATTGGGAGCTTGGGTTTATACTGGTTCGAACTATTCGAAATTATAACACCCTACTCTTGTTGTGTTGTTGATTTTTCTCTCGGTGAGAAAGGATCTTACATGTTTACACAAACTCAACGTAGTTCCTATTATTCTCTTCTGGATTCTCTAAAAATTTCGCAACAGGTAGCACACCAAACCCCTCTCTCCATGGTTATGACACGTCAAAAAGTTTACACTCTTTACTGAAGGACAATAATGCACTTGTGTTGGAAGGCATCATAAAAGAGTGATAATTGGTTATTGGACACCCACAACATTATTTTATTATATCCAAAATATACGGAAAGAGAAATAACGGTGCACGTGCAAGTATGAATCTTCCTATCTCCATTGGTTAATGATCACTTTTAATCCACGTCTTTGAATCCACATCGCGGTTAATCCATAGCCATTCACCGGTCGGGTTGAAAGCAGTTAGCCCGTAAGCAATCTTGTCTTTAGTGAATATTTCACTCTATATTTCTTCCGGATATAACGAATTAATATTGTGGGTGTCTAGCAGACAACAACAAATTACTGCTTCTATATGATGCCTTTAAACAGAAACACGTTCTTACAGTATCTTCGAGCAAAAGGTATAAACTTTGGATACTGTCTATTACTAATAATAGCTATATATTTTAGGACAGAGACTTTCTATTACGTTACGTCGCCATCTCGCGCTGCACATTCCTCACTTAATTACTCTACACAAGAAAGCATCGGCATCGAGAATTCGAGATCATCGATCATATATGGGGCATTTACAAATTTGCTACTGTTTCTTTTAGTTTTGCAAGGATGCCACTTGAATGACAGTTATAGTGGCATTTTTGTAATTTTTTAGTGGTATTTTTGCAATACCGATTCAAAGCAGTGGTAAATTTACAATTGACCCATCATTTATATATATATATATATATATATATATATATATATATATATATATATATATATATATATATATATATGGGCGTGGCCTCCGGCCCGGTCGGTGCGTAGTTCATGCATCATGTATAACGGTCGATCCGGACAAAAGCACATAAAGTATCACGTCGCGATCGGTCGATCGATATATCCTGACGCCGACGTGTGTTTGTGGTGGGGCTTGCATCATCGGCGAAGATGTTAGGCAAGGGCTACGTACGTACGTACTGCTTTGCTTCAGTGCTTCTTCACTTCTTCAGTCTCAAGGTATTTATAAATTCTACTCCCGGGAGTCTATATGGGATGCTTTTAAGCAACGATATATCCCTTTTGGAACCGGATATAACAAGTTAAAACAAAATTGAATTGGAACTTAGTAAACGGACACGAAGTTTTGAAGGATTCTCGACTGGGTTCTGAAGACAAATTTCCAGTTTAAGAAGCTAATGTGAAAGGCCATATCTCGGATGGAGATCTCCAGCGATCGCTGCCGTTGAGGCGGTGCTACATACGTACGTACTCCGTGCACTACGTGCATGGTGGGAAACAACAATTAATTAAGCTACTACGTACTGTAGCAACTGTTGAAATCTCCAGCTCTCTCTGGTGGCCGAGTACCGTCAGGTTTAGCGTTTGATAAGCGACCAGCGTTACTCGGCTCGCTCCGCCTACCAGGCTTTTTTCCTCGGACAACAATCCTTTGCTTACGGTGATTTTCTAGGCGGGCTAAAAGCTCTACTAAATGCATGCTCCTCCTTTAGCTTGAATTTCAGTAGTGTTGTTGGACGGCCGATCTCTTGCATAAGTGTTAAATTGACAGCCACTTGGTCTGTTCGTTCGGTGTCCCGAAACTCGAGACGGCGAATCATATCGTCCTCGATCGTGTCTTTGCTCGCTAGATCTAGCATCGGATTCTGTCTCCGCCTGACCTGTCGAACCTCTCTCCTGCCCTTGGCTCCTCTCTTCAAGCCTGGTGGCCAGCTTCCAGGGCTTGTCTGCCAGCACACCTTTACAAGGGGTTTGATTACTTAGTCCTTCTCGTTTCCTGGCAACTATGAAAAGGACAAAACTCCAAAATTTTCGATTTCTCTCTTTGTAGGTCTCGGTAGTTCTGAGCTCCATCCTGCAAAAAGACCGCCTGAGGTCTGCTGCAGGTGTCATGTCTTTTGAAGACTCGTTGGGTGAGTAGTGGGGCTTAGCCTTCACCTTCCCCTTACTAGCGTCCAGCTTAGATCAATCATTTTTCTCTTCATCGTTCAGTTTTTTCCTTTTTCCTGTCCCAATGTTGCGCGTTCGAAAAAAAAAAAGCAACCGTTGAAAGTTCAAACAAGCTCCAATATTCTTAGAATGCGAAAATGGAGTGGTTACAAGTAGTCTACGTACGTTAGCAAGACACACTGTGTGAACTGTCAAATTTCAAGCAGGATAAAGCCAAAAATATTTTAAAAATTTATCAGATCTGCATTTCCGTATGGCGAGATCTGTGTGTAGCCAGAAATGGAGATTTCCACCATCAAAATTCAATTTTCACGGTGCATTTGATCGATCGTGCACACGGCACCTACGTACGGCGACGAAGACCGCCACCCACTTGCTGATTTGCCTACAAATTGCGAGCTCTCCTCCTACGGTTGCTCGCGCAACGCGGACTCTTCTTCTTCTTCTTGCTTGTTGTTGTAGCATTTGATTTGAGATATGGCGGCGCCTGACATGTCTCCCAAGGCCGGCAAGCCGCTCGTCCAGAATGACGCCGGCTCATACCTCGCGTGGTCCGGCAAGGACCAGCCGACCCTCGCCGGCGAGAAGCTCGGCTGCGGCCTGCTCGTCCTCAAGCCCCTCGGCTTCGCGCTGCCACACTACGCCGACTCCGGCAAGTTCGGCTATGTTCTTGGCGGCAGCGCGGTGGTCGGGGTTCTTCCGGTGGGGGTGGACGCCAGGGAGAGGGTGGTGCGGCTCGAGGCCGCCGACGTGATCGCCATGCGCGCCGGGGAGGTCACGTGGTGGTACAACGACGCGGACGGTGGTGGTGGCGAGGATGTAACCCATCCTGTTCGTGGGCGACACCGCCGGCGCCGTCAGCCCCGGCGACTTCTCGTACTTCATCCTCGCCGGCCCGATGAGCGTCCTGGGAGGCCTCGATGCCGGCCTCCTCGCCACGGCGTCGGGGCTGACGTCGCCGGAGCAGGCGGCCACCGCCTTCCGCAGCCAGCCCGCCGCGCTGCTCACCAGGCTGAGCCGCAAGCTGCACGGCGTCCGCCCACGCGAGCACGACAGGCACGGGATCGTCGTGAACGCGGCGCGCGTGCCACCGGACAGCACCGGCGGAAAGACGGTCACCGCGGCGCACCTGCCGGCGCTGGCGCAGCTCGGGTTAAGCGTCGGGCTCGCGCTTCTTGACGCGGGCGCCGCGGTGCGCGGGCCCTGGGTGCTCCGCGACGCCGCGGCGCAGGCGGTGTACGTCGCCAGGGGGAGCGGGCGCGTGCAGGTAGCCAGCGCCGGCGGCGCGTCGACGCTGCTCGATGCGGAGGTCGCGGCGGGCAGCCTGCTCGTCGTGCCACGGTACGCGGTTGCGCTCGTGGCCGCGGACGACGCCGGCGGCATGGAGCTGGTGTCGCTGATCAAAAGCTCTAGGTAAGAGAAGTAATTTGTACACCTAGATGTCCTGACTCATGACATCTAAATGCCGGTTTAATAGTTATTTAAAAATTTCATAAAATAATAAGATAGATTATGGTAATATAAGATACTACGAAAACATTCAACAATGATGGGATATCACCTCGAGAGATAAAAACATGTATTTTTCTCATTCAGAAATATAAAAGTTTAAATTTAATCTACACACGAAGAAACAGAATAACATATTTTATTTGTTTTGTATAGGTACTCCCTCCGTTTTTTAATAGATGACGCCGTTGATTTTTTCTCACATGTTTGACCATTCGTCTTATTCAAAAATTTTTATGCAAATGTATAAGATATAAATCACACTTAAAGTACTATGAGTGATAAAACAACTCATAGCAAAATAAATTATAATTACGTAAATTTTTTAAATAAGACGAATGGTTAAACATATGAGAAAAAGTTAACACGTCATATATTAAAAAACGGAGGTATTACTATTTAGCGTCTGATTTTTCTATTGTTTAAGACGATCATACATCATGTGCATGCATGCATTCGTGTGGGGTGCCGTACGTGAGCGGATGGGTTTTTCACTTGGACTTTGTTGTGTCATGCAGACCGGCGATGGAGCACTTCACCGGGAAGGGGTCGGTGATCGGCGGCCTGACGCCGGAGATAGTGCAGGCGGCGCTCAACGTGTCGCCAGAGTTGGTGGAGCAGCTCAGGACCAAGTGAACGCCGGATCTGATCTGTCCGGTGATTGTGTGTGGCTGTCGTCTCGTGTCTGCGTGTCTTGTCTCCGGTGTTCGATCAGTCCGGACACTTGAATAATCTGAACCAAATAATAACAATCAAAACTGTACTGTAGTCTGTAATAATAAGCTGAAGCTGAAATTACATTTCACAACGTGGTGTTTATATATGTGGTTGTGGTCCATTGTACTATTCTTGGTGTAAACAATGTACTATATATATTTGATGAAAAACAATGTGTTGACATTGAATATTTGCATCAGACTATGGCCGTGTTTAGATTCAAACTTTTTTTTAACTTCCAACTTTTCTGTCACATCAAATGTTTGGACATATGCATGAAGCATTAAATGTGAACGGAAAAAATCAATTACACAATTTACATGTAAATCGCGAGACGAATATTTTGAGCCTAATTATGCTATGATTTGACAATGTGGTGCTACCGTAAATATTTGCTAATGATGGATTAATTATGCTTAATATATTTGTCTCACAGTTTACATGCGAAATCTGTAATTTGTTTTGTTAATTAATTCTTATTATCTTACTACTATCGATGGTGTGCAGTAAAAATGGAAGTACAACCCTATGATCATGGTCAATTGGATTTTTTTTTTACTTCAGCGACCTTCAAAGTTTTGTCCAATTAGAGGGCAGTAGTAGAAATTGAAAAGTGTTGTTGAGACCAAGAAAATGCGAAGGACGATCGGACTGACGTCAATTCGTATACGTCAATTCCACGATCGATCGACTTCGGAAGTCTAGTTCACACCAAAATTAAAAGTTTGGTTGAAATTGGAACGATATGACAGAAAAATTGAAAGTTTGCATGTGTAGAAAAATTTTAATATAATGGAAAAGTTGAAAGTTTGAAGAGTTATTTTGGAACTAAACATGGTGCTATCTCTCCTCCAAAGTCCAAACGTTTCCATTCATATGTACCGTACATACGGGAAAAAAGATTAACACAGCTTTGTCTGTTATACTCCTACCTTCCAAAAGTCTAAGCCCTATTTCTTTTTCATCAAGACCAAGGTGTAATTAATTCATTTATCATGTGACAAAACCAATGAGCATACAACCAATAAGTACTAAAATGACTTGTTGGGTTCTTATCAAGAATCTAATAGACTTTTAAAAAAACCAAAAAATGAAATATGACTTAAACTTTTGGAAGGAGGGAGCTGAGTATGTAAAATACTCCATCGATAGTAAAATATAATAACTTTTAGATTTCAGAATTTTTCCAAAAATATAATAAGTTCTCTCCCTAACATTTTTTTTCAAACAATCACAACTGAAACCATTCAATTTATTTACATACTTCTACTTCTCAATCAATAATAACTTCTCTCGTTAAATTCTATCAACTTCTTCAATAATCGTTCCAACCTTAAATTCCTTTTATATTCTGAGACGTGGGTGGTACGTGTACTGTACGCACATTATATATCTACACGTGCATATATACACGCAGCGGTAGAAGTACAAACGGGTCGCTTTGGGCCTCTTTGTCCCATGGATGATCGATCGAGCTGAGTATCCCCCCGATGCGGACGCGCACGGTGGGCCTCGATCGGCGAGATGTCGCCCGGCCGATCTGATCGAGGCGTCGTAGTTGCATGAAGGAATTCCTTGCATGAATATAATTTTCTCGCACAAGTGTCGCCGATACATTGTAAATCCAATCAAAAATATAAAGTGGTCAAATCAAGATAGTAGAATTAGAGATTGGGAACAACAATCTAGGGAAGGCGGAAGCTTGATATTAGGATTAGAGAAATAGAAAACAGGGGAGGCAGAACTAGAGGAGGAAGAAAGTCATGGCAGAACCAGTTTAATTTCTGTTCTTTATGTACAATCCTACGTGTTCGCGGAAAATAATTTGTGTTCTTCGTGCCGATATAGCCTGGACGCTAATAGGCCGGGCGGCTTCTCTATCAGGAGCAGAGATGCACGTGGACATGGAGAGCAATCCGCACGGCCCATATCAACCACCGGAAACGAACGTTGCGGCCCATAGAACACCAGTGCTCACCAAACGCATCGCATGGCCCACTTATTTCCGACCACCGACGGCCGCGAGCGGCCCATTATCCTCGTCGGTCGCCGGCACGCCGCAACGTCAGCCCACCACGGCAACGGCCACGGTGGTGCACGTCTCCTGTTCGTTTCTGCACGTAAATTTTGCGTGGACTACGTGGTTTTTCCCATAGAGTGTAGTGCGAGTCTGCCGCGTTTATCCGTTACGTTTTCATTTTTTAATACGCCCCGTTCTACTACTAGACGCAATTAATACCAACAAGGGCCTGACAGGTGCACGCACACGTGCCGCATCAACCAGACAGCCACTTTACCACTAACTACGCAATCAGTGCGGCCTGGCCCATCTCCAGCCACCCACCCACCGGCCTAAACCACGGCGGCCCATTTCAACATAACCACACAAACTTATGGAGCATATAGCGTACAGTTGACTAGTGGTCCGCCTGGGTTCCGGTCCCACAAGTCAGCGAAACAAAGTGATTCAAATCGAATAGTAGTAGTACCACTGTACCAGCTTATAATAAAAGTTAGTATTACAATTAAGGAGGCAATTATAATTTCTAATTGCGGTGTGATTAGGTTAATTAGCACCGGGATCTCTCTCGTTTCTCGCGGCGGTGGCGGAACGGTCACTTCTCTTCTTCACCCGACGCAACAATCCCATCGCTGGTGGCGATTTCGCGAATCCACCTCGTTTAAAAAGGCAAAGTCTAGCCTAGCTTTCCTCCCTCTTGCTCGCCGGCTGCGGAGAAGGGGTTCGAGTGAGATAGAATCCGGAGGAGGAGGAGGAGGAGATTGCGGCGGCCGGACGGCGGCGGATCGGTTGATTGATTGATTGGTTGGTTGGTTGGTTGGGTTGATCGATGGCGTTCTTGGGGAACGGCTACTGCTCGTCGGGGTCGGAGGGGGAGGACGAGGACGAGGGGATGGAGGGGTACCGGAAGGGAGGGTACCACGCCGCCAGGCCCGGCGACCGCTTCGCCGGCGGGAGGTTCGTCGCGCAGCGGAAGCTCGGCTGGGGGAACTTCTCCACCGTCTGGCTCGCGTACGACACCCTCCTCAACGTACGCCTCTCTTGCCGCCCCCGATTCCTCTCTTGCTTTCCGTTTCTTGTCTTGTTTTTCCCCCTCTCTCTTTGCCTGTTCTTTACTCGATGCTCGGTTGGTTTGGTTCGGTTGCTTTTGGATATTGGAAACTTCGGTTGAGGTCGTTGGAAGCTTGCTTTTTATCTGAAACTGTGCGCCCTGTCTCCTATCTCCTGTTCATCAACTGATTTGTGTTTGGTTTCCCTTCTTCTTTTGGTACAGATTTCTGAAATGCTCTGCAGCCATTTGTTTGCTTCTGATGAAAAAAAAAAGGGAGAAATTTTCCTACATGTTTATATTGTTTCTACCGCACGTCTACTATTCCGATTCGTGCAAAAAAAAAGTTTTTTTTCTCCATCACAAATATAGCAGTTGTATGGTGCAACCAATATATCATGAGTTGTCAATTTGAGTATTGCAAGTCCGAATTTTGCAGAGATTTGTCGCGCTCAAGATCCAGAAAAGCGCGAGGGATTACGCACAGGCGGCACTCCACGAGATTGAGTTGCTGTCGGCGATAGCCAAAGGTGACCCGACAAATTCCAAGAATGTTGTGCAATTGCTGGACCATTTCAAGCATGCTGGTCCAAACGGACATCACGTTTGCCTGGTCACCGAGTTCCTCGGTGATAGCTTGCTAAGGTTGATACGGTACAACCGGAATAAGGGCATTGGTCTGAGCGGAGTCAAGGAAATCTGCCGATCAGTGTTGGTCGGTCTTGATTACTTGCACAGAGAGCTCGGCATCATCCACACGGATTTGAAGCCGGAGAATGTTCTTCTTGTATCGACAATAAACCCATCGAAGGACCCAGTGCGCTCTGGGTTCACACCGATTCTTGAGAGAACTGTGAGCAACCAGTACAGCGGATCAGTAATTAGTTTCAGTGAGAAGATGCTTAAGATGCGGGCAAGACGCGCTGTCGCCAAGATTTCACTGAGGAGGGAGTCTCTTGGTGGAGTTGCAGCAGAGATGGAGAAGGAGAGAAGCCTGGATGGTATTAGCTTGAAGTGCAAGATTGTTGATTTTGGGAATGCCTGCTGGGGTAGTCAGCAGCTTGCTGGTGAAATTCAGACAAGGCAGTACAGAGCTCCTGAGGTGATCATTGGTGCTGGGTACTCATATTCTGCTGATATGTGGTCATTTGCTTGCATGGCCTTTGAGCTTGCAACCGGTGAAGTGCTGTTTGCTCCCAAGACTTGCCAGGGCTGTAGTGAAGATGAGGTAAGAAACTGTTATTTATGTTGTTTAATTTCAACTTCTCAAGAATACCATCCTATGTCTTAGTATTCCTGCTAGTTCTGATGATAATCCAGGCATACAAATATGCATCAATATGTCACATAGTCCCTTGCAACATACGACATATTAACCAAATAATAAAATGCTTTTAAAAGCATCTGCTAGGGCCTTGGCCTCTTGGGCCACTTCATCAAACAAATGTGCAAGCAGTTATCATGAAAGATGCACCCAACCTGACAAGCACCAACCTAGCTACTGAATCTTTAGAAAAATGAAAAATGAATTTATTGGGTCCACACTCTTACTCAGTAGTATTCAAATTAACTTAACCAACTTCTGATCTGCAGAAGTTGATGGTGAAGGATATCATGTGATGTTGCTATTTGAGCAGTTTTTATCATCTTGCAAAGTCACTTTCGTTTCAATATCAATTTCCGATTAAAAGTACTGAACCTATTAAATTTTTTCGCATAAAAGGTGCCAGCCAGGATACTAGGACTGTTGTGCAGTGTAAACTGCGTCGTAATATGTACTGGGACAAATTGATCTGTGTTGTTATTGTATTGAAGAAAAAAGGAAATTGTCCTCTGTTCTGATTCTGTTAAATTCATACTTATGAAGAAAAATATCTAACTGAGAAATTCCTCTTGCCAGATATAATGCACTGGTACATATAAAGTACCAACCGGTGATCCTTGTCCTATTAAAAATAACTGCAGCTAAAACTTATGTTACTGCCTGCTTGATTGCTCTGTTAAAGTGAACTTGATATCATGCCTATGTAAGATTGTCTGACACATTGATGCACATTGAATTAACTAATCAGTCAACTTCACTACTTCTTACTTCGATATAAAATCTACTGGCATAGAAGTGTTATAGTCAATCAATCACCTCATCATTCTGTTGGTATTCCTTTATAGGATCACTTGGCTCTGATGATGGAAACCCTTGGAAAGATGCCTAAGAAGGTTTGGCAAGTTTCTCCCTACACTGCATCTATCTTGATGTTTTTGAGTTTTCTCTAATCCTTCTGTTCTGTTTCAGATTGCTAGCTCAGGTACTCGTTCAAAGGATTACTTTGATCGGCATGGAGATTTAAAGAGGATCAGAAGGCTGAAGTTCTGGCCTCTAGAACGTCTACTTGTTCAGAGATACAATTTCACTGAACCTGATGCCCAAGGTTTAGCTGATTTTCTTCGTCCAATTCTAGATTTTACTCCTGAAAACAGACCCACAGCTGCAGCTTGCTTGAAGAATCCATGGCTTAACTGATTCGACGATACGGTGACTTTTGAAGCCTAACAAGTAGAATCTTATACAAGCTATGTTGACTATCAATTACTCTGTTTGACTGAGAATGCAGAGAATTATGGCCTTGGTTCTTTGCCTTCTGCAAGCTTTCTGCTAGCTTGGAGAGCTTGGTTTTTCTGATGCAGCTCAGTTTTCATAGAGCAAACAGTAGACACCCTCATTATCTGGATATTGATAGCAAAGATGTTGGGGGTATCATCAGAGTGATTCTTGAGCTCAAGTTTCCTTTTTCTTTTATGAAATGCTTGACCATCATCATGTATCTGGATGTAGTAGCAGAATTTCCATTAGTGTGTTTTGGGTGTGGAGCTAGTGAAATGCTAATTAACGTCAGCATGTGCGCTGGCCTGAATTCTGTCGGCTGTGCCTCGTGTTGATGTAAAGATAAATATTTGCTAATGTGATCTGGGCCATCTGGCAGTGGCTACCAAACCTTTTATCTTTTGGTTGAGAAAGAAAGAGCAGTTCCAGTGCAGCTGTGCATTGATTCTTTTTGCTCAATGGATTCTGTGCTGTAAAGTTGCTTACTGGTTCAGAGCCAGCGTGCTCCGTTGCAGTTTGCTTGCTACTGCAGTTTTTATCTGTGATTCGAGCTGTAACCTGTCCCGTACACGTTTTCTGAAAAAGAGAGGCATTTGTGTTGTTTGGTGAGGAAATGGGATTATATGATAAGAAGTTAAGAACCTTTTAAACTGGTGTATCTGCAACAGTTTTGTGCCAACTGCTGAATCGCTAAGCAAGCGAGATGTAATGTTGTGCAAATATAAAAAACGAAAAGTTATGCTAAAGTACTTTGGATAATAAAGTAAGTCACAAACAAAATAAACAATAATTCCAATTTTTTTGAATAAAACGAATGGTTAAACAGTGCAATCAAATATATCAAAATCCCTTATATTAGAGGACGGAGGGAGTATATTTGAAATTATATTTGTCAAATGTGACAAGTCCAGGTGACCAGGTGGAATTTTACACCAATGATCTTAAATTCTGGTTACATCTCAATCAACTGAAAAATGTAGGATATTAAGATTGCACAAATGAAAAATACTAGTAATTTTTGAACTAACACGTCATAAAAAAAGAGGGGGGGGGGGAGTATGAAACTGTTGAAAAAGTAAGTTCATGATATTAAAAATTCACAATAACCCATAATCATATCATAACAAGGGTTCATTTGGTGAAACTCTTACTCTGAGATTCTTGTTGCATGAAGCTCGAACCATAGCAGACACTTTAGAGATTCTGGATGATACAGAGTGATGTTGTTGCTCCGCTCCTAAAAATTACACTGGGAGCGGCATTCCCACTACTTTTCAGCTCCGATCCACTATCACAGTAGGAGCTATACCAAACAAACCCAAAGTAGGCAAGTACCAGTAATGATACATTTTTAGCCTTTGTAAATATCCAAAGGAATAAGTTTACTTTGGGTTCCTCTATTTGTCGCCCAGTCTGATTTTCGTCCTTTGATCGCAAAACCGGGTATAATAGGTCCCCCAACTTACGAAACCGTTTAAATAAGGTCCCTTGGTAGTATTTGACCCGGTTTTGACTAAGGTGGCGACTACGTGGCTACTTTGACTCGGTCTTTATCTGACGTGGCATTGACGTGGCGCTTATATGGCAATTCGATCCGAAAAATAATAAAAACTATGAGACCCACATGTCAGTTTCACACACACAATAATTTTAAAAAATGGTGGGGCCCACGTGGACCCCACCTGTCATCCTCAGTACCCTCTCTCTATACCCCTCTCTCTCTCCTCTTCTCCGCCGCCTTCTTCTGCGTCGCGTCGCCGCTATCCGTGTCGCCGCCGCCGACCACCCAGACACCCTCCGCGCGCAGGGACGGCATCGCCGAGTGCCTCTACACCGCGCTCGTCATCCTCCAGCCGCCGCTCCACAAGCCGCCTGCCGCCTCTCAAGTCTCAGCTCCGTTGCCGCCCCTGTGCGCCTTCCGCCGGCGCTCACCATTCTCAGGGAGAGAGGGGGGGATAGAGAGAAGGGGATAGCGAGCACTGCGCCGGAGAAGAAGGTGGCGGCGGGCCGCGGCGGCGCTCGGGGCAGACCCAACAAGGAAGTCCTCCTCCTCCTCGTCGCTGGACTGCACGAAAGCGAGGCGACGAGGCCGAAGATGGCGAGCATCTCGGCGAGCAGCGCCTTGGGCCTCCCCATGGCGGCCTGCACGAATGCCACCGCCGCGGTGCTGTTCGACGACGCGGCGTCCCTCCACCCCATCGCGGCGTCCGCCGCCGCCGAGACAGCATCCCCGGCGGCGGCGAAGGTGGCCGCCACGGCCCTCTCGACGGCTGCTCTGATGGCGCAGAGGAGGAGGCAGCTGAGGTAGCCCGGGAGCTGGACCAGCATGAGCAGGAGCACGACGGCCATGGCGGCGCCCTTGAACACCACCGCGGACGAGCAGGTGATCACCGTGCTCAGCCCTGTGATGAACAGCTTCGCCATGGCCATTGCCATCGATCGCCTCTTGTCTCTGTCGTTCTTTTGCCTGAACACGACGTGTTCTTGAGATTTCTTGATGAAAATTTGTCGAACACAAAATGTATGTTCTTAAGATTGAGCAGGGAGAAGAGATCAAAGAGGAAGAGATATGAATTTATTTGGTCGATTGGTTGTGCCATCGATTTGGTTGCCACTTTGAGTGGTAGAGCACGCATTAGACTGGTCGTTTGCGACGTTTGTTTATGACAATGTACTACCTCGTGCAGAATGGTTCAGAGTTCAGTGTTCTAGTGTTCCTCTCAAGCTGTCTTTGCAGTTTGTATCATCATTGAATGTTTATTATATGTTCACGTCAACTCCCCATCTCTCTGTGCCGGCGGGAGAGGAGGGAGCGACGCACGCATGCTCGCCGGTAGACAAGGGAGCTCGCCTAGCCGTCCGCCGCCCTTCTAGCTCGCTGGCGGGAGAGGAGGGAGCTCGGCATGGCTCTAGCGCGGCGTAGGCGGCGGGAGGACGACAAGCGCGGTGTAGAGGCGCTCGGAGATGCCGTCCTGGCGCGCGTGGAGGTCGGCGGCGGCGACACAGATGGTCTGGTGGTCGGCGGAGGTCCCGGCGCGCGCGTTGGTCGGCGGCGGCGACACGGATGGCGGCGTCGATGGCGTCTTCCAGGGCGCTGCCGCGCTGCTCGCCTTCACGCGGACCGGCGGCGCTCCGGTCGGGGGGCAGCGCCGACCACGCCCACCGCTGCCGCCGGAGCTCGCCTGCTCCACTGCTCACCCGCGCCGTCCTCTGCCCGGGAAGAAGAGAGAGAAGGGAGAGGGAAGAAGAGAGGAGTGAGGCTGACATTTGGGGCCCATATGGCACCACCATTTTAAAATTATTTCTTTTTGCAGCTGACATGTGGGGCCACACTTTTTTTTATTTTGCTGAGATATAGTTGCCACGTGAGCGCCACGTCAAGCTACGTGGGACGGAGACCTAGTCAAACAAGCCACGTATGCGCCACGTCAGCTAAAACCGCCTTCAAAACCACCGAAGGACCTTGTTTGCCCGGTTTCCGTAAGTTGGGGGACGGGTCATGCCCGATTTTACGGTCAAGGGGACGAAAATCGGACTGGGCGACAAATAGAGGGACCCAAAGTGAACTTATTCCATATCCAAATCCAAAACTTCACTTATTTGTGTGGCCCAATAGGACCGATTTTGCTCGGAGGATAGTATGGCTTTGGGTGGGCCGGATTCAGCCCAATTAATGGCTCATTCGCCGGGAAGAAAAGCTGGGCTTCCTTTTCCTGAGAAGAAGAAAAAATGCAGAGGAAAATTTCTCCTTAGCGACGACGAGGCGGCGGGCGGCCACTCTCCAGTGTCATTTGCCCGCCTCACCTGCACTCTCTCCATCTCTCTCCTCCGGCGAAGGCGCGGCGCGGCGGCGTTCTCCCCCCGCCTCGCCTCCTCCTCCTCGCGCGCGCGGCCGCGGCGAGCCAGGCTCGGAGGCGGCGGCGTTGACGGGACGGGCTCCTCTCCTCTCCTCCCCGACCACACCCTACCTTCGCCCCCGCGCTGCCTCCTCGCGCGCACGGCCGGGAGACAAGCCAGGGGCGACGCGGCCGGCCTCGCTCCGCTCGGCTCCATCTCGGTTCCAGTCGAATTGGAGGTATCCATTCTCCCTCTCTCAGTCTCTCTCCTGCTGCCTCGCGCCACCTCATGAGCCGGCGTCCGCCTCTGATGCTGCGGATTCTGAAATTTTTGGTTTACACTGGTGTCCAATTCTTCAATCTCAAGTTGGGGTTTAATACCCGACCACCCAAACCTAGACCGAAGGGTAGATGCAGGATCGTACTAGAGATTGTTGAGTTGCTGCAGAATTTAACTTCTGGATAGGTAGGTAGTTTGTGCAGTTTGGAAGAGGGGATGGACATTTTTGGGCATGGGTTACGTTAGTTGTTTGTCCTAGGGGGAAACTGATCGTTTGTTGGGTTCGTGGTGGCTACTCCATCAATGTAAGTGGAAGGATACTGTGGCTTCTTACTTCTATTATGTTCATGGTGCCTGCTCATTTGATCTGACATCATGTTCACTTCTTCAAGCAACCTATCTAAGTGTACATTTGAAGTTTCTGGAAGAAACTTCTGATCTTGTCTACTGTTTTTCTTGGATAAGTTTCGCTGCCAACAGTTGCTGATTGTACTATTCCCCCAGAATGCTTAAATGCAGACAATAAAACGGTTGCCAAAAAGTGTCCATAGCTCGTTGCGCTCAAGCATTGTTCTATTTGACCTATCAAGGGTTGTTGAGGAGCTGGTATATAATAGCATTGACGCAAATGCGAGCAAGGTATTACTTTCACATACAAAAAGGCAAACTATTATGCATGCAGTATCTTCAGTGACATAAGTTTTCTTTTTGATTCATTTCAGATTGACATCTCAGTGAATGCCAGAGCATGTTATGTTAAAGTGGAAGATGATGGTATGCCTTTATAGCTTTGTACCTTATGTTTTAAATTTCTTACTGCTGGTATTTGCTTTTAGAATAGTGTTTCCTGTTGCAACTATTGCAGGCTGTGGTATTACTCGTGACGAACTGGTTCTTGTAGGAGAAAAATATGGTAAGTTAAAACTTCTACTATTATTTATACATTTTCGTTTACTCCCTATACTCAAAACTGCTGTTTTTGTCATATTAAACAATGAGGGTGCATTGTTGCAAGCTCCTTCACTTGTTGAAGCAGGCCTTATGGATGCTTATCTGATTTCTCTAATGTCAGAATAGAATTATTATCTTACAGAAAAGAAAAGGTGAATACATGATTTGCTTAGAATTAGATAGTAATAATGGAAACAGTATCATTCTGTGATATTTGACATCGATTATTGATATTGAAAGCAGATGTGTTTATTACTATTTTTTATCATCAGATGTTTTTATTGTTATTCGTATAGATTGATGGTTGGTAAATGAAATCACTGTGTTGTTTTTGCTGCTGATGTCACCCAGTGATGCTTTATGCAAATCATCATTAGGTGCATAAGGATTTCAAGACAATATATCTTTGATTTCTCACTTATGGGTCATGAGAAGTTAGTTGCATTAATACCTGTTGGCAGGTGTGAATTTACTATTTTGTTTATTATGCTTATTCACCGTTTCTTTGCAACCAAATATATTTTGATGTGCTGTCCTCAGGGTAAAAAAGAATTAGTTGTCAGTGGGTAGGATTATAGAAACCCCTTTATTTAAACTTTTGTATCTTGTTAGATTCATTCTTTTTTAAGACGTGTTAAATGTATATCCACCACCTTAATTACAGTAACCATTCACTCTTGTTTTCAATGCGCTAATAATGTATAACTCTTTTATTCCATAACAGCAACATCCAAGTTTCATAATGTCATGGTTGATGGGGAACCTAGTTCCAGAAGTTTTGGATTAAATGGCGAAGCACTCGCATCACTATCTGATATCTCTGTTGTTGAAGTCAGGACAAAAGCTCGCGGGCGACCAAATTCATATTGCAAGATAATAAAGGTAGTTTACACACTTAACCTTTTAAAAGCTCAGCATAATCTTGATACATACATCCATAGCGTATCTGAATTCTTCTGGCAAATATACAGGGATCCAAATGCTCACACCTGGGAATAGATGAGCAGAGGGAAGTTGTTGGAACCACAGGTACATTTTTACTCTACATTTAAAGATCAAGAAAATAAAATTTTACTCTAGTCGTGTATTCATGTGTGGTATATTTACATTTTTTGCCATGTTATATAAGCTACGTATCGTAATGTTTTTCATTTTTGTGTAGTTATTGTTCGCGAGCTTTTTTACAATCAACCTGTACGCAGGAAACAAATGCAATCTAGGTAAATCATGTTATCTTTTTCATCTGTACATGTTTCTTACAATTCACAATTTTGTTGGAAAGAAGATTTGATTGTCTTTCTCAACATTATGTTTTTGTAGTTACAAAAGAGAACTACATCTTGTGAAGAAGTCTGTTCTGCGAGTTGCACTCATTCATCCACAAGTTTCACTCAGACTTTTTGATATTGAGAGGTAGTCTATTGTGCTACACTAGCCATTTTTATTTTACCAATACCGCGTGAGAAAGTGTATCTATTGACATATCTTTTTTATGTATGTAGTGAAGATGAGTTGCTATACACGATTCCTTCATCCTCCCCCTTGCCTCTTGTATCAAACATTTTGGGGAAAAATGTCTCCAGCTGTCTTCATGAGATAGCTACCTCTGACAAGCATTTTGCTCTTTCAGGGCACATCTCCAGACCAACAGATGTGTTCTGTAATAAGGTAACATTTATCATATAAGTTGTGGGTTGTTGAACAAAAGTTTGGCAACATGTATTCAGCAAAGTGTGTTTTTCCTCTGTAGGATTTCCAGTACTTGTGTATCCTACAATCCAGTTCTTCACTGTCTATTTCCATAGTTTCACATACCATTTTTCTGAAAGCTTGAGTTGGGAGATATCCTTGACTTTCCAAAGATATCAACTCAAGATTCGTCAGTAAAAGCCCAATCCACAATATGCTCAATAACCTGGCATCTAGTTTTCAATCTTCTGCAAGGAATGAGGAAATTGATGTTCGGAGTAAGAAGAGGCAGAAGAATGAAGTCTACCCTGCATATCTGCTAAACTTGTGCTGTCCTAGATCAAGCTATGATCTACATTTTGAGCCTTCACAGACTATTGTGGAATTCAAGGTGATCCATTACACATTTATGCTTTTTAATTCCCCTTCTTTTTCTGGTAAAGCTTCATATGTAAACAACTGACCGGATAAAAGTGGTTTGGGCTTTTTTTTTTTTTTGGGGGGGGGGGCATGTTGATTTGTACCTTCATTTCTATTTATTTTAAAAGCAAATTTTCTTTCTTATAGCTTGACATTCATTTCCCATTCTTTTTTATGGTTTTTCTACTCTTTAGGATTGGCAAACTGTCATGTATTTCTTTGAACGAACTATCACAGACTATTGGAAGAAGCATGCACCTCAACTGCCAGAAGGTTAGAAAAATATTTACTTCCGTAATGATGTCTTCCCTGAACAATTTTGAAGTCTAGAAGCTGTTGATTGAATGATTTTCTTATTGTTATCCTTTTCTATTGTAGTGAAAGCTATTGGCAATGATACCTGTGTGCCTTTGGAAAGAGATGGTCAGTGATTTAGTGTACACGATTCTCTTCCTCTTTTGATTCGTCTGCCTTGTGAGCTTTGTGCACGTGTTGTTTTTGCAGTGAAATCAAGTCAGGAACTGTTAAGGCGTCATGGTGTGCAGAAGAAAGAAGATGTCGCTGAATTGTACCAAACAGCTCTGCAGAAGAATACAGTACGAGACATGAATTTTGATACAGCTGCCCCAGCAGAACCTAAAGACAATTACCTTTCTTTGGATATGGAGCCATCCACATGGCGTGCCTGCTATGACCAGATCAGTGATGCATCCCACACAGATGATGTTGCTAGGAATGGTCGGAAATTTGGTCATAAGCAAATATGTTCCCTTCAAAGTTATAGTTATCAGTGGTTAGAGGACGGCTCTTCCCTGTTAGAAGACTCTGATCTTTCAAGTGCTAACCCAACTATTTGTAAAATGCAAAAGACAGAAGATATATTCCATGGGCATGCATATTCTGGTAAGTTTGGACTGCTACAAGATGCAGAAATCGAAATCGGTCCAGAAATTAAACTCCAAGAATATTGCTTTGAATCTCCCAATAAACCGAACAGAATGACCTGCGATTTTGTGCAAAAGCAAACCAATATAGAGGCACACATTTCAGGCCGTGATGGATTCTATGTTGATTTTGATAAATTGAACGAGGACTGTCTACTCAATGAGATATCAAAGACAATCACTGATGTTTCCTGCCCTCAAATGCCACACTTTAATGATGGACTCTGTCCTGAGGACGTTGGCTCCTCCAAGAGTTCCTGTAGTGTCAGGAAAAAGTCTAGTAAAAGGCAAAATAGTGCTAATGCAATTGCCCAGATGAAGTTCCATGATATGCAAGCAGTTTGCGAAAGTGATTACATGGATAGGTCCTTCATCAAGGATACATGTGGCCTTCATTTCTTTCATCCATTCTCGTTGGCTGATACACCTCGCAGTCACAGTCGTGCAAGGATTGACTTGGAATTGCATGGAAGGTCAAATGAAAGCATTAACAGTTGGAACTGTGAAAATATTGGCACTGATTTTGGATTTACTTCAGACAGGTTTAATATTGATTCATCAATGATTTTTGAAGGAAGCAAACATCTCAATAACTTTGGCAATGGAACTCAATCTCCTAGTTACTTCAATCATGAATATTGTTCTGTCGGTCAGTTTGCTTCCAAACAGGATCGGATACCCTTGAAATCAAAACATGATGCAAGAATGTCATATGATATTTCTCCTGAGAAAAGTTCTACTGGTTGTCATTTGAATGTTTCTTTTTCCCAAGTGGCAAAAAGCAGCAAGCTTACTGAAGATCAGTATGGATGCAGTCAGAGGCCCAGGCTTTCCAGAGGTAGATATAGGAGTCGTTCTGCACCACCATTTTACAGAGGCAAAAGAAAATTCCCTAGATTAAACGAACCACTAACCAAATTGACTACAGAAGGTGGTAAATATACCACTGTTAATGACTCAGGAGGTACGTCTTCTCAGAGCCATGGCAAATCTTTATACTGCTCTGTCATGAGCAATAAGTTTGTATCTTTTATACTGGATGCAGATATCACACCTGTTCAGGAGTATACATCACATATGAACGCAACCCAACCTATTCCTGAGACCTTTAGCAATGACTTTTCTGACCTAAATTTCAGGTATGCTTCTTTTGCATGTTGCCATACTACTGAGAATGTCTTACTCTTTTTTTATTTTTTCATAAACCTCTTACTATGTACTTATTTTTGCCATTTTCTTAGCTTGAAGGGAAATGTCAAAATGTGCGAAGAGAAATGTTCTGATGAACTCGAAGATTCTACTGCTTCAGATGAAATAACAAAATGGCGTGATGACTCTGACCATCATGCAGTTGAGCATTTTGTGCCAAGAGTTATATCACTGTGCACAATTTTCTATGCTCATATTTTATCTCTCTGTGTAGGTTTCGGAGTTGCAACATGGTCCTTTTGAACACGATGATGATGTACTTAGCATTTCTTATGGGCCCTTACACCTCTCATGCAGTGTTCTAGTTCCTGAATGTATTGATAAAAATTGCTTTGAGGAGGCAAGAGTTTTGTTGCAGCTGGATAAGAAATTTATTCCTGTCATATCTGGGGAAGTACTACTCCTTGTTGATCAGGTCTGTAGTCAAGTATGTCATTTGTGGAAAAAAGTTAAATTTAGGAGTATTCTCTCCATTCAAAAGTCTTAAGACATATTTCATTTTTTGGTTTTTCCAAAAGTCTAAGGCCTATTTGTAATCTCTATGTGCTAAATTAAATTGTTGACCGGAACACAAGAAGCCATCTTAGTACTTATTGGTTGCATGCATGTGTATACTTCATTGGTTTTGTCACATGGTGGATGAGTTAATTACTCCTTGATCTTTGTGACAAAAGAAATAGGTCTTAGACTTTTTGGATGGAGGGAGTATTATTTAGCAGTTTGTTTATATTGTTTTGTGGTAATAGTCATGTTGTGGAGATGAATTCTGTTGGATTGCTTGTTGCATTTGATGACCGCGATACAATACACTACTTTTTTTTCTTACTGTTTAGAATTGACTAGTCATAGGAGATGTTTGACCTTTATGTATATGATGCTTGAGCGCATAAAATGTTTGAAATATATGCAGGATACCAGAAACTTGTTGGATTTTTTCTTTCTTTAAGCAGGAAGAATTCATTTTTTATGTTCACATACTATATGAAGTAGTCAGTGTGTATATGGTGACAAAGGTACTTCTCGGACAGATTTTAGTAACTTACTCCTTGTTCTTACTATTTTACAGCATGCAGCTGATGAAAGGATACGTTTGGAGGAACTCCGTCGAAAGGTTGTTTAACTTAAATTGACCAGGAATGTTCATAACATTGTTTCCCCTCTTTCATATTCACTTTGTTTGGATTTACAGGTTTTATCAGATGATGGCAGAGGGATTACTTACTTGGACTCTGAGGAGGACTTAGTACGTCACTTTATACTTTATAGCAGTTGGCATCTGCTGCACTGTGTTAATAGCTTAATATAATATATCTAAGAGAATTATTTTGAGATTAAGATAAGTTTTCTTTGAACACTAGGATGTGTTGTTTGATCTTCTATCATCTATTTATTTGCCAGGTTCTCCCTGAGACTGGATTTCAATTGTTCCAAAAGTATATGCAACAGATCCAAAGTTGGGGCTGGATCATCAACAGTACTAATTCCTGTGAATCATTCAAAAAGTAGGTGCCTGACAATCATGTGAATGAAAAACTTTCTTTTGTGTACTTAGCCTTCGGTGCTATTTTATCGAGGTCTTCTTGCACATCTTCTAGTTATGTTCATTTGAATCTACTTCTGTAATTAAGACAATCTGAGCCTTCTAGTGCTGTTTAGGTTGCACAATTTTAGTTTGTGTTTATCATACCTTCAGCTTCTTATAGTATAAGAATAGTCAGTTCAGAAGGTCACATGAATTTCTTCAATTAACATTTGGTGATAACATGTTATGATGCTTTTGGATGGCTCAGTCCATCATTCTCTACCCATTGTGAAGGAGCAAAAAGCTGTTTATCCCCTCTGTATACACTAGAATATAATAATTGACACATACCATTTACTTTATATTTTAAAGGAACATGAACGTTCTGAGGAGACAATCGCGCCGTCTTACTCTTGCTGCTGTGAGTAACCTTTTCTGCGACCCACATATATTCAACCTCTCTGCAATAGCTACTTATCGTACCACCCCTGCAATCTGTCTAGGTGGTGTGTTGCTTTGTACCTGTGTTGGTTATATGCTTATTTCTATGGTAAAAGTTAGTTTGATAACTTTGATATCCATGAAATGTCCGAAAGTGTTTCAAAAGAATATAGACAAGCTTCAAACACTATATTTCTTTGAAACCTTCAGGCCATGCTACGTTTCTTAAAAATAAGGGAAAAAAATATTTAATAAGGGATACTTGTTCTCATTGAGTCTGGTAATTAGCTGTTTTTTATGCAATTTGCTATCTGTAGCCATTTATGTTGTAGTGATCTAGTTAATCATTGTGTACATTTTTTTTTGTTACTGCTATTTGAAGCGCAAATATTATCAGGAGTGGCTGTGGATATGCAATTGTCTTTTTTATATCTTGTTTTTCTATGCATATTATCCTAATGCTGTTACAAATATCTGGCGAAATTTTCTCAGAAAATTTGCAACACATGTTATAGTGCCCTCATCATGTACCCTGCACAGGTTCCATGTATTTTGGGCGTCACTTTAACAGGAAAAGATCTTATGGACTTCATTCAGCAGGTGATTTATTCTGCTACACTTCATTTTAAGTTATGAAACTCATCAATTTAGGTCAACATTAGTCAAATTGTTTGGATGTGTAATGCTTTTTCTTGACAGTGTATTTGTACACCGTTAGATGTAGGTCCCGTGTCTTAGAAAATGCTAGTTCGGAAGGAAGATAAAACTGCAGGGAAATGATTTGTTATTCTAACTGCAGAGTTTTCTTATGCATTGCTATTTTTTCCAGCTTGATGACACAGATGGGTCGTCAGCTATCCCCCCAGCGGTCATTCGTATTCTCAATTTCAAGGCTTGCAGAGGTACACCTTGTATCTCTCCCCTTTTGTTCAAAAGTTTTCACCTCGACTCAAAAGCGACGCCCTGATGTTTGTTCTTGGTTGACCTTAGGTGCGATCATGTTTGGCGATCCTCTGCTACCATCGGAGTGCTCTCTGATTATCGAAGAACTGAAAGCAACATCTTTATGTTTCCAGGTACCATCGAAATGCTACAATTTCCAGATCTTATTCTTACTGTTATCTAAGCCATTGGTTTACTGATGAAAGCTCCATTAATAAACCATTAGTAGTGTCTAATCAAGGTTTTTCTTTGTTTTTTTTTCCTGGCAGTGTGCTCATGGACGTCCGACCACCGTGCCGATTGTGAACGTCGCATCTCTCCGCGGCGAGTTGGCGAGGCTCGGAGCGGTGAACGGAAGGCAAGAAGAGACCTGGCATGGTCTCTCGCACCATGGACCCAGCCTTGAACGTGCTCGAACGCGCCTCAGAGAACTGAGAAAGCTACGTGGTGGCCTGTAGCTGTACAACAGTACAAGATGTAGGATCATATAGAGGGTAAATAGTCCAAAAGAAAAGGAGAAGTGTTGCATAGTGCTTCAATAGGAAGCGGCTTTGTAGTTTGCAGAGATAGATATGCCATTGGTTCACGAAGAAGAGGTAAAATGGCCATGAGCCGTGTTGTACACTTGTAAACCATTGTGATTTGTGAAGGCCATTCTCACCCTGTAAATATATGACAATATTTTTCGCAGTTTTCAGAGCAAAAGCCAAGTCCGGCTCTCTTTTTTTTTTTTTACAAAGCAAAAGGTAATAAGCTTAGCAGCTTGGGCTCCTTTGAAACACATGAATTTTAAATGAACTAACTTGATTTCTACAAAATTTATCTTACAAAGTCCGCCTTAACAAGGTTTTTGCCTTTCTTTCCAGATGATGACCAAAGTAGAAGAGACAGTGGTAGCCCAACTCCTCAATCCTCAATCTAAAGTTGGGCCTTGCTTATGTGGGCCAGCCTATGATCCCAAGCCAATTCAGCCCATGATGAGAGGACGGCCTCTCTCGTGAACCGTGCAATGTACTCCTACGGTACAGCGTTGGCGCGCGGCTGCGGCTTTCGGAGTTCCATTTCCCCCCCCAAATCCTCCCGCCCAAATCTCGGTCAGTCTCTCTCTCTCTCTCCAATTCCCCATCTCTCTCTCCTCCACCTCGCCGCCGATGGGCGCCGCCACGGCGGACGAAGACTTCGCCACCCCGCCGCCGCCGGCGCGGGCGCCCGGCGGCAGGGTGTACCAGGTGGGCGGCGTGCCGGTGGAGTTCCCGTACAAGCCGTACGGGACGCAGCTCGCCTTCATGGGCCGCGTCATCGCCACGCTGGACCGCGCGCGGCGGCAGGGCCGCTCCCACGCGCTCCTCGAGTCGCCCACCGGCACCGGCAAGTCGCTCTCCCTCCTCTGCTCCGCGCTCGCCTGGCAGCGCCACTACCCGCTGCGTGCCCCGCCCGCCGCCGCCCCCGACCCGTTCCTCCACGGCGGCGGCTTCGTCCCCGACGACACCCAGAAGCAGGCGACGCCCGGTACGCCCCCCCGCGCCTCTCCTCTCCGCTCGTGTCGCTTTTTTGCGGCGGTTCTTGGAGCCGCAGATCTGCAACCATTCTTGCTCATTTCGCTCTGCCCGTTCTTGATGTTTAGGCGTCCCGGAGAAGGCGACCAGGAAGAAGAATGTTCCGACCATCTACTATGCGACGTAAGGTTTTCTGCTCTCTTTGCCCAAACTGACGAGACGATCTTGATTGATTCTGAACTCTTGGTTGGTTATCTTTCTGAAGGAGGACGCACGCGCAGATAACCCAGGTGGTCCGGGAGTACCGCAAGACGTCATACCGAGTTCGCATGGCCATCTTGGTAACCATTGCCCCCATCTCAATTTGCTTCTTGCTTTATCTTGCGTAGTAAGATTACGCATTGTTCAACCAAGGTTTCAAGTGGCACGTATAACTTCAGACATAAATTCAATCTTCATGCAGTAGCATAGTTGATAATTCCTCTTTATGCCACATATTGCCTGATGTCAAACTCTTCCATTTAACTACATGCTATCTGAAGTTGATTTCTAATACTAGTAGCGGTGTTTTGAGGGGTGACACATCCTTCCTCTTTCTGTTTTTGGTGTCTGTCAATTAATAATAATCATGCAATGCAGGCCTCAAGGAAGCACTACTGTGTCAATAAGAATGTGTGCATGAGTGGCAACATCGATGAACTATGGTAATATACACTATGAAACATTTCTTCACAAGCTTTCATTTCCATTGCCAACACTGACTGATTGTTCTTTCCGTCATTAGCAAGTCACTCCTTGATGACAGTGCTCAAGGCTGTCCAGAATACAAGTAAGATTTCCTATTTCAACATCAAAACATATACTAATCTGAGAACATCCCCCTTTTATTTCCAACACGATTGTAAAACATATTTGCAGGAATGCACAGAAACTAAGTCGCCATCCATCCCTTCAGATTGGTGGCTGCTATGAAGTTCATGATATTGAGGATCTCGTTAGAGTTGGACGGAAAGTGAAGGGTTAGTTGCATGCATTCCCTCTTGATTCCTAAGAAAAGTATTGTGCCACTTCTGATTTTTGATACCTATTCAATTGCCACTTTTGCTGTTAATCTGCAGGGTGCCCATATTTTGCTGCACAAACTATGGCTGAGGCAGCTCAACTGGTTTTCTGCCCATATAACTATCTGATTAGTCCAATCGTGAGGAGAGCAATGGACATTGACATAAGAGGCTCAATCATTGTTCTTGATGAGGCTCAGTAAGTCCCAAACAACTCTGAATCTTTTTCTTTAGATCAGTTATAAAGTAAAGAATACTGGCTAATGTATTCATTTCACAATCTGCATTCTTTTGTATTGCAGCAACATAGAAGACATAGCACGTGATGCTGGAAGTTTTGATGTTGATGAAGAATCACTTCTCTGTGAGTTGTCTGTTATTCTATTAAGGCTCATGGTTATCAGTTCAATTTTTTTTTCTAAGTTGAATTGAATTGTGCTTTTATTAAGTTTTGCGGCAAGAACTAGAAGGGTTAGTCACTGATGAGGCTGTTGCAAAGATATACGAACCCTTGCATGAAGTTATTCAGGTAATTCTACTGTATTTTCTAGAAAATAGAGGGAGAACAGAGTTAACACCGAGCTATATTAGTTACAAGCATTAAGCTTTTAATACTTCTGCAGGGGCTTAATGGTTGGATTGATGAGCAGGGAAATAACCTTCAAAAGAATGAGTTTGAGCATCCTGCTTCATTGTATGTACCATGCAATTTTTGCCTCTTATCTTGTGTATCTATTTAGTGTTTTTATTTATTCTTCCTTGTGGTTTATTATTTTTACTATATACTTGTGAAAAAAAACGAATACCTCAATAAGGCATTACTTGTTTATGCAACCTGGCTTAGACAATATTGGATTGCTATTGGGCATGCATAATCGTAAATATATTATCTCCAAAAATCATTCAAATGTTTTCAATAAACTTAAATACTGAGTTAAAAAAAATTCTGTTTACCTTTATCTTCATGATTTGCAGAAATTTGCTACATGTTTGCAATGAAGCATGAAAATAAACATTTCTGTTACATTCAATCGATTCTAAGTTTCTAACATTTTGTTTTTGTATCCTCAGTTGGACTGGTGAAGAGGCTATGAAGGAACTCAAGTATGCTGGCATTACTCCTGTAAACTTCCCAGTATTGCAAGAGTGTGCAACAAAGGTGCTTCCTATTTCAAGTATTACAGTGTACTAATTCTTAATGCAGCTGTGAAACATTTTCTCTGTAATATTGTTTTTGGGCCTTTGACATTCAAAAATTTCAGCAACCATCTTGATATCATCTTGTTGTTTTAGGCTATTAAAGCTGCTTCAGATGCTGAATCAGAAGGAGTGCACTTAAGTGGTGGTTCAGCTATGACACTAGAGAGTAAGGAGCAATTATTTTATTTTTTTATCTTTTAGGAATTTAATAACCTAATGTTACTGTGCATTATGCAGGTTTGTTCTCCTCATTGAGCTACTTTTTTGCTGAGAATGGACGCCATTCAAATGATTACCAACTTGCTTTACAGCGTTTTGCTAAACGTGAAGGTGCTAATGTGATGTCTTATGATCTTATCATCTGTAAGAAAATTGTGTTTAATTCATGAAAAGATTTCCTAGTAATGTGGAATTGCCATGTGAACATTTTATGAAAATGAAATCTTGATTCATATTGTACATATAAAATTCATATGTTGTGAGGGAAATGCATTGTCCTTTGAATCAGGGAAAGAATTAATAGATAGTTGCTTGATGTACTTTGGGCTTTTCATGCAGTTCGATTCAATTATAACATATCCTTCTAGCTCTTCCATTATTGAATTACTTTATCTCAAATTTGTAGTTCATGTAACTTTTGAATTATGACATTTGCAGGCAATTCTGTCACTTCTTTCATTGGATGGAAGTGTGTGATGAGTCTGTGGTGTCTCAATCCTGCTGTTGTTTTTCGAGACATCGCAGATCTAACACTTTCAGTAATTCTCACATCTGGGTAAGTCTCCAAGTTAATGTTTCTCTTCAAAGACTTCGTAGAGTGCTTTACTTTGTTGTAGCAAATATGATTGTGAAAGCAACATGGAGAATAGGTACATATGCAAGTCATGCATAATGGTAGCTATAATTTGAATATACGCAATTCAAGCCTCTACAGGCTGAATTGTAGGTGCATGGGCCACTGAGAAATGGAGATCTTCCAAACTGAATATAATTAGACTGTCACCTTTAAGTTTTCTGAAATATTCAGTTTCTATTCAATAGGAGATAACATATAGCTGGTTCTTAACTACATCTTCACAGCACACTCTCTCCAATGGGATCCTTTGCATCTGAACTTGGTGTCCAGTTTGAAGCTTGCATGGAAGCTCCTCATGTAATCAATGCTGATTCTCAGGTATGTTTGTTGCAAGTTGGCTCTAGAGTCGAGAAGCTTTTGCCTGGAGTGCTCTAACCCCTCAATCACATTAGTGACGTGTGTAAGATAAAATCAACATGTATCTCAGTGTATATTGTGCACAGTGCAGGTTTTTGCAACTGTGCTATCATCTGGCCCAACAGGACGTCGACTGAATGCCAGTTATAGAACTGCAAATGAATATTCTTTCCAGGTAACTTCTCATTATCCTTTTTCTTTGGTGAGTTTTAAGCTGATACAGTCATATGATCCAGAGTTCCTTTTGCATTTATACAGGATGAACTTGGAGCTACACTAGAAGAAATATGCAGAGTAGTGCCTGGTGGTGCTCTTGTGTTTTTTCCTAGCTACAATTTGTTGGAGAAACTTCAAAGGCGCTGGTCTCAGACAGGTCAATGGGCACGATTGGAGGCTCAAAAGCATGTATGCGTTGGTAAGGTTTTGTCCAGGACTCTACAATGTTTTCTTAAAATTCTAGAAGGCAGTACCAAGGACATTAGAAGCTTCCTCCATTTTTACTTATGTAATATTCAATTCTTTCAGAGCCTAGAGGAAGTACCGAGGAACTTGAGCCTGTCCTAAAAGGATATTACAACGCAATCCTTGGCAAGGCTCCCCCAAAGAAAGGCAGAGGTGGTGCAAAACAAATTGTGAAAAATCGAGTGACAAAGGATTCATCACAGGAGTCTGCTAAAGGAGGTGCTGCTTTTCTTGCAGTTTGTCGTGGAAAGGTGCTAATTCCATTCCTTTACTTGTATTAATAAATTTATGCACCTGCTTGAACCCTAATTTAATTTTTCGTTTGTACACCATGTGCTACCTACTGTCATCAGCTTATGTTATGTGGTTACCTTTTATTTTCATTATTTTCAGGTATCTGAGGGGATTGACTTCTCTGATGACAAAGCTAGAGTTGTGGTATCCTTTGTTTTCTCCTCATATGTTTTTTATGCACCAGAGAGAATGTAAACTTTTGCCCCTACTTCCCTGTAATATCTATCATGATTGGTAATAGCAAAGAGTACAGTATTTGTAATTATTACATATATCCAGCAGTTTCCTTGACCAAGGCATAAGGTTATTGTTGGCATTCCATTTCCAAATATGTAAGTCCTCATTTTTCTTCTATGGATAATCTCAATGTCTTGTGCTGTACTAATCAATTTAATTCAACATGGACCAGAAATGACGTTCAAGTAAAGCTCAAAAAGAGATATAATGATTCATACAAATCATCAAAAGATTTGTTGAGTGGGAATGAATGGTACTGCCATCAAGCATTTCGTGCTCTGAATCAAGCTGCAGGTGTGATGCTCTATTTTATCTGCTTATTTACCTGCAGCGCAGGTACTTCGGTTAATATGTTTAAAATGATTTGTTTCTATCCTTTCATTTTTCTAGGTCGATGCATTCGCCATAAATTTGATTATGGAGGGATAATTTTGATTGGTATGTCATTTGTTCCATGTGTTTGATTCTCAAGCTTTCATATTTGACTGATTCCACTACTTCAGTGCTTGCAATATGTAGTTATTGATTCTTACTCATCATGCTATTTGTACAGATGAGCGTTATCAGGAAGAAAGAAATATTGTGTATATTTCTAAATGGCTTAGGAATTCAATTAGGAATTGTGGTACTTTCCAGGAGACAATGGATGGATTGACAAGGTTTTTTCAAAATGCTGAGGTATGTAGTTATTACTCACCTGATTTTTTATATGTGAACAGGCTATTTAAACACCATGGCAATTGCTACAGGAACAAATAAAAATCAAAGCTCAAGGTGTGTCCCCTAAGGACAGATTGGATGCTTGTGTACTCCCATCTCAAGGCGATAAAAGAAAGCTGCCATGGCCAGAACCAAATTTCTCAAACCAGACAGTACTGCAAAATAATAAGGATGTTAAGAGTGAAAGCCACATTGATGGTGCAGGAGTTGACCGTATGAAGTTGTCTGATACATCATCAGAGTCATGGCATCTCTCTTCAAAACATTCTGGTTTAGTAAAGAAACAAATCTCCCCAGAACCAGAAAATGTGCCAATGGCATGCCAACTCCCTCCCTCATACAAAGTTCAATATAATTTAGAAGGTGAAGCAGATAATGGGACAAATTATGAAGTAAATATAAACTTCATTGACTTGGAAGAGTGTGATACTAAGCCACGGTAATTTATAGTCAGTCAGTCAGTCATATTTTTACTTAATATGTTAACCCAATTCTCATTTAGCCTTTCTGTAATTTGCAGGTATGTGAAGTTAACTATCTTTAATCCTTCAGAACACATAACACAACAATCTACTGTTATGGAAGAAACTTATGCAGAGGTGCCAATTGCTAGTCCCAGTAACCGAAATGGGGAAAACGCCTCTACAGTGATGAATGAAGGAGATCCGGTTTTAGATCTGCCCATTTCGCTTTCAGCTGCTAACAGAAACATTTCTTGTGTGTCCACATCGGCAGCTACTCCTGAAAGATCAGGTAGCATTAGTCATTTGGAGCATGAATCTTGGACTAACAGAAGTGTGAATTCCCACTGCCAGAAAAGGAGAAAGTTAAGCTCCCCTATGAGCTGCTGTACCTACACAGAGCGTTCATGTTCTCCAAGCAAACCCTACTTACATGGTGGTTGTGATGTAAGCATGTTGCCTGGAGATCTGAGAACTGATGGAATGTGTTGCAAGAGTATGAAAATGTCAAGATGTGAAAATGTTAAGGTTGAAAGAAACAGCAAGCTTGCAGAGTTCCCATCGAGGGAATCTACGCAGGAGAAGCTTTTCATTTGTTGCGCTAGATGCAAAACAGCACTTGGATTACAAGAGGATGGCTTTCTTGTTTCATGCTCATCGTCTTTGTCCTCAAAATTTTACTTGACATATCTTTGGAGACATGGACCATCAGCAGATATCCTTCCAGGAAAAGATTTTTTGGCATCACCACCCTTGAAGATAAAAGTGATGGTGTGCAATGTATCTTCAGTGAACAAGATGATGCTTGGCAACTTGAGCAATGAAGGTTCTGCTCATAATTCTAGTTTTTGGTCTGAAAAGGATGGATGTGTGTACAAGCCAGTAACTTGTCAGACTTGCTCTTGCAAAAACGCCTGTGTCACAACCCTCGGAGCACAAGTTGTTGCAACTGATTCGTCAAATCAACAATTTTGTGATAAGGTACTTGGGCATATTTTTGTTGAATCTTGTAATTGAATGCTATCTCCACATTAACTAATTACTATATTTGTTCAAATGAAGGTAATTTTGTTTGATGATCTTCTGCATGTCAAGCATGGACCGTCGAAGGATCAGGTATGACTTCTTTATGTCCCCAGGTTTATATCCTTCTTGTCAAATACATTTAGAAAACTAGCAAATGCTTAATGATGTTATTTGTTTCCATGTCAAGGCTTTAAGTGCTCCCATAGGTACTGTTAAACCCATCTCACCCCCGCCAGTGATTGATCTCGAGTCCTTTGCGTACAAACCACTGAAGAAGGATCCTGTGCCGGTGAACACAAGAAGGTCCAAGGTCAGTCACCAGTTGCCTCTGTTTCCTATCCTACACAATTTCGCTATTGTTCATTTTCCTAGTTTATAGTTTTATTTCATCTTGTTGGGTAAACTTGTAAAGGCTAACAGGGTAGCCGAACAATTCCGAACCTACAAACAACGCTGAACTTGTTCAGTTTTTTGTTGTTTATGTGAGCAGCTTAGGTTACCTGGCACAGCCAAATCCAGGAATGGTGCATAATATGAAGGATTCGTCTGCTATATGCTCTGAAAGAACTGGGAAGTCAAGTACACTTCACAAGCGAATGGGGTGCCAATTGCTGTGGGTTCTTTTTGTGTTGTTTTCCCCCTTCTGTAAGGAAATATGGGCATGCCTCTTCTGGGTCAATCTCTTCATGGATGAGATCAGCATGTTTCTTGTTCTTTTGTTGAAGGGTTGATGTAAAATATAAACTGCCGGCAGCATGGTATATGATGTAAATACAGATTCGTATTTTGAATGGATAAATATTATAAACTGCAAGGCAATTGGAAAAATTGTTTTGGCTGGCATTCTTACCACGGCTTCTGAAAGCTGCGTTTTGGACAAAATGTACAGGTCATGTGACTGCCTGTGACCAATATTTCAATGGATAGATGTTAAGGCAGTGAAAATTGTTTTGGCTGCAATTCTTACCATGGCTTCTGAAAGTTGTGTTTTGGGGCAAATCATGACTGCCTGTAACCAGAATGAGTGGCTACTATGAACAAGACTGACAAGACTGACAAGACTGACAAGATTCGTATTTTGAATGGATAAATATTATAAACTGCAAGGCAATTGGAAAAATTGTTTTGGCTGGCATTCTTACCACGGCTTCTGAAAGCTGCGTTTTGGACAAAATGTACAGGTCATGTGACTGCCTGTGACCAATATTTCAATGGATAGATGTTAAGGCAGTGAAAATTGTTTTGGCTGCAATTCTTACCATGGCTTCTGAAAGTTGTGTTTTGGGGCAAATCATGACTGCCTGTAACCAGAATGAGTGGCTACTATGAACAAGACTGACAAAAAAAGAAAGGGATCGAGCTCCCGGCGAGGATCGAACTCGCGACCTTTCGCTTACGAAGCGAACGCACTACCACTATGCTACGGAAGCAGCTCACGCACTTCGAGTGTCAGAAATACTGCCCAAAACTGTCAAAAAATAGGATCTCTTGAAAGCAGGTGCGGATCCAACAAAATCCTCACCTGACACTGGAAGAATCAGAAGTTGTGGACATTGCGTGGCAAGTTACTACAGTAGAAATCACAAGATATATTCCACTCTCCGCAATTTCCATGCATTCGAATCATCACTACAGTACATCAGTGAGTAGATGTATGGCTGGGTTTTAACTCTTTGCCACTCTTACAATGCTTCCTACCGGATAGGAAGAGAGCATTTAATACTTCTTACCGGTTAAAAATCAACATTGTGGATGCCCTAATGGGAGTAACAACAAAACTGAGAAAAGAACCTTTCCAACCACCAAGCTGCTGTTCGGCTCCAATCCTGACAGAACGTGTACAATACCACCACATGCCGGGAGCTTCACATCCAACGAACCAACCAGAAGATCATCACAAGCATGCAGATATGAGATACCCAAAACAGAATGCAACTTGCCAGCCACTTCTCAGACAGTTCCAACAATCGCGGCTAAACAAGACATAACTACTATCCATCAAGTTATTACTGTACATCACAAGATCGAGCAGTGGCAGTTACTGTACCACACAGGTTACTAGATGCACCACAAACATTCAGCAACTTGTAGTACTGAACCTTACCCAAACCAATGCAGAGAACTGCACACAGGCTCACAGCAAAAGCGCATGGAGAAACATTTCAGAAGCGAGGCATCACAATGCAAAGCAAGTAAACGAACTGACAGATCCGGATGCATCATTAAACAGGATGCAAGAGACTTGTTATATTTTTTTCCTTTTCCTCTTCAGCAACTAACACAGATGGCACCATCTACTGAGATCTGAGATTTAAAACAGCAACAGATACGAGTACTCACTTAGATTACAGACAGTGAGACAAAACAGACGACAAGATGGTGGTCAAGTGCCGAAGAGAGCGAGGACACCACATGAGAGCTAAGCTACAGGAGGAGACCTCTAAGACTAAAAGCTAAAGGCAGCAACATCCGAACACTAGCAAGGAGCAGCAACCAGCAACGTCCACTTTGGTTAGGCCGACTCGAGAACTTTCCCTACTACCTGCAGCCCTCCATCGATCACTCGTCACCCTGCACATACACAAACACAAAACAGTCAGTGAGGTCACACAAGAAGATTTATGAGTTAATGGAGACACGGTGTTGCGGATTGGAGGGAGGTCTTACGCTGCCCTCGTCCTCGTCGTTCACCTCGGACTTGGACTTGTCAGAGTCGCCTGAGGTAGCCGGGCCTCCTGCCTGCAACGAGAAACGCACAACAGATCAGTTTCAATGTGTCATGACAGTTGCAGGTGCAGAGTTGTGGAGAGGGGGATTACCTGCTTGTTGTTGTAGGCGTCAATCTTCTTGGTGTACTCAGCCTTGAGCTTCTCAGCCTTGGTCACGAAAGGAGCCTTGTCCTGCATCGTTTCAACACCTCAAATGTAAGAGCTAAACAAAGCACAAGGTGGACTGAAACACTAACAGAGCATTCACAACAAACGACAGAGACAACAAATCAGCACAAATGATGAAACCACTGTTCCAAATACAAGCCTAAACATCGCGGTTGAGTACATATGGCCACAAAATTTTACTAGAATTTGACTTCGCGGTGAACATTCTGACTTAACATTAACCAAGTAAGGTAGGGCAGTAATTTACAGATCTATTTGTAGGATTGGAACGAGGAGCAATTTCAACTTGGTGAACATGTATGACCGACCTTACAAGGCACAGCAACTACGACATAACCCCTAATCTGAATTTACCCATGAGCAAACAAATTTAAGTGCATTTTCCCCCACATATTTGAAGTTGAACCAGCAACAGTGATACAAGTAAGCAGGCTAAAATTAATCCTCAGCAACAATTAGATCCATACGAGCAATACAGAGACATGGACAACACTGGCATCACAAGAGTAAACGGATCTAGAACGAGACACGGCATCAGAGAAACCGAGCAACTCCTCAATTCGCGACCAATTAGCGCAAATGCACATGGAACAGTTCAAATAAGGGGAAGTGAGAAACTCACAGCATCAGTCATGGACTTCCACTTGTCACCACCAGCCTTGCCAATCTGCGATTTCCACCAAAACCAAGTCAGAACACAAAATGTCGAAGCGAAATCCACAACCGTTCGAAACGAAGAGACGCAGCGGAGGAAAACGACGCTTACCACCGAGACCTGCTTGACGTTGGGGTGCTTCTCCTTGTAGTCCTTCCTGAACTGCTCCCTGCAAAAAACAACACCCCCAAATCGATCAGAACGCCCAAAACCACTTCGAACGGAGAACCACTAACACAAAAACCCACGGATCTAAGACTCACATGAACACGAAGAACGCGCTCGGTGGCCTCTTCGGCTTGTTCGGGTCCTTCTCCGCCTTGGTCTTCCTCACCGAGAGCCTTCACGAAACACCACAAAAAACCCCAAATCAAAACCCAACCCAACCAAAACGAACCGAAACCACCCGCGAGCACAAGCACAAAACCACCAACAAAACTCACCTGGAGTCGCCATTGCTGGACCTCGACCTCGCCTTCATCTCGAGCCCTACCGAGTAAGAACAAAACCGATCAGAACCAACACAACAACCCAAAACCCAACACACACTCCCGAACCAACACAAACAACCCAACACGCGGAGATTCGAGCAGCATTTCGAGGCAGCCAGCCATGGATTTACCTCCGGATCGGCGAGAACGAAGCGGCGGTGGGGAATTTGGTTTATCAAGCGGCGAAGCGTTCGTGGGTGGGATGCGATGCGGGTGGATTGGATTTGGAGAGGAAAGGGGAAGGAGAAGGGCGCCGCCTTTAAAGGCGGGGGCGGTGGGCGAGTTTGCGCGGGATCTGAAAACATTTTCTCGCCACGTCACCGATCCGGGAGCTCGCCTCCCATTGGCCGCGCGGCGCGCGACGCGGCTACCGCCTCCCTCTTGTACGCGGCGCGTACGCTAGCCCGCGGTTGCTGTGTCCTGAGAGAGGCGGTCTGGGTTCACGTGGGGCCCACATGTCATTGCCTCTACGGGTGGGGTTCCGGATTTTTTGTCCGGCCGCGGGGCGGAGGCGGAGTTCGGGCGGTGTGCTTTCCCCCTGTGCTTCTTGGAGGGGTATTTTTGGTATTTCTCGGAAGTTTCACGGATGTTGGTGGGTGTTCTCCGCGGGGCCCACGTGTCATTGGTGGGGGCGCTACTCTCTGTTTATCCCAAACTTTTTACTATGATGAGGATTAGAGCAAGTTTAATAGCGTAGCCAACTACTAGCTTCAATTCATCTATAGTCAATCTAATAGCTCATTCATACAATAGTTACATACTACACTATTAATACATGGTCCCACCTGTCATACACACACGGTGTCTTGGAGTCCGTGCTACAGCTGGCTATAAATTTGTAGCCCGTTGCTCTTCTCTCTCCTCATTTATTTTCTTAAAATATGTTTACAGCTGGCTTATAGCCTACTACTGTACCTGCTCTTAGGCCTGGTTTAGGAGGTGTTTGGGAGAGAGGGACTAAACTTTAGTCTTAGGGTAGAGACTTAGGTGGTGTTTGGTTGGAGGGACTAAAGTGGGGCTAAACTTTAATCCCTCTTACAAAAACATAAGTCCCTACCATAATGACTTATGCTTTTGTGAGAGGGAATAAATTTAGTCCCTAGTTCCCAAACACCCCCTTATTTTTTGGAGAGAGGGACTAAATTTTTTATTCCAAACACCCCCTTAGTTTTTAAAAAAAAATTCTCAAAAACATCACATTTTGAACACATGCATGTAAATTGCGAGACGAATTTTTTTAGCCTAATTAGTCCATGAATAGTCATAAGTGCTACAGTAACCCACACGTGCACAGTTTGCATGTAAATCGCGAGACGAATCTTTTAAGCCTAATTAGTCCATGATTAGCCATAAGTGCTACAATAACCCACATATGCTAACAACAACTAGGTTCAAAGGATTCATCTCGCGGTTTCCAGCTAGTTATGAAATTAGTTTTTTTATTCGTGTCCAAAAACCCCCTTCGGCGTCCGGTGAAACATCTGATGTGACACCCAAAAATTTTCTTTTCGTGAACTAAACTGGGCCAATGTATTGTGTTATAGAACACACTAGAAAATCAGCGTGTCTATTGGCACACTTGCTAATTTAGCCTATAAAACTTTTTTTAGCATTTGTATACTACTTAGAGATTATTTAGAACGTGAGATTTTTTTAAGCAATTAATCAAATACTTAAAAAGTTGTATCAACATTGTACCTTTAAAATATCCTTTTGGTGTGTTTTTAGATTTATTTTTGTGGGATACTGAGTAAGAAACACCGCATCATAGTAATATACGCTAACAAGTTGATGAAGGTGGTATATTAGAGGGAAAGAAATATGTGTTTTATGAATACTCCATCTCACCTTTATAAATTCAAAAGTTGTACCTATAAGTTGTTAAAACTGTAGAATTAAAATTAGAAGCAAAATATGTTCATGATGTTTATACTTGCTACTAATTATTATATATTTTCTAGAAATATAGGATAAAAACAAAGCTAAGTTACATGTTTTAAAATATAACCTAATGCAAGAACCATGTTTCAAGGCAATAGAGAAGAAAGACTTGGTGGCTACGGTCGGCTTCACCCACTAGAGGGGTATTCATGTCTAATTCTAACGGTGTTATCTTATTATATGGTAGAAGTAGTATTCTCAGTCATAAATAGATTTAGAAATAAGTGAGAGATGAACACTTAGGTCTATGGCGGGTATGATGTGAAAAGAAATAAGACACAAACACTTAGATATGTAGCGAGGATGACTTGGAAATAAGTGAGATATGAACACTTAGATATGTAGCGTGGATGACCTTTTTAGTGTATTAATGATGTATTAGGCTTATTTAGGTGGTATAAGTGCAGTTCCATTGCACCTAGCTTTGAAGATGATGATAATAAGTAGTGGTGATAATAGACAAGATTATGTATAGTTGGGATAAAGTGATTTTTAGTTGAATCCAAGAGACATTCTTATTGTTAGTGTATTACAGTATATGGTCTATTTTGCTACGTAGATATTTCTTCTCTCTTTTTATTATAAGATAATCTATAGTACTTACAATAATGACATATCATTTCTTTTAGCACTCTTTTTACAGACAATGAACAAGATACCCGTGCATATGCGCGGCTTCTTTCCTAGTTTTATTAATGGATTACGTTCATGGTTCAAACTTCAGAGGCTCGAGGATTCCTGTCGAAGCACATAGTATCCACTCCGCATCAACCCCTGAACCCATAACCATTTGCGCTGAAATTAAGCAATTTTTGGTCATACTCAGAAAATAACTTTTGATTTTTGTTATACTTTTTTATTACAGCTTTCGAAAAAACAAATTTTTGTATCCTCTCCTCCCTTAAAAAATCGATTTCTCTATAAGAAAAACAATACCCTTAAATACCTCTCTAAAGAAATGTAAAAACTCAATTTCAAAAAGGACTAGAAACTGGGTTAATAACAAGTGTTGATACCTAATTTATGCATTAAACAATATAAGTCATATAAATACTTTTAATACGAAAGATATTAAACAAGTGTATATATAGTATTTAATACGAAAGATATTTTTGCTAAACTTAATCTATAATGCTATAAGGATTAATAATATTGAATGATATAAGTCATATAAATATTTTTATGGGTAAATTAGATATCAACACTTGTTATTAATCCAGTGATCGTAGTGCACTATATATATTATTCAAGTGAGTTGTGATTCACTGTTTAATGCATATGCATGTAAGTATTATTTACTCATATAAATGTAATATCATTAAAAAAATAATAATTATTACTTACTCCTATAAAAACATAGATAATATATATTACGGAGCATACACACATGACCTAGCTGCTAGTATTCATGTGTGAGTAATAGTGCTAGCTGTAGCAAATATGGCTCTTTGATTGATCGAGGGGTAAGAACTTCAAACACATATGCTAAGCTACGGAAGCAAGGAAGAGGGTTGCTATTTGCTAACATTAAGCAACAAGTGAATACTGAGCAAGTCTTGCAAGCAGAAAATAATGCAAATACAACTTTTTCTAAGAGTCTTAAAGCTGAAACATTAGCATGACGGAGAGCAAATACCGCTAAACAACTAGATGAGATAGTGGAGAAGAGCCTTAAGGATGCATGCAATCAAATAGAAATAGGAGACATGTCATAACCAGCATGAAAGCTTATATAGAGAGTGCCAAAGAGAGGGAGGAGAAAAAAAAGAGAAAAAGAATTTTGTTTGGAAATAATGTTATCTGTTTCATTTTATTTTGTCATTATTCGATGGAAATGGAAATTAGTGTCGCCCTAAGAGAAGAGGAATCAAGAGGAAAATGGATGTGAGTGAAAATTGCTACATCCTACTTTGAGGGGATAGCATGAATGATATTGATGGTGATATTTGGCTGTGTGAAATGGTTAATAGACAAACATATGAATGTTCTGCATGATTCAAGAGCCGAAGAGACTCATGTCACCTTGCACACTATTTCAAGAACTTGCTTTGAGGGCTTATCGTGTAACTAGGTGCCAACGCGTCGATACCACTAATTGCGACTCATATTGCCTCATACATCAATGAGATCCTTGGTTCTATTATTTTTCAAGAAGTATTCGGGATTGGAGCTAAAGTTTCAGGCTTCGAGGGTTGAATGTATGGATAGTGATGTATACACTTCCTTTATCACTTTTGTTTGCATTTAGATTATCAGTTTTGCATTCAGATTATCAGTTTTGCCAAAATCAAGGAGGAGATCAAAACTTGTGTCTTGGCGGGAGCGAAAAATCTTCATAATTAGCTTTCTTATAGCTCAATTTTTTCCTTTCGTTTTGTACAGTTTGCTCATCTATTCAATGAAATTGGCGGCTTACTGATTTGTTAAAAAAAGATTCTCAGCTTTTGTCTGCAACACCTTTTTCAAACTAGAACAGGTATTTAGAAGAGCCTAACTTGAAGTCTCTAAGCTAATATGATATGGTCCCCTTTCTCTTATATTGTTAGAGATTTTCTCCGGTCCAACCAAAAATACGTCGAGATGCTGGTACTTCACGATACCAAATCGTTGGATCTAACAATGCCCATCCTGCCCAGCTAGATCCAACGATTAGAAACAATTTGATACCAATATCTCGAGATACTTTTTGCTAGATTGGAGCAAATCGCATATTCTTAACCCCACCATGTACAAGACCTTGTAAACAAGTTTGCATGTCTCAAATATTTATGAACAAAAAAGGAATCCTAATCAGCATTTTAATTACTGGGATTCCAACTTACACAGGCTAAAAGAGTTAACAAACAACAAAGTTCATCGTTTCAATTTAAGTACAGGAAAAAACAGACAAAAGAAGATATATTAGCCAAGATAGTAAGTTAGTAACTAATTACTTGACCAAGTGGACTATTTTGAAGGATTGGATGCCAAACAGGAGGAGGTTGAGGCCATTTGTGTCGAAGGTCTGCGGCAGTTCTGGGATGGCTGGGGAGGCAGGAGTGCATGTTGGGGAGGAGACGATGACGATGTCGGAGGTCCTCAGCAGGGTGGCATGCGGCATCGGTGGAGTTCGGCGGCGCCGGATGGGGAAGACCACAGCTTCGGCGGTGGCTGGGGAAGACATCGGCTCCGACGGGGGCAGCGGTGGAGGTGGAAGGGAACTTACTCGTTTTCAGATCGTGTTTTCATCTACCAAATGCAACCACCAATGCTCAAGAACGAAGATCATCAGACATAGAGATCAAAATTTCCACACGTATGGAGAAGATTAAGGAAAGAACAGGATTTAGGGACTTACTCGTACTCTAGGCTTTCAACAATGGGGCCAATACTGGCGATATGCTGATGATGATGAAGTGGCAAATGGGGAAGAGGGCCAACCTCGGTGCCGGCCATCGGTGGAGTGCACGCCGGTGTCGGTGGCGGCGGAAGGGGCTGAGGTCGGCTCCGGCGAGGATGCGGCGAAGTGGCGGCAGCGGGGAGGAGCTCCGGCGAGGACGCGGGGAGGAGGAGGAGCGAGCGAGGAGAAGAAGCGCGGTCTTCGCGGCCGCGGGTGGAGGAGGAACGATGTCTTCGCGCGTGGAATCCTCGGCGGTGAAATCGTGCGGTGGAGAAAACTTGCGCGCGGATGGACGGTTCAGATCAATTTGGATGATTTGACCTGTAGCATTGGAGGAGGACAACTTCTTTTTATATTAGTATAGATACATCTAAAGAGAAATAATTATAGGGTTAAAAATGAAAATGGGCCATTGGTGTGACAGATCGGCAGGTTCGTAAGTGGTCTTGGGATCTAGTAACTTCCTTGCAACCCCGGCTGAGATTTATTCTCTTTTTTTATAGCCAATCCTATGACCAATATTTATGGTATGACGTGGCTCTTTCTTTTTTCATCATGAGAAAGTATTTTCACTAGTTAAGATATGATACAACGCAACTACCAGTAGGATAAATGGATAATGGAATAGAGCTATTTGCTTGGCTGCTAGCATAACCACTCTCTCTGATAGCCCACTAAGATTTTATTAATTACTGATTCCGAAGAAATTGTTGTTGAAACCCACCAGCCGAATTTTAGAATTTAATTTTCAAAGGCTTCTCCGTCAACTTCGTTGCCCTAGCTTGCCCATGTTTTATTTCCAATAATTGCTAAGAATAATCAAAATTAGCTTCAAATTTTATGCCAAGCACACAGATACTGCATCCCCTCTGTAGTCAAATACTGGTTTCTGACCCTGTGTGTTATTAATATCGTAAAGTAGCAGCGGCGAAGTATTTTTGGTCTTTTTTTTAGCTGTCTTTATTGAAGCTTTCAGGATAAGGACGCAAGTTGGTTTGATTTGAAGCAATCCACGGCAAATTTGTCGAAGTTTTGGACCAAAACAGCCAGTTAGATGGAAAAAATGAGAGGACACATCAAGGTCTCAAATACATACTTGCCAGGCGAACACCGTTTGCTAGGCGGTTTTGTCGGTTATCACAATTACCGCCACGAAAGCCGGTAAAACTTGATAAATTTGCCGAAATGTTGATTTTTTTTACTTCTCGAGTTTCTAACCGGTTTCACAACGCGAATCGGCTTGAGATGACCAATAACCGCCACAGCATGTTGAATAGATAATCCTTATGTTGTCAAAGCTAAGCTGATGCGTCAATGCTGAATGTCGTCAAAAATACTCTTCGGTGACCAATAGCCAATAATCGGCTTTAGAATTTTTAACCGTATTCGAATAAATAATTGTGTTGTCAAAGCTGTACCTTGAAGACTGAAAAGAGTCAAACACTGAGTATTTTCAATTAATTGAAGCAATGAGTATAAATAGCGTGAATGCACACCGATTAGTTTTACGTGCTTGTATATTTTGATTTCCCCGTCAATTTCTAAAGCAAGCAGATGTCTTGAGAAGATTTCTGAGCAACATTGGCTCACAAATAGCAAGAAAGAGACCAATTTTCATGGATCCATCAGATGCTTTCACCTACGTCATCATCAGCGTCGTCGTCCTCCTCCTCCTGCCGCCGCCGTGTTCATCCGACGACCGGCTTGTCCCCGGTAAGCCGCTAACCTCTGATGCCACCGTCGTCTCCGACGGCGGCGCCTTCGCCATGGGCTTCTTCTCCCCCTCCAACTCCACCCCGGCCAAGCTCTACCTCGGCATATGGTACAACGACATCCCTGTGCGCACCGTGGTCTGGGTCGCCAACCAAGAAACCCCGGTCACAAATGGCACGGCCCTGTCCCTGACCGACTCCTCCGACCTCGTCGTGTCCGACGCCGACGGCCGCGTCCGCTGGACGGCCAACGTCACCGGTGGCGCCGCCGGCGCCGGCAACGGCAACACGACCGCGGTGCTGATGAACACCGGTAACCTCGTCGTCCGGTCGCCGAACGGCACCGCCCTGTGGCAGAGCTTCGAGCACCCGACCGACTCGTTCCTGCCCGGGATGAAGCTGCGGATGATGTACACGACGCGCGCCTCCGACCGGCTGGTGTCGTGGAGGGGCCCCGGCGACCCGTCGCCGGGGAGCTTCTCGTACGGCGGCGACACGGACACGCTCCTGCAGGTGTTCATGTGGAACGGGACGCGGCCGGTGATGAGGGACGGGCCGTGGACGGGCGACGTGGTGGACGGCCAGTACCAGACGAACAGCACCGCCATCAACTACCTCGCCATCCTCAGCCGCGACGACGAGGTCTCCATCGAGTTCGCCGTCCCCGCCGGCGCGCCGCACACCAGGTACGCGCTCACCTACGCCGGCGAGTACCAGCTCCAGCGGTGGAGCGCCGCCTCGTCGGCGTGGTCGGTGCTCCAGGAGTGGCCCACCGGGTGCGGCCGCTACGGCCACTGCGGCGCCAACGGCTACTGCGACAACACGGCGGCGCCTGTCCCGACGTGCAGGTGCCTCGCCGGCTTCGAGCCGGCGGCGAGCGGCGGTTGCCGGCGGGCGGTGGCGGTGCGGTGCGGCGACGGCTTCTTGGCCGTGGCCGGGATGAAGCCGCCGGACAAGTTCGTGCACGTGGCGAACGTGGCGACGCTCGAGGCGTGCGCCGCGGAGTGCAGCGGCAACTGCTCGTGCCTGGCGTACGCGTACGCCAACCTGAGCAGCAGCAGGTCCAGGGGCGACACGACGAGGTGCTTGGTGTGGTCAGGGGACCTGATCGACACGGCCAAAGTTGGCCTCGGGAGCGGCCACAGCGACACGCTCTACCTCAGGATTGCAGGCCTTGATACGGGTAAAAAATGACACACACTGTTTGCTCCTCATGTTTTTTAACGAATCATATGCTGCTGATTTTGATTTTTACACATGGCGTTGGGTAAATTTTCAATTTTTTTTAGAAAAATCTAGTGTAAATATTAAAAAATAATAAGTCATCATTGAAATATAGTTGATGATAAACAAGTCACAACAAAATAAATGATCATTCCTCCATTAAAAAAATATAGATGTTTTTTTTGGCTATGTAGCTAGTGTATAGACATAAATGCTTATATTTAAGCGACGGATGAAGTGTATATTTTTTCTTAAAAAAAAGCAATGTTCAAAAATTATATAAAAAGTCAACAGCATTATCAATTTAAAAACAAATATAGCATATTTTATATTTCTATGCATCACTATTTCTATGTCCGTCTTTTTTACTTGACGTTCTAACATAGTTTTCAATAAAAAAGTTGTTATTTTTTAATTACATGTTTATAAAAATATTAAAAATGAAAATATATAAAGTTTTTTAACATAACAATTATATTAACATCATTTCCACATTTCAAATGCTAATAATTTTAAATTTATTAACAATTTAGGATTTCAATGTGTGGCTCTGTATATTTGACAATGGAGGTAGTAGTATTTACAATTTGTTATTTGGATCATAAAACTTTGCACCATACTGGCACTGTTGCACAGGTGGAACGGCGAAGAGCGACGCAGTCAAGATTGTGCTGCCAGTTTTAGCTTGTATTTTGACTGTTCTATGCATTTCCTTTGCATGGTTAAAAATCAAAGGTATAATCAACGTATTTTTGTTTCTTAGAAGCCAATGTGGTACTCATAAAATGATTGATATCTATATTCATTTGTGAGCAGGCAAGAGAAGAAATAGGCAGAAGCACAGAGAGCTAATTTTGGATGTCATGAGTACATCCGATGATGTTGGGAAAAGAAACCTTGTCCAGGATTTTGAATTCCTATTTGTAAAATTTGAGGACATTGCTCTAGCAACTCACAACTTTTCAGAAGCATATAAGATTGGGGAGGGAGGTTTTGGCAAAGTTTACAAGGTACTCTTATTTATTTATCTTGTTTGTTTAGTAATTCATTTTGTATGTATTTATTTAAATCTTAATTTCTTCTCGAAAAGGCAATGATAGGTGGTAAAGAAGTTGCTGTTAAAAGATTAAGTAAAGATTCTCAGCAAGGAACCGAGGAATTCAGGAATGAAGTTATTCTTATCGCAAAATTGCAGCATAGAAATTTGGTTCGCCTTCTTGGTTGTTGTGTTGAGAGAGATGAAAAACTGCTAATTTATGAGTATTTGCCTAACAAAGGCTTAGATGCTACCCTTTTTGGTATGTTCTCTAGACAAGTCATACATCAAAAGCTCTTAAAGGAACTCGATGGTAGATTGCTTATATTTGCTTGTCTTGTTTGTAGATGGCTCGAGAAAACCAAAACTAGATTGGACAATGCGGTTTAATATAATCAAAGGAGTAGCTAGGGGACTTCTTTATCTGCACCAAGATTCAAGATTAACCATAATTCATAGAGATCTCAAAGCCAGCAACGTTTTAATGGATGCAGAGATGAGACCCAAGATAGCAGATTTTGGTATGGCAAGGATCTTTTGTGATAATCAACAAAATGCAAATACCCGGCGTGTTGTTGGAACATAGTGAGTAGTCATTTGAATTATTTGATGAAATTAAATTTGATTGAGTTAAAAATCCTCTTTAGTAACTCCTTCAAATATAATGGTCAAACAGTGGTTACATGGCTCCTGAATATGCAATGGAAGGTATCTTCTCTACTAAATCCGACGTCTACAGCTTTGGCGTGTTACTATTGGAAGTTATAACCGGTATTAGGAGAAGTTCCACAAGTAACATCATGGACTTTCCAAACCTCATAATCTATGTGAGTATATGTCTATTATGAAGTTCCAATTTAGATTAAACCTAAATAACATTGACATTTTTATTCTATAATATAAACGATAATTTCGATTGTTTCAGGCGTGGAACATGTGGAAGGAAGAGAAAACCAAGGATTTGGCGGACTCATCAATTATTGGTAGTTGCTTACTTGATGAGGTTTTGCTTTGCATCCATGTAGCACTATTGTGTGTTCAAGACAACCCAAATGACAGGCCACTTATGTCATCTACTGTGTTCATTCTGGAGAATGGGAGTAGTTCTGCACTTCCAGCCCCAAGTCGCCCCGCCTACTTTGCATACAGAAGTGATGAATCGGAGCAATCAAGAGAAAATATTCAGAACTCAATGAATACTTTTACCCTAACAAATATAGAGGGGCGGTAACTTGAGATGTAATTACCATTGTCCAAAGAAAAATATCTACGGACTACTTTTGCATGATGGAAGTCAATTTGTTGCTCATCTCTCCTACGTTGCTTTTTTTTTGTTGTCTTCCTAGTTAATTGGTAATATCGCAAAATCTAATAACAAATAAGAAGTACAAAATGTATTGTCAAAACTCAAAAGATCTGGAGTAGCAGATGAATCTTGAATTATTATGGAAACGTTTTAGTGGCACATAGGCAAGTCAAAGTACACACTAGCGCAGTTGGACAAGCTTAGTATGTTGGTTACTTCAATGACAGGCACTTTGACGTATGCGAAGGGCGCGTGTTCATGTAATCATGTCATTCGCCTTGTTCTCAGCAGAGAGAGAGAGAGAGAGAGGGTCACATGATACTTGATGGGTGGACACTCCATTGTGGCTGAAATTCCCAAGTATCTGTCATAAAGCAGCCAATTTTTGTAGTCTATACAAACTAGTCTGATGAAGTAGGGTGGTGTGTAAAATTCAAGACGAGGTAGAATATGTAGTGGCAGCGATTGAGAGGAGTATTACATTGAATATGTCAGTGATTATTTATTTATTGTTTATTATATTGAAATGATTCTATTAACTTTTGACTCTTTGGATACACGCTTGACCATTCATGTTTAAAGTATTTTTCATGATAAACCAAATCACATTAAAAGAAATGATAATTATATAATTATTTTTAATAAGACGAATGGTTAAACATATGTCTAAAAATCAACAACGTCATCTATTAAAAGTATTTGTTAGGAGGAAATGATTTGGCAGCAACAAGCCATCTCCGCACCAGCGTCAAGTCTAAGGTTGTATTTTCTTGGTATAGTTAAAACCTCAAAGGTTTATTTTAAAAATAAGTTTTGATGACTTTTATCTTTTAAAGTGCTGCTTAGAAATAGTTTTGGGCATGTGCGTTATGGATGTACTCCTAAATAAGTAATGAATTTAAATTTGTTACTCTTATATTGACTTAGTTGCATATAAACACATCCCCTTTGAATCCATCAATGTGCTTGCCGTTTAAGCAAGTGACATACTAAAAATCGTCCAACTGTGCTAATGTGCCCTTTGATCGATCACCTGTGTTCCACTAAAATGTTTCTATGATTCAAGATATAATCGTTGAGTTATATTTTATCTCTCTTTTGGCAATGCGTTATTATATTACAAACAACCAGCAAGAAGAAATAATGGAGCAGGCCGGAGAAATAAGCAACAAATCGACTCCCAAACCACACATCAACCAGCAAGAAGACATTTTTGTTTGGACGCTAACTGTTACATCTCAAATTCTCAAGTTAAAGAATTATCCTACCGCCCCTCTACATCTGTTAACGTGAGAGTATACATTGAATTTTCAATATTATGTCTCAATTGATCCATTTCCATTTTATCACTCCTCTGCGCAAAGTAGGTAGGGCGACTTGGGGTTGGCAGTGCAGTACTACTTCCATTCTCTAGGATGAACACAACAAATGGCATAAGTGGCCTGTCATCTGGGTTTTCTTGAACACACAATAAAGCTAAATGGATGCAAAGTAAAACTTCATCTTGTAAGCAACTATCCATAATTGATGAGTCTGCCAAATCCTCGGTCTTCCCTTCCTTCCACATATTCCATGCCTGAACAATCAAAAGTATCATTTGGATTGTAGAACTCGAAATTTTTCAAAATCCCAGACCATTTTAGTCCCGCTGAACCTTTAATAAAATTCAAAGTTCACTAGTTTTAATTTAAAAGTTACTTTATGGTTTTTAATAAGATACTGAAGGTACAATCGAATTCTGTTAATTTTTGTCACCTCCTATTTGCTTACTAAGTAGGTAACAACAAGTACCCAATTCACATTAGAAAATGTTATGTCCATCGATACCTTCCGAAGCAACGTAAATAATAATAATAATAATAATAATAATAATAATAATAATAATAATAATAATAATAATAATAATAATAATAATAATAATATATTAGAACTTCAGAAAAGACGTATACTCACATAGACTATTAGGTTTGGAAAGCCCATGATGTTGCTAACGGAATTTCTCCTCATACCGGTTATAACTTCCAACAATAACACACCAAAGCTGTAGACATCTGATTTAGTAGAAAAGATACCTTCCATTGCATACTCAGGAGCCATATAACCACTGTTACCATTTCACATGTAAGAGTTACTGGAGAAGACTTAACTCAATCAAACTCAATTTAATCAATTAATGCAAATAACTACTTACTATGTTCCAACAACACGTTGGGTATTTGCATTCTGTTGATTATCACCAAAGATCCTTGCCATGCCAAAATCTGCTATCTTAGGTTTCATCTCTGCATCTAGCAAAATATTACCGGCTTTGAGATCTCTGTGAATTATGGTTAATCTTGAGTCTTGATGTAGATAAAGAAGTCCCCTTGCCACTCCTTTGATTATATTAAACCGTGTTGTCCAATCTAGCAACAATTTTCTTGAACCATCTGTATTTGAAAACAAATGTAAGCATTCTATTATTGTTTAGATGCTTTAAAACTTATGCAAGATGCGTCACCATAACTTACTGAAAAGTGTTGCATCTAAGCTTTTGTTAGGCAAATACTCATAAATTAGTAGCTTTTCATCTCCCTCAACACAAAAACCAAGTATGCGAACCAAATTTCTATGTTGTAATTTCGCAATAAGAATAACTTCGTTCCTGAATTCCTTCGTTCCTTGTTGAGAATTCCTGCTTAACCTTTTAATAGCGACTTCCTGACCCCCTAGCATTCCCTTTAAATTGTGAGAAAAGAAATTAGATTTGAGCATATGACATACAAAATAAATTATTGAATAACCTAGAACATATAAAAGGAAGCTACTACCGAATGATTTACCTTGTAGACTTTTCCAAAACCTCCCTGACCAATTTTGTATGCTTCCGAAAAGTTGTTAGTTGCTAGAGCAATATCCTCAAATGTTACAAATGGGAATTCAAGATCTTGGACAGGATTTCCTTCCCCAACCTCTTCAGCTGCACTCATGCCAAACAAAATTTGCTTTCTGTGCTTTTCTCGATTTCTTTTCTTGCATGCTGAACAAGATCAATCTTAATTATAGTCATCAGCTTTTAAGAATAACATATGTTTACAAGAGAAAAAAACACTAAATATACCTTTCATTTTTAACCATGCAAAAGAAATGCATAGAATTACCAGAATACTACTTGCTAACACTGGAAGCACAATCTTGACTGCATTGCTCTTCGTCCTTCCACCTGTGCAAAGTTTTAGTGTTTAAGTAGTTTTTTCAAAAAAAAAATAAATATTATTGGAGGTGGAATAGAAATATAATATTTTTCTGTTGATTTGTATAGGACTTTCAAAAAGTACTTAAGACTAAACTTTAACCATTCATTTATTATCGTATAATAATATATTTTAGATAGCTATAAGACCTACTCCATCCGTCCCCAAAAAAACTCAACTTATGGAGATTGAATTTTGTCAAAAAAAAAAACCAACTTCTGCCATTCTACCTACTCTCAGCACGTAAAACGAGAAAGTTTTATCTCTTAAATACCCTTTACCTACCTATCAATATTACTACTTTTTTCAATAACGAGGGGCATTTTGGTCATCTTTACTCTTCACTAAATTTGCATTGGGATTCTAGGATTGCTCTTTCTGTGAGACGGAGGGATTACCTTGTTAGTCTAAAACATGAATGGATTACCTTGTTAGTCTAAAACATGAATTTCTTGGTAGACTCATCATAGAGGAATTTTTATACCAACTGATCAAAATCTATAGAGAATTTGACTTTTAGACATCAAAGTACTCCTACGTCCTATGAACAACAACGGATGTAGTAATTGATTTTAGAAAAAATGTACTAAAAATTAACGGTGTGTTTACCCGCATGAAGCTGAAGGCCTGCAAGCCTGAGGTAGAGCGTATCGCTGCCCAGCCCTTGTGCACCAACTTTTGCCATGTCAATCAGCTCCCCTGACCACACCAAGCACCTCGTCGTGTCGCCCCTGGACCTGCTGTTGCTCAGGTTGGCGTACGCGTACGCCACGCACGAGCAGTTGCTGCTGCACTCCGCGGCGCACGCCTCCAGCGTCCTGTTCGGGACGTGCACGAACTTGTCGGGGCACTGCATCCCCTGCACGGCCAAGAAGCCGTCGCCGCACCGCACCGCCTCCTTCCGCCGGCAACCCCGCGAGAACCGGCCGCTGCTCCACTCCGCCGCGCTCGCCGGCTCGAAGCCGTCGAGGCACCTGCACGCCGGGAGAGGCGCCTCCGCCGCCGTGCTGTCGCAGTACCCGTTCGGGCCGCAGAAGTCGTAGGGGTCGCACCCGGCCGGCCACTCCTGGAGCACCACCCACGCCGACGATCCGCTGCTCCACCTCTGAAGCTGGTACTTGCCGGCGTAGGTCAGCACGAACCTGGTGTGCGGGGCGTCGTCAGCGACGCTGAACGTGATGTATATCTCCTCGTCGGTGTCGATGATCGCGACGTAGACAATGGCGCTGGTGTTCGTCTGGTACTGGCTATCCACCATGTAGCCTGTCCACGGCCCGTCCCGCATCAACGGCCGCGTCCCGTTCCACATGATCACCTGGAGGAACGTGTCCGTGTCGCCGCCGTACGAGAAGCTCCCCGGCGACGGGTCGCCGGGGCCCCTCCACGACACCAGCCGGTCGGAGGCGCGCGTCCTGTACATCATCCGCAGCTTCATCCCGGGCAGGAACGAGTCGGTCGGCTGCTCGAAGCTCTGCCAAAAGATGGTGCCGTTCGGTGACCGGACGACGAGGTTGCCGGTGTTCATCAGCACCGCGGTCGTGTTGCCGTTGCCGGCGGCGCCACCGGTGATGTTGGTCGTCCAGCGGACGCGGCCGTCAGCGTCGGACACGACGAGGTTGGAGGATTCGGTCAGGGACAGCGTTGTGCCATTTGTGACCGGAGTTTCTCGGTCGGCGACCCACACCACCGTGCGCCGGGGGATGTCGTTGTACCATATACCGAGGTAGAGCTTGGCCGGGGTGGAGTTGGAGGGGGAGAAGAAGCCCATGGCGAAGGCGCCGCCGTCGGAGACGACGGTGGCATCAGAGGTTAGCGGCTTACCGGGGACAAGCCGGTCGTCGGCTGAACACGGCGGCGGCAGGAGGACGACGACGACGCTCATGATGATGACGTAGATGAAAGCATCTGATCGATCCATGGAAACCAAGCCCTTTCTTCCTTTTCGTGAGCCAATGTGCTAGCTCGTAATCGCGTAGTTGTTGTTGAGCATGTGTTTGACTATAAATATGTGGAAATTCAAATGTACTAGTCTGTGCGTAGCTAACCGGCGTATAGTTTTCGTATCACGGGTAGATTTTCTCGTGCAATTTCAGCGGACCAGCTAGAAATGTCGAGATGTATTTTTTTTTAAACCCCGCGGGGTGTATTTGTATTAAGTAGGGAGAAAAACTGTAAAATAGCTCGAGGCTAGGAGATTACGAAAGGAAAATAAATAGAAAAGCGAGAGGGGGAGGGGTGGGCTGCTAGGGGAAAGGGGTTGGGGGTATATGTCACGACTTACATATTGTTGATTGTACTTCCACGGGTGTCCGGGAGCAGGGATTGAATGTTCCTTGCTCCACTTGTGCGCCATAGCCAAACTTCATCAATCGACCGGTTAATGATTACTACTTGTGACGGTGCTGTCGAGATGTATTTTGATGTGCAACTCTTGCTTATGTTTTCATAAATACAAACTGTATTTTGTAAATTATATTGATTCTATCTCCATAAATACGATTTTTACGACAAAGATTGGAAATGATGATACTCCTTCATTGTAAAGTCGGAGCTGCTGCGTCACTATTGCGGGCTTGACAACGACGATGATCGTTTGCATGAAGTCGAAGCTGCTATGCCATTGTCAGCTCTCAATGTCCTATCATTTTCTTACTTTTCTACTTCATCCGTTCCTAAATATTTGATGTCGTTGACTTTTTTAAACATATTTGACCATTCGTCTTATTCAAAATTTTTTTTTGTACATATTATTCAAAAACTTGAGTAGTAGTAATATATTTAACAATGAATCAAATGATAGGAAAATAATTAATAAATACTTAAATTTTTTAAATAAGACGAACGGTCAAACATGTTTAAACAAGTTAAAAATATCAAATATTTAGGGATGGAGGGAGTATCATGTTAAGTGGTGTCATTCTCTCGAAATGACCGTTGGTCCAAAATGTGGACTATTCTGCACGCAGGCGTGGACAATTTCAAACCAACTTGCGTTCTTATCATGCTTCAACCAACGGTACAGCAAAAAATATATTTCTAAAAGACCAAAAAAGTAGTTTGAATTTCACTTTGCTGCAGGAGGGGCGCAGTATTAGCGTGTGCTTTGGCATAGTTTGGCTTAGAAGCTAGCCGAAGCTAATTTTAGAAATTAGACCTTAATAAACTGAGCCCTCCTTTGGAACACAATAATTTTGCAGGGGTCTTATTGGAGTTAGTTTTAATTAGCTTCCAGAAAATTTATCCAATTACCTGTATTTCAAACGACGCATAAGAGTCTTGCTGTTGTCTGAGACCGAAGATTGCGGTTGTTAAATGGCACTATCATTCCTAGTGGCAGAAAAAAACCCGAGCAGTCCATGCACTGCAACTCTGCAAGTTTATTTTCCACAGACAGACCGAATTCGGCTCTTCTTTTCTCTGAAGGGGATTTGCCTAAAATCTGAAGCTGCGGACGTTGTAACTTTCGCCCGCGATCTCTATCCTCCATGTGTAGCAAGTTTTCAAGATGTTTCTTCGAGAGTCACGTCGGAAGAAACAATACAGGCATGCAGAAGAAGTCTTGGATCCTAGCCATACGTTTTAGGGCCCCTTTGAATCAAAGAATTTATGTAGGAATTTTATAGGATTCAAAACCTATAGGAAATTTTCTTATTTGGCCCTTTAATTCAAAGGATTAAAGTTTTCCAAATCCTATGAAATTCCTATGAAATGGCACATTGCATGTGGATTTTGGAGAAAATTTAGCAAGAGCTCCAACCTCTTGGAAAATTTCCTTTGAGTCTATCTCTCTCATCCGATTCCTGCGTTTTTCCTGCGCTCCAATCAAACGACCATTCATGTGTTTTTCCTGTATTTTGCAATCCTCTGTTTTACACTTCAATTCCTGTCAGAATCCTGTGTTTTTCCTATTCCTCCGTTTTTTCTACCCTACGATTCAAAGGGGCCTTTAATCTGAGGGTTCGTGATGGCCTGGGGGCCAGGGTTCGGAGATTAAAACTCCGACCCCAGTAAGGTTGTATTTTGTTCACACTGAAGTTTGGAAGTTTGGTTGAAATTGGAACGATCTGACTGAAAAGTTGTATGTGTATGAAAGGTTTGATGTGATGGAAAGTTAGAAGTTTAGAAAAAAACTTTGGAACTAAACAGGGCCTAACTTCTAAAACAGCCATCTCAAATCGCATCCAAGAAGAAGGCACATCATGCGAAGAACCAGGATAATCCAACAAAAAAGAGATATGCATCAGTCATCACATTAGAACTGCGAACTATGGTAGATTTCAGTTGCTAGGTGTTGACAGAAAACACGAGGCTTGGGAGATCTGCTTAACTCTAGTGCAGGTCCAAAGCTCGCCTTCGAATGTATGAGCGTGCCAGTTGATTTGATCCTGCAATCAACAAGAAACAAAGACAAAGAATCTGTAGTTAAATCCATAAATGATAGCCGATCGGCTAGATGCCGATGACATATCATTTATCTTTGAGACGATGTCATATGTGAATCGATCGGCAATCGTTAATAAGAAAGAAAGACCTAGATCTGCTCAATCGGCTGTAGGTATCAACGATATATAATCTTCATGCTAGTATATACTTAAATCGAGTGATTGGGATAGATCGGTCGTAATGCCGAGACAGTATAAATCACTACGATCGAAATATATACTAATAAGAGGATTATATATGTTTATAGCATAGCCGATCATGTAGACCTGGCACGTATCGGCTAATACTCCGATACTACTCTGTATTAAGATACTAAAGCAAATCAAATATACCAAACAGTAGCCTAATATACTTTAGATGCGACAAGATCTTAATGCAAATGGCAGATTTAACGTATCAAATAAGCGTATAGGATAGAAGTAGTTAAATCAGATAAGATCGGCTGAAACTCCGACACTACTCTACTCGGCAACTAGAAAGCAGGCTAGAGATTACAATTCTAAGCACGACTTAATAGATCAAACTCAACTGATGCAGCATTAAGTATGAAAAGAAGGACAATATCTAGACAATCAAGCCGCTAGATGTTTCATAGAGTGGTAGATATCTTGTATAATCTAAGCCAACGTCGCTATTTAACCTAATCGGCTGCCTTCTACTAACAGATATTGGCCGATTATAGATTAGATAATGATATTGTCGAAGATTATACAAGATATATGATAGCTCGACGAATTACATAAACAAGATTAGAGTGTCATAAAGATGGAAGCACTAATCCCGAAAACACAAGTCGCCATGACAAGTTTTACCTCTTGTTGAAGATCGAAACCGATGCAGCTCAACCCGAAAGCGAGAACTCGTCGAAATAAAACTAAAGCAAAAGGATGGCGATGCGCCGAAATTGTATTGAACGTCTGTTGTTTTTTACATAGGACTCGGAGTCTATTTATACCCAAGAATTACAAGATATGCCCATACCGGACACGGCTATTATCTCTAACAAACTCTAAGATACATAAGCCTTTACGACAGACTCTTGCCCACATTTATCTCTAAAGAATTTACTTAAGATACCCTAATTAATAGATACAATCGTCTTCCCAGGACTCTATCCATGCGTGGCGATCATCTCGAAGCACTTCAACTTGAACCCGGTATCATACATCGGGTTGTATTGTCGGAATCGGCTACATCGGCTAACCCGGTACAACTCAGACCCAGCCGATCTAATCGTAGCCGATCTGGACTCCGGCCGATTCTTGCTCTGTTTTTGAACTTGATCTCCGCCTCTGTCCTTACTTCAATCTAATCCCCTTTCCGATGCCGATATTACCAAATTTGGTTGTTAACACTAGGCCGCCAACGTTGTAGGTGTTCGCGTAGCGGATGGAAGCTTTTTTGGGGTTTCGGTGTTTTCTCGGAAATGCTTAGTATCGAACGTCTGACGTATCATGAAAAATCGGATGGGCAAACTACTATCTCCCTATCCACTTCATACATCTATTACATGATATAATGATCTTTAAAATATTTTTTCTCCTAAACTACTTATCCAATCGATGATATGATCACACTATTATATTTGTTATAATTAAATCTTTACAACAAGATATCACATCATTACATTCTGATGAAAGAAAAACATATGTTTCAATCAGTTAAAATTTAATGTTTCAGACACGGTAGCAATATGTTTCAACACATATTTTCATTATATTTCATAAAAAAATTAAATGTTTCAATAACTGAATTTTTTGTTTCAACATATATAACCTAAAGTTTTATAAATGACCAAGAAAAAGTATGGGATGTTTATGTCACTACTCTCTCCTGCCATTCGATTGGCTTTCTCCCCACACCATACATGTATGCATGTATTTAGTGATCTTAAAAATATTTTTTCTTCTAAACTATTTATCCGATGAGCGACTTGATCATACCGTTGAATTTTTTATAATTAAATTTTTACAACAAGATATCACATGACTATATTCTGATGAAAGAAAAACATATGTTTCAAACAATAAAAACTTAGTGTTTCATACATGATAGCAATATGTTTCACCATGTGTTCTAATTGTGTTTCACAAAATTTATGTATGATTCAGAGGCTGATTTTTTTTGTTTCACCATGTATAGCATAATGTTGCACCAACGGTTAACTGAAACATTTGACCGTCCGATTTTTTTTATACCATCGGACGTCCGATTTGTAGCTCTCTCCGTGTTTTCTACTTCGACCTAACAAATCGTGGATTAACACGTGATTCAATTCCTGTAGAGACTATGACTATTATTTTGCAGCATTAATTTTGATAATTTGACCCTTTGAAAAAACTAATTTTACAAATGAACCGTTGCCAAAACTTATTTTAAAAGTGACCCTTTTGTTCAGCGCCAAATCGTGTGGCGCTGAACTTAGACACTTCTTATATATATATATATATTCATTAACATATATATGAATGTGGGTAATGCTAGAAAGTCTTATAATATGAAACGGAAGAAGTACCAAGTTTGCAAGATGGCATTATGTTTCTTTGAGAGTTACGTCGGAAGAAACAATACAGGCATGCAGAAGAAGTCTCGGATCCTAGCCGTACGTTTTAATCCGAGGGTTCGTGATGGCCTGGGGGGTTCAGAGATTAAAACTCCGACCCCATCCAAGAAGAAGGCGCATCATGCGAAGAACCAGGATAATCCAACCCAAAAAGAGATACGCATCAGTCATCACATTAGAACTACGAACTATGGTAGTTTTCAGTTGCTAGGTCGCCAACATTGCAGGTGTTCACGTAGCGGATGGAAGCTTTTTTGGGGTTTCGGTGTTTTCTACTCCGACCCCTAACAAATCGTGGATTAAAACGTGATTCCTGTAGAGACTAGGACTACTATTTTGTAGCCCATAAAGCGGCCCAACTATATGAGCCCGTTACTCCAAGGGGCCAGGGAATCGGCCTCATCAGGTGATCCATCATCTCAGTCGCCGGAGGCCTTTTCGACCACGCCTGCGACACGGCCATCAGATCTTCAAATATTTTTTGTGCGTTGGCTGAACAACTGTAGACTGTACTGGTAGCCTTGCTTCTTAGCACAGAATAACGGGGGTGGATTCTAAACTCTCGAGGGGACACCGTCTCGTTATTTGTATGTCATCGAAATGGTTATGTACAAATTTGCTATCTAACAATCGGTACCATAGAGATGGAACTAAGTGTTTCAGTTAGATAGCACTAGTAAGCAGTTGGAGCAGAATTTTCAATATCAGGCGTTTCGATTGGGGAGGTAGCCAGAAGCGATTTCTCCGAGCTTCCATGGTTGCACTTGCAGCTGAGCATGCCCGCAAAGAAGATGATGACCGAAGTCGCCCAACACACCATCTTCAACAATTTGGACATCCCATCCATAGTCATAGGAAACGGAGTACTCCCTTCGCCCCAAAAAAGACTTAACCTAGTATTGGATGGGACATTTTTCTAGATTCATTGTACTAGAAAACATCAAATCCAATACTAGGTTGATTTTTTGTGGGACGGAGGGAGTAGGTGGCAGCGTTCCTCCGCGCGGTCATTTTCGTTCCCACCTTGTAAAAGCCTCTCACGAGTCGCGTACCACGTTCCTCGACCCTGTTCCTTGCTTCCATCGACCCGGGAACTTTGCAACTTTGTGACTTTATTATTCCCAGGGACAAAGAAGCTGGAGAGCATGACACCTACAGTGACGAGGGACCTTTTTATCAGAGGCATTTTGGACCTCTCGTAACCCTCCCAAATGCGAGCCTTGATCACCTCTTGGTAATCGACCTTCCGGAATCTCCTCTCGATATCATCTATGAACCTAAGCTGCATATCAGCGGGTACGCTGTATTCCGTGTGTTCCCGGATGAGGTGCTGCTTGACGTACTTGGGTGAGCCCCGTAAGAAGCGATCCAATCTATCCAGGATGAATCCCTTCTTCATATCCTGCAGAGGCTGCAGCTTCTTGGCAGCACGCTTATCGGCCGCAGCATCGATCCGGAACCTCTGCGATTCCTCCCAAGCCCGGATCTTGAGCCGCTTCTCGTGATCGCCTACCCCGAAATTCTGTTCCACACGTTCGTTAAGAATCTCCTGGACTTCGTCAACGATCTCGTATCTAACTCTAAAGAAGTCCTCCCTGATGTTCTCAGGTAGGGATTCTACTAGTTCTAATAGTATCTTGTCAAGACCAGGCTTGATGAATTCTTGCCTGAATCGCTCCTCCATCTCTTTCAGGGCTTGCGCCTTCTTCGCTGCTCCCGCAGCCTCGATCCAAAACTTGTCTGCTTCCTTCCGTGCATGGACCTCGAGTTGTTGCTCCCCCCCTTCGCGATCCAGCGTCTCGGGATTCCCATCGAAAGCGGCGTTGATGAACTCGAGCCAGAGATCGTCGGGAACCTTGTGGTCGTTGCAGTGTTGCTCCTGGAGATCAAGCCTGATGTGCTCGGGTAGGAGGTGGTCGTAGCAGCCGAGGATCGTTGCCGTCTGCTGGATGAATCGCGTTTCCAGGTCTTGTAGCGCCTGCGCCTTCGCTGCCGCCCACTTCTGAGACATCATCCTCGATGAAAAGACCCCTTCGATCGAGCGCTCAGTTGATCAGACGCGATCAAAACCGGGGTTCTTAAATCTGGGAGAAAAAAGAAGTCAAGAACTATTCCGAATCGGATAAGAGTGCCAAACTCAAAGGTAAACGGAGACGGAAACGAATTAAACCTGATGGGCGTAGTGGCGAAAATGTTGATCCTCGCGATCAATGGATTCTGCGTTTCCATTTTCGGCCGGCCCAGAACTCGCGCGGTCAATTTTTTGTTGTGATTTTCAGTTTCAGACATGGTCATCAGATCCTGAAATACTTGTACTTCAGTTGAACAACTGTAGACTGTATGTACTGGTAGCCTTTGCTTCTCAGCACAAAATCACGCATCGAAAGTTTCGATCCTTTAATTTTGCAGGCGATTGCGCATGCGCAGCGAGGAGGGAGAAGAACCCTGGGCCGTATCCGTGCAACTACATTTCTTATCCTGAATTTCTTCTCTCCATGTGTATCCGTGCATCCACATTTCTATTCCTGAATTTATGATTGTTATCTGCTGCCGTCGGTTACTTGAAGTGAATACTGATGAGATCCTATGCGAATGGCATATGTTTGGCTGACGAGCGATGAACAGTTGAACACCTGGTGACTTGAAGTTGAATCTACAATGTGCAGCACACTGCAAACCCGCCCCAAGGGCACAGCACAACGTTGAAGCAGCGCAACCAGGGGGGCCCGAGCAAAGCCACGAAAGCACAATATACCACCATTACACCATACTGTTCAATCAGCACGCGAAGGCAACATGATCGATGAAGTAAATCACATCTCTCTCTCCCCTCGTATGTTCATAACACTCATCTCTGAGAGTTTGCGTTAGTGTCATGACAAAATAAGTTATTGATACATTAAACCAAGACGGAAAAGGGGTAAAATTACACACGATCACTTCTAGTACAACAAATTTTTTTCCTTCACCACGAACATAACCAACGGCAAAACTGTGTTTTGTCTCTTCTTGAACATCTTCCCCGCATGTAGGTTATCAAATTTCACTGCAGTTTGTCTACGGCTAGAGTTTTGTTACTCCTTTTAAACATCTTCCCTCATGGGGTTATCAAATTTCACTGCAATAATTTGTCTACAGCTAGAGTTCCTTCACCCGTGCTTTTCATACCTTTTTACTCCTCGACTTCTTATAAGCTTCCCTGTTGTAAGATAATTACACCATATTAGGATAAAGCAAAGAAAACAATCAAATACAGGCATAAAAGAAAAAAGAGCATTGTACTCTCACCATTCTCGCCTAACCATCCAGTTCCTTTTCCTCTTCCCTCCTTGGTCAGTATCTGGCTTCTTTTCTTTGGTTCCTGATGTTCTCTTGGGAACAGTTTTTTTAATTTTAGCAGACACAGGCTGCTTTTTTTCACTTGTAGGCTCTTCTTTTTCGTTGTGTGTTTCTTTTTTACCACTGCCAGGGCCATTCCGTTTCTTCTCACCCTTCTTATGGTTTTTGAGCGTCTTTTCAGGCCTATCATGTGTCTGTTGTTTGTCCTCAGTCACCCCATCAAGGATGGTTGTCTCTTCATTCATCTTCTTCACATCTTTGTGTATTTTTGACTGAATGGGCTGTTCTTGAAGATCGTCGCTGCTAGGATCAGTCTTCTCAATTGCTTCTTCAGGCACTTTAGATGACTCGGATGTCACTGGGATTGTATTGCTCAACTTTTTCAGCTGTGTGAAAGCAAGTGCCATAATCAGATGTTATGTCTATATCAAGCAAAGAAAATTAAACTGTTCATCATAGAGTACACTCAACACATCCTAATAAATGGAATAAGCACAGGATCAAACTATTTGCAAATAATATATTTATATTTCACCCTGAAGGATAGCATTGGTGTTACCTTTGCAACAAAAAATCCATCCATGTTGTTCACATGAGGATAAAACCTCCTTGTTTTATCTAAAGAAGTATGGAATCGATGCTCTCGGAACCGGATGAATCTGTAGGATAAACATAAAACAATATAAGACAAAATGCAACACATTCTTCATGAGGGGAGACACAAAATGCAACACATTCTTCATGAGGGGAGACAGATTTACAATACCCTGGACGTCCAAAATCTAATCCACAAGGCACAAGCTTTACGTTTCGCTTTTTAAGGGCATAGTCAATAACTGCCTCATTCTGCAAGATGAAGAGAGGTTCAAGGAACTAAGTTGAGTATCATTGAGCTATGGCAACTCACAAGGCCAATGAACTTACCTCCGGAATCATCAACGAACAGGTTGAGTAAACAATGTAACCGCCAGTTTTGGAGTTGGCATCAACCAAATCAATAGCTGCTAACAGGAGTTGCTGTAGAACAATTCATCAGTTAGATTGTTAAATAGTGGTATATGATATGCATACAAACAAATATAGAGCATAAAGGTTAGGCAGACAACCCAGAAAGATTGAGCAGAATGCACTAAATTATTACATAGCCTAACAAACAAAAAATATGGCACCAAATAATAATTGAACACAATCACATAGCCTAACAAATAAAGGATAAGCAAACAAAACCCATAAATATTGAGCAAATAGAACATAGCAGCTCTGGGGTTCATATGTTATTTCCATGTAAGAGCACAACTGAACCGCACAATATAAATTGCTTTGAAATGACTCTTGAAACCAACTCAAGAACATGAGGGTGGACGGGTAATGTTTTGAGCAAGTTACTTGGTTAAGAATCAAATTGAAATAACGCACGTGGAATGCAGTTCTTTTCCTTATGAACAGAAGGGTTGCATTAAGAATTGTGTAAAACTGCAGGCAGGTTCGATTTAAAGAAGCCCTATACAAGAATGCACCTTTTGTACAAAAGCGCAGTCTCTGATGTCCTCAATGCCCTTCGATGTTTTAATTTGTGGGTCCTTCCAAATGGTCTATATAGAAAAAGTAAACATCTGTTAAATAAAAGAGAATATATTGGGACCAGGAGCTTAAATGAAGTAGATGATGCTTACCCCTGTGCCTGTGCAGGGCGCATCCAAAAGAACTCTGTCAACCGAATTCATCCCAAGAACTTTGGGTAGCTGAAATGAAAAGTATGTTATCACAATATAGATTTCCAATGAGAATATTCTACACCCAATTCAAGCAAAAAAAAATCAGGACTTGACATTTATTTTCTGCAAGATTAAAATGGACCAAAAGTTAGCAAAAGATTATAGAAACGGTACTTATGAACATATATTCATTTCTGTCATCATATTGTACAAATTGTTAGATTATACTTGAAAAACACCACAAATCAATATTCTTTCTTAATGCATGTAGTTAGTTGATTATGTTTTTGCCATTAGATAGTCCATGAAACACAACTATTAGCACCATGTTAACAATATTTATACGGTTTACTCACCTCTTTACCATCATAATTACAAACTATGGTATTGGTAACACCCATGCGATGTATGTTGCCCAAAAGTCCATGCAACCTTTTCTCATTGAACTCATTTGCATAAATTATTCCTGTGCATGACAGATGAAGAAAACAGTATGTTTGCAATTCAATTGCCAGGAGAGTGCACAAAACAAACTTACTCCTATAGGAGCAAAATGTACTAAAAACAGGCAAAGCACACTGACCAGTATTCTTCATAAGAGCTCCAATATATGTAGTCTTGCCACCTGGGGCAGCCCTGGAACCAAGATAAACACTCAGTTTCTGATGAGAGATGAGGACATGAATTTCACAAGTTCAAAATAAATAATTCAATCAAATATTAACATCAAATTTCGAAGCAGAGAAGTGTTATGTCAGGGTAGCATGACGAGGTTACATGCATGGGATATTCGAATCACGTGTACATCACAAAAAAAGGTTCACATGTTAACTTTGAAGTCATGAAATAAATGAACAATTGCCATAAGTATATGAGAGAAAGGAAAACATCTTACGCCATATCAACAATTCGCTCCTTCTCCTGAGGAGCAAGAGCCATCACAGGCAAGAAAGAACTTGCACCTTGTTTCTGTAGTCACATTTTAAATGCCAATGTTAATGGAAGGAGAAAAAAAAATGAAATAATCTGCATACCAAGATAGGAAAGATAGGGGATAAGAAGGTACCATATAATGCCCAGCCATATATTCAACAGTGGCACCAGCTGAAATGGTGGAGTCATATACAACCAGACCAACCTGCCATTTTCAATACAAGGAGAGTTGCTTTGAGATTCTGGACTTTGCTTGAGTAAAGGAGAAAGATTGAAACAAAGCATACCTTTGACCACTTCCCTATCGGATCCAGATTAAATCCTCTTGGTATAAGAGCAGCAGCAAGATCCCTTCTCCGGGTCTGCCAACATCACAAACAAAACAGGTAAGAAAGATAATCTTAAGCAAGCAAAGAAAAGAATGAAGCGAGATGCAAACCATGCATTCCATGTCACCACATACATACATATCAGGAGATTGATCTGAAATATAGTTAGTTACCTTCAATGTATTCGTCCGCAAGCACTCAGGTGGTCTTTTCTCAAAAGATTCCAGTAGCTCAACAAGCTCAACAGCTGGGAACATCTGCACAGTAAAAACATTTATAATGTTAATTAGGATGGCAGGTAAACGATGACCACAGTTTCCATAAGCATGTCAGACAACAATTTCTAATTACAATCTGATGATCTCTGATGATACGGTGGAGAAAAACACAGTTTAACAGAAGGAAATAAGCAGATCAAGCTCACCTCAATAAATGCTTCAACAAGAAAATCATTGTATCCATAGTATGACATTACATCAGTCTTGAGTTGATCGACATAATCCTTTCGCGGCACATCTTTTTGCCTTAGCTTACTAAAGTTTGAGAGTACCCGGACAACTAGAGGGTAAGACCAATGGATAGAAGGAAAAGTTAGAAAGTGCAGTGCTTAACAGAAAATCGTTCCTACGGTGTGTATGCACCGCTTCTATCACAATGCAGATGGCCATAATAATAAGTTTGAATTTGCCCTCAGAGTTTACACCAGCAAACAGCTAGATCTCGTTAGCTTGCTAATATTGTGTCAAATCCCAAATGAGGCTCCTCTGTTTTATCTAAAAAAATCATGAACTTAGGTAATAGAAAATATATTGATGAACGCACTTTCTGATATCCTCCTTTTAAGATGTGGCAGGTTTGGTGGTCTAAGTGCCTCTTCCTCCAACTCCTGCAGATTATACTAAAGCTTCAGAGGCGAATAAAACTGAACACGGTAAGGATCAGAACAGAAGGCAGAAGAATCAACCTCCTTTGTAGGCAATCGGAACTCATCAGATTCTGATCTAATATTGAGTTTGAGTTCCTCCTCAGCTTCTTCTTCTGCCTTCCCCTTCGCTTCATCAATTGCTCGTGACTTAGCCTCAAGGTCGTCAGACTCATCTGAATCCACTCCGGAGTCATCTCCTTCGGCTACAAAACCCAATATAGTGGATCAATAGATATTACCGAGATGTACAATCCAGCATCGCTTCCACATTCTCGATTACTATACAATCTCGCGTGAATTCTACAATAAAATTGACTTAATGGGAAAAACACACTACACTATTCATTCAAGCTAAATCAATTCATTAGTAATCCGTGCGTTACCACTTTCGTCGTCACTACTTCCAGCGAGGAAGTCGTCAGCGAGGGGGTCGTCGTCATCTTCCTCCTCCTCCTCGTCATCGTCCTCCTCGTCGCCGCTGTCTCCTCCCTCCAAGGAGGCATCGTCGGAGTCGGAGAGCTCCTCGGCGCCGGAGTCCGAGGGGGCGTCGAGGTCCGACCCTGACTCATCCTCCTCCACCTCCTGGAGCCGCTCCTGCTGCTGCTCCAGCTCGGAGTCGTCGGAGGACGGCTCGAGCAGCTCCTGCTTCTTCTTCGGCGCCCTCTTCGCCGCCTTCGGGGGGGCCTTCCCCTTCTTCGCCACGGCCAGTTGCCGCGCCGCCGGCGCCGGCTGCTGCCTGCGTGGCGCGCCCTTCTTCGCCATGGGAGGAGACCGTCGCCGCGTGGGAGCGGAGGCTTGCCGGCGAATGGGGAGGAGAAGGGAAAAAAAAAACCCTAAAACCCTAGCCGCGAGAAGCGAGGAGAGGAGAGACCCTCCCGTTTTAACGCTGGGCCTCCGCGAGAACGACCTCGCCTTCCATATGGGCCGGGCCGGATCAGCCCATCCCAGCTTCGCGAAGTCTGATTCTCTAACTGGGCCTTGAGCCTTGGGCCGCAGCGGCCCGACGAGCGAAGAAGTGGAAAGTTCACGAGTTCGCATCTGCCCCTTGGCCAGGAATGCTAATTAGCGCATACGCGCTAGATTAGCAAGTAGTGCGCACTCATGCATGCACCTGTCCCACCCCTGCAACATATGTATGCATGCATTGGTCCCACACCTGCACACGCATCACACACGCATGCATGTGTTTAGCCGGCATGTCTTTTTTTTTCGTTCATATATTTTTTTTTTGAGTCAATTGCAGTTTGGGCTATTGTTTGCCAACGTTTCACTTCGGATTACCCCTAACCTAAAGTTTGCACATAAAGTTAGGTATGTTTACCTCTTTTGCACTTTGGACCATCATCTCCATCTCTTTCTTCTCCACCTCCGGCTCCCCCCACCACCACCATTTTTGCCACCACCTGGAGCTTGATTGACAAGGCACCGGCGACTTGGCAAGCTCCTCTTCTCCCACATCAGTGAGCTCCTCCTCAGTCCAGTTTTTATCCGTGCCCCCAGTGCCTCAGGTACAGATGCCATTGGATTAGAATGAAGCAGGGGCAGCAAGAGGCAATGAGCTTCACCGTTGGATCGGAATGAAGCAGGGGCAATCCATCATATTTAGATGACAACCGAAGGTGGAGATGGTGGTGGTGGGAGAGCCGAAGGTGGAGAAGAGAGAGATGAAAAAAGGGTGGTCCATAGTGCAAAAGAGGTAAACATAACTAGCCTTATGTGAAAACTTTGGATTGGGGGTAATCCAAAGTGAAACTTTGGTAAAAAGACCTAGCCCGAATTGCAATTTACTCTATTTTTTTTATATTCATGTTGATTTGGGATATATCGAAAGTCATCAATATTTCTATTAGAAGATATTTTCAATAAAATTTGATTTATTATAATTCAAATTCAAAACGTTCAACTCAATTTTTAAAAACTTTCAAGTCAAATTTTAAACTTTCAAGTCAAACTTTGAAAACTTTCAACTCAAATTTTGAAACTTAAAATTTAAAAACTTTTAACCCAGAATTTGAAACTTTCAACCCAAAATTTGAAAACTTTCAACTCAAATCTACATCTTTCAATTCAAATTTAAAAATATTCAACTCAAAATTTAAAATCTTTCAACTACCAATTTCAAACTTATAACTATTTTTTTAATATAATAAATACTAGTATTAACATTAAGTATGATTGTTAGCACTAATAGCGCGCAGTGCGTGAGAGCCGTGGCCCGTGGGGGCTAGTGCCTAGGCGGGGAGGCGCGCGCGACATAAGCATCCGGCGCGTGCACGCGGAGTAGAGGCCCCCCTACTTGCCTGCAACCCAACGGCGGCGGCGATGTAATCATGTCAGTTTGGTTCCGTATCTTGATCCTAATGGTGATCCTGATGAAAGCAAGAAACTTGAGAGGAGAGACACTTGAGAGGAGAGACAGTGGCAGTAGAACATGCACTTGAAAGGAGAGACACTTGAGAGGAGAGACAGTGGCAGTAGAACATGTCGTCTTTAGATTTTAACTGGTATGTTTTTTTTCCACAGTGCACTGATTTTTATCATATTTGCATTTATGACAATGTCTTCAAAGACTGAATGCAATGAGATTTCATCGTTGAATATATGGTTTGAAGGTTTCTTTAACTGTGTTAGTATACACATATTTCAAGTATATACTAAACATGTGCTACAATTTAAAACATGATGGTAGGTCAGAAGGAGATCATGTTCTCCTTCGTACCTTTTCAAGAGTCATCTTTGTGGGCGTATTGCACACTCCAATGACAAATATCAGAAGACAATGGTTCCTATCTTTGTAGTACATGCAATTGATTTTTTGTGTTTGAGATTCTTGAATCGTTTGTGTTGCTTAGAGTATACACTGGACTGCTTGAAATTGCTTAAGGTAAAAATTCAATGCATTTTACGTGTTTTAAAATGATTATGCCGGGAGATCCCACTGATCTGATTAATACATTATCCTATTTCATTCGATAAAAAATATAAGGGAGGAGCCAAAAGAAACTAGAAATACATTAAACACTTTGGATGACGGAAATTTGAGTGTTTTGTTTTTCTTTTGTCTTCTGTATTCATTTGGAAACAAACTGCGGCGTGTTTGCTCTTGTTGAGTTGTTAAAATGCTATATGCTCTTTCAGGCTTGGAGGTTTTATTTTTATTGGTTTAACCAGTGCCAACTTATGAAAAATTAGATAGAGTGCTAATGTCCAGGAAAGAAACAAAAATTTTCACTGTCATCGATATTTGCTCTTAATATAGACATATGAGATCATGTTCCTTTAGTCTTAAATATAAATTCATCTTCGGTTTGTAATAGTCATCAAAACTTTAAGTTTAAGTTAGATTGGTTATTCATAGATGGTTTGTAGATATGGTTAAGGAAATCTGGTTAAATATTGTTGATGGAAATACTACTTTAGAGCATTGGTAGGCAAAAATTCGTAGATTACGACTGGAAAAATTAGATTTGTTAGATAAAAAAGCTAAATTAACTATGTTGAGTCAGGATGAGATTGATACTAGAATTTTTTTTTTGGAGAAATAGGTTAGCTTGTTTGCTTACCGAAGAGGAAATTAAATGGTATCAACGAGTTAAGACTAAAGATATTTTGAAAGGTGACTCAAATACCAAATATTTTCATTTGGTTGCAAATGGGAAGCATAGGAAAAACAAGAATTTTTCAATTACAGGATGGGGACCGGGTTTTAAGTGGTGATGCGAATTTAAAGACGCATACTAGTACTTATTATAAAGGTTTTTTGGTCCTCCTGAAGCTTCTTCTTTAACTTTGGATGAAAGCCAGATAAGTGATATCCCCAAGTGTCTCAATTAGAAAATAATGCTTTAGTAGATGAATTTACAGAAAAGGAAATTAAAGATGCAATTTTTAAAATGGAACATATTAAATCTCTAGGTCTTTATGGATTTCCTGCTGAGTTTTATCAAGTGTTCTAGAATGTTATCAAATCTGATTTGGTAGATTTATTTAAGGATTTTCATAGTGAAAGTCTAAATCTTTATTCACTCAACTTTGGTACTATTATTTTACTGTCTAAGTGCAAAGAGGCTATTAAGAATCAACAATATAGGCCTATTTGTTTACTCAATGTCAGTTTTAAAATTTTTACTAAAGTTGCTACAAATAGAATTTCTGGAGTAGCTTAGAAAGTTATTAGTCCTACACAAACAACATTTATATATGGGAGAAACATTATGGAAGGGTTGCTATCCTCCATGAAACAATTCATGAATTACATAAAAAAATGAATGGTGTAATTTTTAAGATTGATTTTGAGAAGCCTATGATATGATAGAGTTTAATCTTGTCATTAATTAGAATATATGCATGGTTCTATTTTGTTTACATGTAGTATAGGTCACTGCATATTTAGTTTGGCTCCAGCTCATTGGCGAGATGCCGACGTGCCGTGCGATGCGGTGGTGCGAGAATGGAGCAAACAACGTTCATGAAGACCAAGCTCAACTGCATGTGGAGTGCTGCGAGAAGTAGCCGAATTGCAAGCAAGACAAGGTCAGTATTAGCCGAGTGAATCGGTCCTAGCTGTACATGAGATTTAGTTGTTGCTAGTGATTAGCCGCATATGCTGCGATTAGTGGTAATCATGTATTGGGATTTCTTGGCAAATAAGTAGGATTAGTTAGTTACTTAGTGCATGGGCATCCCACGTCTGTGTGCATGGCGTGAGTTGTGGCTGAGTGGGTTTGGCCATTGTAATCTCTTTGCATGTACTGAGTCTATATAAACAAGGAAACGATGTGAGCTAGGGGACACATCAACCAAAAGCCTGTGTGTTTTGTTCAGTTCTTGTGTGTTTGTGTCCACCGAGTAAATACAAGTGTTTATGTTAGTGCTAGTGATTAGTACTTAAACATTCAGAGAGGAGAGATTCCCAACAATTGGTATCAGAGCCAATTTATGCCCAAGATCCTGCGCTTCAACAAGATGTCCATCGTCGAGCACTCCGCGTCGCGATCGATGAGGGAAGGCGGCGTGTCGCTGCCATACCCGATGCTCACCTCCACCAACTACTCCACCTGGGCGATCAAGATGGAGGCCAACATGGAGGCGCAAGGCATTTGGGATGCCATCGAGTCCGCGGCTGACGATGTCGTGGAGAAGAAGAAGGACAAGATGGCGTTGGCATGTCTTTTTGGGGCCGTCCCCGATGAGGTGCTGCAGCAGATCGCCAACAAGAAAACGGCGAAAGAGGCTTGGGAGAGCCTAAAGACAAGATTTCTTGGTGTTGATCGAGTGAAGAAGGCGCGGGTGCAAACTTTGAAGAGTGAATTCAAGGCACTATGCATGAAGAAAACCGAGACCATCGATGAGTTTGCAGGCAAAATCAGTGGCCTAGCAAACGCAATGAGTGGTCTTGGTGCAACCATGACGGACGATGAGCTCGTCAAGAAGCTACTTGACTCAGTGCCTGAAAAGTTTTTGCACATAATTGCAGCGATAGAGCAATTCTGCGATTTGGACACCATGCCATTTGAGGAGGCTATTGGCCGCCTCAAAGCTTTCGAGGAGAGGATACGGAAGCACAGTGACAATGATGGGGAGCAGCTTCTTCTCACCACACGCAACACTGATGATGGTGCTGGTCGAGCCCGCGGCAAGAGGTTTGATAAATCCAAGGTGATGTGCTATCACTGCCAAGAGCTCGGTCATTTTGCGTTTGAGTGTCCAGCGAAAAAGAAGAACAAGGAGATAGCGCTTCTTGCCACAGCATCAAGTGATGATGAACCAACTCTCTTGTGAATGGAGATGCCAAGATTAGGGGGGAAATTGATAGAGTTTAATCTTGTCATTAATTAGAATATATGCATGGTTCTATTTTGTTTACATGTAGTATAGGTCACTGCATATTTAGTTTGGCTCCAGCTCATTGGCGAGATGCCGACGTGCCGTGCGATGCGGTGGTGCGAGAATGGAGCAAACAACGTTCATGAAGACCAAGCTCAACTGCATGTGGAGTGCTGCGAGAAGTAGCCGAATTGCAAGCAAGACAAGGTCAGTATTAGCCGAGTGAATCGGTCCTAGCTGTACATGAGATTTAGTTGTTGCTAGTGATTAGCCGCATATGCTGCGATTAGTGGTAATCATGTATTGGGATTTCTTGGCAAATAAGTAGGATTAGTTAGTTACTTAGTGCATGGGCATCCCACGTCTGTGTGCATGGCGTGAGTTGTGGCTGAGTGGGTTTGGCCATTGTAATCTCTTTGCATGTACTGAGTCTATATAAACAAGGAAACGATGTGAGCTAGGGGACACATCAACCAAAAGCCTGTGTGTTTTGTTCAGTTCTTGTGTGTTTGTGTCCACCGAGTAAATACAAGTGTTTATGTTAGTGCTAGTGATTAGTACTTAAACATTCAGAGAGGAGAGATTCCCAACATGATAAAGTGTAGTGGTCTGTTGTTCAACAAACTTTGAGAATGGGGGGTTTTTCGCAAAAATGGTGTGATTGGATTGCTTCTTTCATTCAATGGAGACATGTTGGTATTAAAGTAAATGATCAAGTGAGGGTAAATTTTCAAACTTGTAAGGGTTTAAGGCAAGGGGACCTGTTATCTCCAGTTCTTTTAATATAGTTGTTGATGTGTTAGCCATATTAATTAAGAGAACAAAAGTTGATGGTCAGATTTATGGAGTTGTCACACATTTGGTGGATGATGGTTTATCTATTTTACAATATGCTAATGATACTATTATTTTTCTTAAGCATGATTTAGAGAAAGCGAAGAATATGAAATTGTTATTAACTGCTTTTGAAAAATTATCTAGCCTAAAGATAAATTTTCACAAGAGTGAATTCTTTTGCTTTGGCCAGGCAAACAAATGTTATGAGCAATATTCAAATATTTTTGGATGAAAAATAGGAGACTTTCCTGTTAGATATCTTGGTATCCCTATGCATTATAGAAAGCTTAGTAATAATGATTGGTTAACAATTGAGCAAAGAATTGAGAAAAAAAACTCAGTAGTTGAAAATGTAAACATATGTCTGTTAGAGGGAGATTTGTTTTGATTAATTATGTGTTATAGAGTTTAGTTATGTTTATGATTTTTTTTTAGATTCCTAAAGGGGTTTTTAAAAAAAACTTATTCTTGTAGGGGCTTCCGCCGTATGTTGGGCCTTTTGGTTTAGTACAAATGATATGGTTTTTGAGAAAACACCATCAAAATCTTATTTGCATGTATTTTTCAGGGCAACATATTGGTTTTGGGATTGGGCTCAACCATAAAGGCATGATGATGATATCAAGCTAATAAATGACGTATGTCGTAAACTTGAGTCGATGATTATGCACCTTTTTGCCAACTTCGGATGGAGATTCTCGAATTGAATTCAGTAATTCAAGGTTCTTTTATCTTGTGTTGGTGTCTTTTAGTTTGTGTTTTCTTTATATCATGTCAGTGTGTGCTGAATTTGTTTATGTGTGGACTTCGTAATAATTGGCTGTAGCTTGTTGAGTAAAGGCCGAAATGTTATTACATTATGTAAAAAAATCCTTACTTTTGGTAATACTGGAAACCTCTGATGAGATGGCATCAACTTGTTTCTGGGGATGATTTGTTTTTAACATTTCTGTGATGAATGGAAACGGGAGGGGTTTCCCCAAATTCAGCTCAATGGAAGTTGTGAATTGCCTGAGAGAATGAATGTTACACTGTGCAAATTGCATGTAGGCGCTCTAATATAAAATCATAGAGAAGTGGTTGTGCGGGCAATGAACTAAGGTTTGTGAATCAGTGAATGTGAATGATGCTGTTGTAGGATCATGAACTCTGATAGTATATCCTTTTTTTCTCGTTGCTTCATTATCCTGTATTTCTGTGCAAGGCGAAAGCAACATCTGCAGCTTCCTTCCTACTTGTAAGTTATAACACAGTTTTTGCTGATGACTGAATCAAAGTAGTTTTTGCTGCTGACTGGATCAGAGTTCAGACCAAACCCTTCAGAAAATAAACGCAGCATAACGAACATATTAAGTATCAAAGGCGGCTAAGCCTGTAGCTAGATCTGCACAAACATTATCTAGATTATATGTCAATAGTTTTCTGTCATTGGTTATTAGGAATGGGAGCGCCATTTAACAACCGGGCACTCATACGTCAACCCCATGATAGTCTCAGGACGCATTAGTTATTATCTCTAAGTTGCAGGTTCCACTGGGCTTCCAAATTAGTTTTGATATTCTGTTGTCATCTGCTTTCGTAATTGAAAGCATATAAACTAACGCTAGATAGCCTGGATTGCTACATTCTGTTTTTGTCTGAACTGAGGTAGTACATCATATATCTCTTCCTTCTCCGTTGCAGCGTGACGTACAGTGATTTTCTGCAGTTTAATTTCCAATAGAAATCTTCATCTTGCCGAAACAGATTCACTATTCTATCCCCAAAGCAAATTCTTGGCCAGGAAGAAGCTTCATCGGTACTATCTCTGATCAACGTAGAAGCTTCATCAGTATCTCTGATCAACGTAGAAGTTTGATTATGATTAGTATCTCTGATCAAGCAACTAGTATGCGATTATGAGCATATATTTCTGAATTTGGCTCACATCTGAATTTCAAGGAAAAAGGTTTTGATGGATCGGTCAGATGCTTTAGCTTGCATCACCAGTGTCCTCATTCTCCTGGCGCCGCCATGTGCATCGGACGATCGGCTTGTCCCCGGCAAGCCGCTCTCCCCTGGCGCTACCGTCGTCTCCGACGGCGGCGCCTTCGCCTTGGGCTTCTTCTCCCCCTCGAATTCAACTCCGGAGAAGATGTACCTCGGCATATGGTACAACGACATCCCCCGGCGCACGGTGGTGTGGGTCGCCGACCGGGGAACTCCGGTCACAAACAGCAGTTCGTCTGCGCCGACGCTGTCGCTGACCAACTCCTCCAACCTCGTCTTGTCCGACGCAGATGGCGGCGTTCGCTGGACGACCAACATCACCGACGATGCAGCGGGCGGCGGCTCCACGGCGGTGCTCCTGAACACCGGCAACCTCGTCGTCCGGTCACCGAACGGCACCACCCTGTGGCAGAGCTTCGAGCACCCGAGTGACTCGTTCCTGCCCGGCATGAAGATGCGGGTCATGTACAGGACGCGCGCCGGCGAGCGCCTGGTGTCGTGGAAGGGCCCCGACGACCCGTCGCCGGGGAGCTTCTCGTTCGGCGGCGACCCGGGCACGTTCCTCCAGGTGTTCCTCTGGAACGGGACGCGCCCGGTTTCGAGGGACGGGCCATGGACGGGCGACATGGTGTCGAGCCAGTACCAGGCGAACACCAGCGACATCATCTACTCCGCCATCGTCGACAACGACGACGAGAGATACATGACGTTCACCGTCTCCGACGGCTCGCCGCACACCAGGTACGTGCTGACCTACGCCGGCAAGTACCAGCTCCAGAGCTGGGACAACAGCTCGTCGGCGTGGGCGGTGCTCGGCGAGTGGCCGACCTGGGACTGCAACCGCTACGGCTACTGCGGCCCGTTCGGCTACTGCGACAACACGGCGAGGGCGCCCGCCGTCCCGACGTGCAAGTGCCTCGCCGGCTTCGAGCCGGCGAGCGCGGCGGAGTGGAGCAGCGGCAGGTTCTCGCGTGGTTGCCGGCGCACGGAGGCGGTGGAGTGCGGCGACCGTTTCTTGGCCGTGCCGGGGATGAAGTCGCCGGACAAGTTCGTGCTCGTCCCGAACAGGACGCTCGACGCGTGCGCCGCCGAGTGCAGCAGCAACTGCTCGTGCGTGGCGTACGCGTACGCCAACCTGAGCAGCAGCGGGTCCAAGGGCGACATGACGAGGTGCTTGGTGTGGTCAGGGGAGCTGGTTGATACAGAGAAGGAAGGTGAAGGGCTAAGCAGCGACACGATCTACCTCAGGCTTGCTGGTCTTGACCTTGACGCGGGTAAACACCATTCAAATTTTAAATGTTTATCTTTTCTATCCATGCATCAATTTACTGCTTACAATTTACTACTAGCTCCTTTCCAAAAAAAAAAGAATATTACATTTAGTACTTTGATCAAAACTTTGCACTGTGTTTTGTTGTACTGTTCCATGTAGGTGGAAGGAAAAAGAGTAATGCAATCAAGATAGTACTGCCAGTGTTAGGCTGTATTCTGATTGTCCTATGCATTTTCTTTGCATGGTTAAAAATCAAAGGTATATTTTGTGTATTTTTTTCATAGAAGCCTATGGTATACTCACAAGAGAATTAATGTTGGCTACATTTGATTTTGTGAGCAGGCAGGAAAACAAACCAGGAAAAGCACAGAAAGCTAATTTTTGATGGCGAAGGAAGCACTGTCCAAGATTTTGAACTCCCATTTGTAAGATTTGAGGACATTGCTCTAGCAACCAACAATTTCTCAGAAACAAATAAGATTGGGCAAGGAGGTTTCGGAAAAGTTTACATGGTAATTAATTCAATCGGTAGTAAAACTTCCTCTCGTTTATTCTGGTTTGTTCAGTAATTCATTTTGTGTGATACATGCTCAAACATAAATTTCTTCTCTTTTTTTAAGGCAATGCTAGGTGGTCAAGAAGTTGCTATTAAGCGGTTAAGTAAGGATTCTCGACAAGGGACAAAGGAATTCAGGAATGAAGTTATTCTTATCGCGAAATTGCAACACAGAAATTTGGTTCGCCTTCTTGGCTGTTGTGTTGAGGGAGATGAAAAACTGCTAATATATGAGTACTTGCCTAACAAAGGCTTAGATGCTACCCTTTTTGGTATGTCCCTATGATTCAACACGCATAAGCAACTCAACAATTGATTGATTACATTTTGCTATTTTGTCTATAGATGGTTCAAGAAAAATGAAACTAGACTGGACAACACGGTTTAATATAATCAAAGGGGTGGCAAGGGGACTTCTTTATCTGCACCAAGACTCTAGATTGACCATAATTCACAGAGATCTCAAAGCTGGCAATGTTTTGCTAGATGCTGAAATGAAACCCAAGATAGCAGATTTTGGCATGGCAAGGATCTTTGGTGATAATCAACAGGATGCAAATACCCAGCGTGTTGTTGGAACATAGTGAGTAGTCATTGAATTAATTGCTAAATTAAGTTTGATTCAGTTATAATCCTCTCCAGTAACCCTTGCAAGTGAAATGTTCAAACAGTGGCTACATGGCTCCTGAGTATGCAATGGAAGGTATCTTCTCTACTAAATCAGATGTCTACAGCTTTGGTGTGTTATTGTTGGAAATTGTGACTGGTATAAGGAGAAGCTCCACTAGCAATATCATGAACTTTCCAAACCTCATAGTTTATGTGAGTATATATATGCCTTTTCTAAAATTTTGGTTTAGATTAAACAGATGATTGTGAAAATTTTTGAGTTCCACAACCCAAATGATGTTTTTGATTGTTTCAGTCATGGAACATGTGGAAGGAAGGGAAAAGCAAGGATTTGGTAGACTCATCAATTATGGATAGTTGCTTACTACATGAAGTTTTGCTCTGCATCCATGTAGCATTGTTATGTGTTCAAGAAAGCCCAGATGACAGGCCACTTATGTCATCTATTGTGTTCACCCTGGAGAATGGGAGTAGTGTTGCACTGCTCCCAGCCCCAAGTTGCCCTGGGCACTTTACACAAAGGAGTTCTGAGATAGAGCAAATGAAAGATAATACTCAGAACTCAATGAATACTTTTACGCTAACAAACATAGAGGGAAGGTAAGATAGTTCTTTGAGTTTAGATGTAGCAGTCACTGTCCAAAGAATAATGCAGCCAGCTGATGCATGATTTGTGGTTTGGAAGTCAATTTGTTGGTATCTTTTGCTAGTCCTTTTTTGGTCAATCAGGTTATCTGTAATATCGCAAAAATCTAAATAAATCTAAACAACATATTAGAGATACATTTTCGTCTCTTTGTTGGCAAGTATTTTTTTAACAACCAAGCATTTCGCTGGATTTTATATTAAAGGAGCAGAGCGATTCACAGTCTACACATAATTACAAGAGAAAATAAAAAACAAAGACTAGCCATCTTGCAGATAGTGCTATCCAATAAAGTAGATCAGTTGGTAATAATAAGATTTACCTCGGCATATGGTACAACAAAACTCAAACTTTTGTTATTGTTGTTGCTGCCTCTGCTGCTTCATTATTCTGGGCAAGGCAAAAGCAATTTCTGCAGTTTCCTACTTGTAACAGAAAACTAAAAACGTAGTTTTTGCTGACGACTGAATCAGAGTTCAGACTAACCCCTTCAGAAAACAAGCACTGCATAACGAACATATAATTATCAAAGGCGGGTATCTAGGCAGATCTGCACATACATTTGCTAGGAATGAGAGTGTCATTTAACAACAGCAAACTCATAACTTGGGGGGAGCTGAAATTTCAACCCTGCGCTGCGCACTAATGACTTGGGAAACTGAAATGAAATGTACGTCAACCCAAAGATAGTCTCGGACACTCGGTTTAAGGCGGATTTAAGCTACTTGACTACTTCCAATGGGCTTCCTAGTTTGTTTTTTCCGTTTTTGCAGCCAGTTTCCTAGAGAAATCATCGTCTTGTCAAAACACAAAAACTACTCTAATCCAATGAAATTGACGTGCTGGTTCGTTCAAAAAACACTACTCTAATCCAATGAAATCGACGTGCAGGTTCGTTCAAAAAACACTACTCTAGTCCACATTGCTTGCAGATCAAGGAGGCTCATGTCAACTTCTTTGCCAGGTACGGAGTAGTAGAAGGCTGGAAGCTTCATTAGAGTATCTCTGATCAACAGGCTACCATGCGATCAGTCGATCTCACTAGCTAGCGCATATTATTTTCAGAATTCTGCTGAAGAAAGTTTTGATGGATCGGTCAGCTGCGGCTTTAGCCTGCATCACCAGTGTTCTTCTCCTCCTCCTGCCGCCGCCATGTGCATCCGACGATCGGCTTGTCACCGGCAAGCCGCTCTCCCCTGGCGCCACCATCGTCTCCGATGGCGGCGCCTTCGCCTTGGGCTTCTTCTCCCCCTCCAACTCAACTCCGGAGAAGATGTACCTCGGCATATGGTACAATGACATCCCCGGGCGCACGGTGGTGTGGGTCGCCGACCGAGGAACTCCGGTCACAAACAGTAGTTCGTCTTTGCCGACGCTGTCGCTGACCAACTCCTCCAACCTTCTCTTGTCCGACGCCGACGGCCGCGTTCGCTGGACGAGCAACATCACCGACGATGCAGCGGGCTCCGGCTCCACCGCAGTGCTCAAGAACGACGGCAACCTCGTCGTCCGGTCACCGAACGGCACCACCCTGTGGCAGAGCTTCGAGCACCCGACCGACTCGTTCCTCCCTGGGATGAAGCTTGGGGTGACGTTCAAGACGCGCACATGCGAGCGCTTGGTGTCGTGGAAGGGCCCCGACGACCCGTCGCCGGGGAGCTTCTCGTTCGGCGGCGACCCGGACACGTTCCTGCAGGTGTTCATCTGGAACGGGACGCGCCCGGTTTCGAGGGACGGGCCATGGACGGGCTACATGGTGTCGAGCCAGTATCAGGCGAACTCCAGCGACATCTTCTACTTCTCCATCGTCAACAACGAGGAAAAGAGATACATAACGTTCAGCGTCTCCGAGGGCTCGCCGTACACCAGGTATGTGATTACCTACGCCGGCAAGTACCAGTTCCAGCGCTGGAACATCAGCTCGTCGGCGTGGGATGTCGCGGAGTGGCCTAGATGGGACTGCAACTATTACAACTACTGCGGCCCGAACGGCTACTGCGACAACACAGCGAGGGCGCCTGCTGTCCCGACGTGCAAGTGCCTCTTCGGCTTCGAGCCAGCGAACGCGGCGGAGTGGAACAGCGGCCGGTTTTCGCAGGGTTGCCGGCGAAAGGAGGCGGTGCAGTGCGGCGACCGTTTCTTGGCCGTGCCGGGGATGATTTCGCCGGACAAGTTCGTGCTCTTCCCGAACAGGACGCTCGACGCGTGCGCCGCCGAGTGCAGCAGCAACTGCTCCTGCGTGGCGTACGCCTACGCCAACCTGAGTAGCAGCATATCTAAGGGCGACAAGACGAGGTGCTTGGTGTGGTCAGGGGAGCTGATTGACGCGGAGATGGTAGGCGAAAGGCTTGGCAGCGACACGATCTACCTCAGGCTCGCCGGTCTTGACGCGGGTAAGCACCAATTTAAATTGAGCAATTTTACTGTTCGTAAGGAGGTATTTAAATTTGATACCTTATGCTACCTAACTACTATGAGGTACCAAATTTTTCACTAAATTTTTGATACCTGATGGTATCTCCTCAAAGACTATAAAATTACTCATTTAAATTTGTTTATCTTTCTACTATGCATGATTGTTGTTTTTCTTGGAGAAGTACGGATTACAATTTGAGGTATTTTACTGTTTGAGGTTTATACTTTTAGTCCTTGAGTTGAGAAAGTACTACCAGATACAGCGAGGTGCTAATGAAATATAACTGTCCATCTATCAAGTAGGATCGGTCTAAATAGTACGTTGTTCCTTGCCTTTCGTTTTGTTCATGCAAAGCGGCGATCCATGAAATTTTTGTACCTGGAAAAAAATCTTGGTACATGTTGGGGGGATGGATTCTAATAGCTCGAGTGGACGTCCACCCATTTATTGCATGTCAACTAAATGGCTATGAAAAATGTTCAAAAAAATCGGCAAGATAAATCAATATGTAATATATCACTCCACAAACATACAAGTTAAAATTCAACTTCTATAAGTTGTAACAAAAATAACAAATTTAACTGTAAATATACATATAGTAATTTTTTGAGTTTTGTTGGACATCGGCATCGGCGTCAGCGTCAGTGAGAACATGGCGCTGATAACATAATATAGCATCACCGTCTACTGCCAATGGCCGCTGCATGTAGTACCAATATATGCTATGTGCACCGCTTGGGTATATTGACAAGATTAGATTGTGCCTTTGCCAGAGGTTGACGAGATTATAGTAGGAAAATTTGCTAACACCGAGATTCGCCACCCATTTCAAAGTGCAACGAGTTTCAGTTCTATAAATCCAAGGGTACAAAATCCACATATACCAAATAAAACATCCAAAATTTCAGTTCAATAGAAATCGAGGAGGCCTGTGAGCTAAAATTCTTGCTCCTTGCTAACTCGCCTGTGAGCTCGAGGAGGCCTTTCCGCCATTGTCCTCAGCCATATCTGGTACCTCGATGTCGTGGCGTTTGGAGGTGTCCCGTGGAGTTCGAATCCTGTCCTCTCCAATATAAAAAACGATTAGCTTTTTAACACATAATTAATTAAGTATTAGCTATTTTTTTAAATAGTTAATATAATTTTTGAAAACAACTTTTCTATAAAGATATTTTTTTGCAAAAAATAGAAGAACGCATTAGAAAGCGTGCTCATAAAAAAAAGAGAGAGTAGAAGATGATAAGAGGGAATGCCGAACACAACCCAAGTATCTCTCATGACCAGACATGCGAAAATACCATTATACTGTCTTAATACCTGGTAGGATTGAGTGATGGTACCACAAGAACCCTCGTAGTACTAGTTGGAGGCCGTCTAGGACTCTAGGAGGCCCTTCAAGCTACTTTTTCTTACAACTAGCTGGGTGGCCCGCGCAATTGCGCGGCTAGCACCTAAACAAAATCATATATTTTTCAGTATGATTTTACCTAAAATTTATTAAATAGCTATCCCCGTATCATCCCCGTATTTATAATTATATAGTTTTTAAAAGTCACTCTACCCCTTACTTCTGTCGTATCCTTTTTTATTTACTTGCTCGGTCTATCACTATTTTTATTCATTCTCCTTTAAACCTTAAAAAATTGGATCTTATAGTTTTTTGAGTTTATTATCTCGTTGGGTTTCTTTTTATAATTTCTCGAAGTCCCGTCAAACGCTGCCATTATATTCCTCTACGGCCCGTCCAATGTCTTTTCTCTTTATTGTAATTAGGATTTTACAAATCGAACATAATTATCGTTTGAGTTCATTTTTTACTTTTTATAAGTCCCGCCAAACCGTCAGCGGCTTTGCCATTGTACTCCTTTATTGCTCGCCCGCTGCCTCCCTTCTTTATTGCCATTGAGATTTTAAAATCGAACAGGATTATCATTGGTTGTTTTTTTACTTTTTAGAAGTTCCGAACCTTTAAAAATTGGACCTTATAGTTTTTAGAAATTATTGTCTTGTTGGGTTTCATTTTTTATAATTTTTAGAAGTCACATCAAACGATGCCACTATACTCCTCTACGATCCATCCGTCGCCTACTCTTTATTGTCATTGGGATTCTAAAAACCAAACATAATTATCGTTGGAATACATTTTTTATTTTCTAGAAGTCTCGCCAACCGTCAGCGGCTCTGCAACTATACTCCTATATACCCCGCATGCTGCTTCTCCTTTTTATTGTCATTGAGATTTTAAAAATCGAATATGATTATCAATGTGGTTTATTTTTTTTACTTTCTAGAAGTCACGTATAGTGTTCTTTTAATATTTTTATTTTTTATTTTTGAATTTCAGTTGTTTCAAAATTTGTATTCCTACTTGAACTCTCTTTTAATTTTTCTAGTTTTAGATATTTTTTTATTTTTTTATTCTGAATTTTAATTAATCTCATATTGGGTTCTTATATAATTTTTTTCTTTCAATACTGCTTATTTTTAATTCCGAATTTCAGTTAATTTTAAATTATATTCCTACTTGAACTTTTCTTTTTCTTTTTGCTATTCAGATTTTATTTTTATTTTTATTCCGAATATTAACTAATCTCGTATTGGGTTCTTATATGGACTCTTATCTCAATATTCCTTATTTTTAATTCCGAATTTCAGTTATTTTTAAATTATATTCCTACTTGGACTCCCCTTTTGTTTTCTAATTTTGGATTTTTTTTTATT